GATACAATTTGCGTTCAATTGTTATTTGTTCATATTTTTTCTCGCAAATAAAAACATTAAAGCTGTGACTGGGGCGCTGGGGGGGAGGGCATGATGGAGCTCACGCCTCGGTATCAACCAGTTGTTTCTCAGTGACTTGCAACGCGGTGGACAGGCCTCAGAATATCGTGAAACGGCAGTGTTGAAATGCATCACATAGAAATTTAAACACATGGTTTTTACCATGGAAAAAAAAAACAAAACTTCAGATCGAAAAGGGAAACCACCAAATTATCTATAATATGTTTTATCAATGTTTATCATCGTTTTCCACAAAGTCCTTCAGAAAGCGATTTTTTGAAGAATGTGAAGTGCCCACGATATTGTTGGAAAAAAACACACACATATATATATATATATATATTGAATCAATGGGGTCAACTGTTGAGAAATCTTGTCATTCGAGCATTTTCAATGCAGAAAATCACAACAATTCAACCTAGCATGTTTGGACAAACATGGAAACAATTTCAATGTATTTCAATGACCAACAGACACACAAAAAAAAAAAACTGTCACCTGATGGGAACTCGCTTTGGTCCCAAGGTTCCGAACAAGGAAACAAATTGAAAAGGGCCAAAACTTGGAGGATGCAACTAAAAAACAGTGGTCTGGACTCGGCATCATTGTTTGGTCACAATAATTTTGGGATTTTGCGGGCGGGTTCCCCCATGCAATCACGATCATCTTTGTTGAACGTGTTCCAACAAAATGAATGTTAATCAGTAATATTGCTTACGACAAATGATGATCAATGTCGTTGTTGCTTCCTCCCCAAAGTGTTATTTCGTTGGCAAACATCCCTTTATCATCCTGTGTTCCTATTTCCTGGCAAACAGGGACCCCGCGGGTGCTGTGTGCAAAATTGATCAAATTTGTTGGCCACCCAGCACCACGCAAACATCAGCCCAAGGGGTTACCACAATGCAAATTAAAAAACATATTCAGTATATTGCCATTATTTGCGTTTTTTCTGTGTGAACATTTTCCCAGCCCAACCTCCTGTGTTCCCGCGCTGTGCTTTTCGCGGCTTCGCTCTTCAACCATGGACCTTGTGAAATGCCAAATGGATCCAAAGGGGATCAAGGATTTCCGTCCTACACAAGGTTGATTTTTGCAAAACCCTTGACATGGATTTGCGAATCTGGTCCCACCATGGGTCTGCATCGGGCACAGTTGTTCACACTTGCAAGCTAGATAGTGTGCACAAGACTCCTGTGAGGCGACGCCTATCATGGAGAACACTGTTCGAAGAGGATGAAGCTGAGCCCAGCTTGCAGCAATAACAAACGTGAGCGACAAATTGGATTCAACATGGCATTGTGCCCTTGCAGAAGGAAACAATTATATAATATTCACCTGTTGTTTCACACCAGTGAACGGTGGAACCAAGTGATGCTGGCCGTTATTTTTTGCCTTGACAGGGCGACCAAACCTCATCCCATGAGACTTATGGCCATATAGCCTGACGTGCTACACGTGCACATATGATCGTACATGTGCATCAACTTAATCAACTCTCATCCCCATAGAGTGGCGTCGGCGAAATCAGAAGTCATTCGCCTTACTATGTCTGACAGTCAGACCTGAAGCTCTGGAGGACAAGCCACATCCTCCGGAGCAATGGCCCTTTCTCCCCCGTCACCGGGTCTCCGCACGCTGCATGCTGCGCTGCCTGTATACCAGCCATGTGTCTGAGTCTGAAGGGGTTTCCATGCGTGGAAACTTGATGACCCATAGAGATTTGAGGAGGGATGGTTGGGAACCTATATATTCTTGCAAATTGGCCTTGATTGCCTGGCGACACGTGAACGCTATTCGCTGTAAGCGCGAAGGGTGTCCATCATGGTCCAGGTGGTTCGCCCCCGGCCATCCCCGGCCTGGCGTCCCTTACCCTAGGGCTGCCACAGCATCTAAAGAGTTGAGCTCGTTCAAAAATGAATTCGCTTATGCTTCCTCATGTCTGCCACAAAAATTCCACAATGCATACAAGGCAGCGGTTCCCTCTCGTTGTTCGGTACTGTAAAAGCTGGGTAACATGCATGGTGAAGAGCTGGTCCGTCATGCCGATGTTTCCACAATTGTTTTCAACCACTTGTTTTCAAGATGTTCAATACAGGATCGCTGGGTAGATTTCAGAAGGGAGCATATTGACAAAGAAAAGGATAGCATTGTAAAATCTGTATACACACAAACACACATACACAAATAACGTATACCGATACATCGCAAAGAGGTACTTTCACATTGTGGAGCAAGCACGACTTCCAGAAATTCGATCATTAGATTTGCTAACGCTCCGCAATTTGCAAGCTGGCATTTTGACTATCCAATAAAATATCCGCCAGTTTGGGATTTTGATGTGGACAATGTAGGAACTGAATGCAACTGGGGGGTGGAGAATCAACTGGCTACACCAGTTGAAGCTCAGGCTAAGCTCAGCTGGAGGTCGATGCATGTTGATGCCCTACCAACAAGAACAAAGAATCAGCCTTGCCAAATCAGTAATAAAAGGTCTCCGGTAGTCTTCAATACTTCACCCTCCAAAACCGATTCAAATGTGGCAATTTCCTTCTATAAATAAACCAAAACCCTTTCAACATGTTCCGCCCGTAGGCGTTTCCCATTGGAACCAATGCGAATCTGGCTGATTGCCAGGAGCTTCCGGCTCAGATGGACCTAATTACAACAACTACTATAAACTATAGACTCTATAGACTATGGGCTGTATGCACTTATAGCACGTATCATAATAAGATTTTAGTGAAGCATAGTTTTATAGTCATCTTACATATTATGGTCATTCTTTCATAGTTATAGATCCCATCTACCTAGAGCCTCCAAATACTCTCAAAAACGGTTCAAGTACTATTACAGAATAATGGGCTAAAACTTGGTAAAGCACATTTTTGATTTGTAGGTACAAACGGAGGGCCAAACGGTAGTAGATATCACTTACGCAGTGATAGACAACCCCTCTTGGAGAAGCGCGCCTGAGTCCGCTCGGAGGCACCTCTGGCGGATTTTGCCACCATCTCTTCGTTGCCGGCCTGCGTGGGTTGAAGCAATACAAATTGGGATATAGTCGGGATACGTATGCATGATGTAACTACTGATGGAAGGAACATTATATTGGGAATGGGCCTGGTTGTCCAGCAATTGAGAGATATGAGCCAACATGCTGATTCAACCATCAAACAAATGAATTTCGAGCATGAAAAGTGCTTATGGCAGACTCATGGCACGGATTTATTGGCTGTCCGGGCTGTCCCAAGCTTGGAATACCCCAATTTGCAGCCATCAATAGGTGGTTTCAAAGAACAAACATTGGAATATCATTGGGTGCATACTTGCCACCAAAAAGACATGCATATCGTCAACAGTAATTGTGGCCAATTTAGAACAATTCGCACCTCGTCACCTCGTCACCTCGTCGTTTTAATTCACATGTGTGATGTTTTACCCTTCCTTGCTAATTCAGGTTTGGGGAATTACTGCGCTCGTACCTCGAGGTGACGCTTTTGGTTGCATTTTTGAGTGGACGATGGACCATGGACAAAAAAACTTTTCAGAGGCTGAATATAGTTTTTTCTGGTTGTTTGGTCGCAATTGCAATGCTTCTATTATCAGGTCTAAGAGGGGAATAAACGTTTTGGCTTGTGAACAGTCTTTTTTGGATGTTGCTTTGGCCCTATGGCATTTGGCTGAGATCTATGCAATGCAACCAAACAACTAACTATTCAGCCTCTGAACAGTTTTTTCAGTCCATCGTCCACTCAAAAAGAAAACAAAAAGCTTCACCTCGTGGGGACAGCTATGGGAGACATGGATCTACTCCTACCGGCGCACAAGCAAACAAATATATTATACTGATCGTATACTTGCCAATTTATATTCTATATTGTATGATGCTAATTATTCCGTGTATATATATATATGTATACCATAGGACTACTATACATATTATATGCCCTTAATAAAACCCAACTGGAACCCGAGGATTGCCCATTGAAAAATCACTTTCCAAACCACTTTCTGCTGGTTTGTGTTAGATTCAAGGGGGCTGAACACTATCAATCACTCGTGGATGGAAGTATCGGCTCCAATGTTGAGATTCTGTGAGAACCCGGAGCGAACAACGGATATTCATTTGTTGTCTCTACCTATTCTATCCTAAGCCAAAACATTACCCTTTACAACGGGCATAAAATCTTCCAGACTTCCTTTTGTGGGGGTTTCATGCTGGTTCTCAGATGAGTGTTCTACATCACACTCCCAGCGCAGCATTGGTTGACCTTGATTCTTTGCACGGCCGACCGCTGTTCTGCTGCCACCTGCTGCCTTGGCCATACTGCTACAGCAATACGCTGTAAAAACAGTTCCTTGTGTCTCTAGCGTGTCCTCAAGTATGGTGTGAAACTGGCCGGTCTACGAGGCTTCCAGCCAAGTTTCATCTAAGTAAACCCTCCCAAAAAAAGATCCCTATATATCCCTATATCAAATACCCTCAAGACGCGACCCCGAAATGAATAGATCCCATACCAAACCAGGATTTCTAGATGTAGAAAAATCCTTGTACTAAATCCTTGTTTCTCATTTACACATCATACGGCACATCATACACATCATACACATCCACACTGGGATCCCATGTTGGATTAAGTAAATCCGCTACTTGAATCCACAATATGTCTACAGTATTTGTGGGGAAACTCTAGTATAATGTTAATAAAGCAACAATAAATCAGGCATATGTTGATGGTTGGCAACCCACCCATTTTGTGAAACAAATGGATGAATTATTAATAGAATATACGCACCTTTGGATGGGATTACATATATATATAATGTAAGATATGTACACACATATATATATATAGATATAGATATATATATATATATAAATGCCTGTTAAGAAAAAAACATATTTATATACATGATATAAAATGGGCCTCCAAAGACCTGCCCTGAGGTGCCCAACAAGTCGCGTAGGACCTGGTGGGGGCGTGGACAGTTTTTGGGAGCTTCCAAGCCGAAGACAAGACGTCGGAAATGGTTGGACTGATCGTACGTAAAACAAAAGGCAATCTCAAAAAGGCAAATAAAGTATCATTTACCACTATACATTTATATAGATAGAATATATATATATATACATAAACATAATATATATATATGTATATATATAGAGAGAGAGTCACTATTGGAAATTACTTTAGCAGGATTTTACGTTTTTAAAACAACTTTTTTGTTTTTTTGCTTTACCATATCCAACCAGCAGTAATTAACACAGGTACACTCCCCATGACAACCATTCCAAGCACGATGGCACCTGCCGGGTCGAGAGCATTTCATGCTCTTTCTGCTTTTGCTCCTCGGCTGCCATTCGAAAATCAACTCCAAGATGGCTACACTCTGGTTAGCTGGCAAATCCCTTACAAGCGAAGGCTAATGCAGGGTTTATAGCTGGGAAATCATTTATAAATGATTATAACTGAGGGATTTCCATTTGTATGTTTGATTACCGGAGGGCCTCCCGGAGGGTATGTCATGGTATGTGTGGCATGGGTAGATGTCGTGCATGCACAGGAATCGTAACACACATGAATACACCCCAAATTTTCTGAAACCATCCACTCACAATTTTCACAGTACAACCAGAAGATAGACAAGTAAAGTCCTACCAATAAAACACTAGTAAATTACTGTTCCACCTTTTTTGCGGCCTTCTACATAAAACATCCCAATATATACCATTATATGTGATATTTTTGTTATGTCCCATTTCTATATCCATTGTATCCATTGATGGTAATGGTAGATATCTCTCAGTTACCTCTCCTAGATGCATCAAATCTACAATTTGAACACATTTGAACACTGAATTTATCTACAAATCTAGTGCCCCTTCCTGGCTCCGCAGGTCCTCCTCCAAATGCACCACAGCTGTTCTGGCGCAGCTCAGCCTTTCTCGGCGAGGCGACGAGGTTTTCGGAGACGCATGACCTGACGGTAAATCTGTCCACTGGTCACTGATCTGAAGAGTTTGGCTATTTTGGGGTAGCTAGTACTATATTATATATATACCACATTTAAATATATATATATATATCTAACTAAGAGTAGTCTTAACAAATCATATTACACCATTGATAATCATGCTTTGATCACTCATTTCCTCACAGGTTTAACCAGTAAGGAAATCGGATGATAGTAAATCTTACGCAAATTACATATTACATATTATATGTATATATACATGTATGCTACCTAGCTATACATACATTGAATTTAAGGAAAGTAAATATCATACAAACCCCTTGTTACCCTCTTCATTTGATAGGCTCTTTGCAAAATGCACTGCGATATCAATATCCACAACTAAAAAACAACTATAGAAATCTAAAACCAACTAAAATCCACTATAGAAACCAAATTCCACTAAATTGCACAACATATTTCTATCATGTTCCTTGTGCCCCTGCTCTGTTCCAGTCTGAAGATCTCAACACCCCAACAAGCGATTTCCATCACTTCCCTGCTGCTGTCCACTCTTCCCAATCTGGACCCTCCTGTTGATTCAACATGATTCAACAAACTCTTGCATTGTTGATGGACTACCCCCCGAACATCTCTCTATATTGCCAATGAAAACTCATAAGCTACATCGAATCATCATGCAAGGTTTCTTTGAATTTCTATAACTATAATAGGTTGTCCTGGTGGCCTTACTCCCCCGACACAACACTAAACAAACTTAGAAAAAAACAAAGAAAACTAAGAAGATCAAAAAAGGACTTAAAAAACAACAAAAGACTTAAATGTGCGTTGCCTCCTTGTGGATTTGTTTGGATATCAAAATAAGCGTTGTAACCAGAACTCTCAATTCATGCAGGGCCAAGTTCACCCCATCCTGAGGCAGTGATCACCAAATCAATGTTTGCATTTTGCATGTCTCAACTTGGCCACCCTTCATGACAAAACTAAACTTGCATCATTTCTAAGATGTTCCTGCAGGGAAAAAATAGATCTAAAATTTCCAGGAAGAAGCCAATCAAAGAAGGCATCAAATGATGACCTAGACAACGGGTTTCTATAGGAAAATAAGAACATTATTTCACCTGCTAGCATGAGACCTCAATCGGACCCACAGGGACCACGTGTCGCATTGGATTGGGTGCAAGACAGGCTTGCACCGGCCACTGTTAGTCATGATGGCTGGGAGGCTGTGCCTACATAAGCTGTACAAAACTGTACCCCCCAAAAAAAACGCTGGACTATGTTTAAACAACAGCTGAAAGATATGTAGAAAGATACGTGTACAAGGCGTAGATAAGAAAAACCCGGTAGCAGTCAAGACCTCCGAAGATGGGATTCAAACATTGTCTGAACCGTGAACCCTCCGATCTCTGCCCTGAAACCAGTTCAATTTTGCACTCAATTGGGGTTTGTCTGTCACTAATCACGTCAGTCCCCGTTGAAATGGCCAAAACAAATGCAATAATTCTCATGTTTGGACAAAATCACATCCATTATTCATTGATATTCATTGGTCAAATGCCTTCTTGATGGTTCACTTCCTTTTTCAATATGGTTGATTCACCAATTTTCTGGAACATCCACCAGAAAACACCTGACACGTTAACTGCTCCAAACATCAAACCCCCCCCCCCCCCCCGTTAGGCGCGCACGTCGTGACTCCGCCAGCACAGCACGGGCGGAGCGGAGGCACTGGATCCGAGACCTGACTTTCCATGGGAAATCCCCTAGTGAAACGATGATTTTCCCATGGAAAACCTCCATTTTTTGATGGGGGATTTCATGGGATTTCCAATTGCCAGGCCATGTTTGATTCCGAATTCTCATCAGCATCTTACCCTGAGGGGGTAAACAAATGTGACATACATACATTCTTGGAGTGTTCCCATGCAGGGTTTCTTTTAACCCCTGGGGGCTCTGGGACACTAAGAGGATAGTGATGCTTTGTAATAATCCGTGATGATCATTTCTATAAATACTTCATAGCATTGTCATGTTCATGTTTATGACAATCACACCAATAGGATTATTATATAACATAATAATATATATATATAATATAATTATATAATATATGTATAATTATATATATAATATATATATAATTATATATATATAATATGTATATATAATTATATATATAACACAAAATAAATGGCAACGGCAACTCGCCATCTTGATCATGTTTTGACAATCTTTAAAATGATTTGGTGGCAATCATCCAGAATTGGTGGCATCATCGAAGGTAGCAAATGAAAAGCCATGCGGGTTGTCAAGGGTTTGTCCAAGAGTGGAGTGGAGTGTCCTTGGATTTAGGGAAACCCCGTGAAACCCCGTGTTTGGTCACCAACATCAGCTACGATCATTACACGAGTTAACGCATTCGTGGAATCTGTGCACAACGGAGTTGTCTGCTTGCAGCCTATTCCATGCAAGCCACGTGACTTTCCGTGAACAGAACTTTGTTTTTCCCCTTCCTTTTGGTGGGTCGACCAGAACCATGGGGATGCGCAAGGAACCGGTAAAGTTAAGGATACATTGCACACAAGTCAACACATTCTGTTAGGTATAGGCCCTATGCCTTACTGATAGAAACGGAAGGAAACAAATAATTTCCTGCATTATTTTCTCAATCAAATAATTCAACTCGTGCATGTTGAGAAATCCACCCACTTGCTGCTGATACTACTTTGCTCGGTGAAAACCCCTGGTTATATGCTTTTTTCTTGGCGGGAAAGTGTCTAAAGGAAACACTGGAAAACTTACAATACTTCACCCTTTGGTTGTTATTTAACATAGCTATGGAAAATGGCTATGATTTGCCTATTATTTCAATTAATGGTGATTTCCCATACGTTAAATAAGCCGAGGGTGTCTGTTTACATCTGTTTGCCATCAGAAACCAGTTTTTTCCCAGATGGATTGTAAACTCTTTCCCACCCTGATGGAAAATGTCTAGTTTTTACCATCAGAAAACCCCCGTTTGTCCCAGACATTTTCCCAGCACCCCAGGGACGCAACCGCAGCCGCCCTGAGGCCCTCAGGGCCCAACTCCAACTGCTCCCGCGCTGCCAGCGCTTTCTCGCGCAGTTCGCCGTGGTCACCTTAATGGTGGTTCAATGTGGTTCATATTATGGGCAAATGGTTGGATCTATGGTGGACATATTGATTTATATATATATATATACCGATATATAGATATGGTTTTCTAATTATTATGATTGTTATTACTTAACCTTACTATAATTTCATAGTATTCAAACTATAGTGTGTCCTTATATATATATAATATATGATATATGATGATATATGATGATATATGATGATATATGATGATATATGATGATATATGATGAACTATGTATATGTATGCAAATAAATGTGGTTATATAATGTCAAAAACTAATGAAGTTACTGTGGCTCTTCCTGTGCAACCACCTGTTATTTGCCATCTGTGAACATATGGAAATCCATGGGTTTCCCTAGCAAAATGATATACCAATGGTGAGTTTTCCATATCTGTGCTAACTTAATTTATTTTGATTTGTGGCAATCTAGTCAGGGTTATATCTGTTAGTCCCACCCCCCTAATGAAAATATCCACACGGGAAACCCAACATGAATAACTTTATTATAACTTCCAATGTTGAACCAAGAGGTTTTTGGAAGTATTTACTGCTAGAGAAAAAGATCATTTTTTCATCGACCCCCGCAAGCAGGAGTCTAGACCAGGATTGTCAAGTTTTTGGGGTGTTGGCCTAGCCCAACCCTTCACTATCGGCCCCCGCTGATGGCCAACTCCTTGTCTGCCCTGACGATGGCAGATCGCTGGAAGATTATGTACCAAAGACATCCTAACAAGGCCCATTATATTGGTCAAATCAGAGCAACATAACAAAACTATGGGCAATGAGTTTAGGATATCGATGATATTTTAGGCCATGTTTCGTGGGTTTTCTGTTGGCCACCTGAATGGGTGCGACATCTTCAAAACCAGTTGAACCCACAATCCAGGCAGTGAATTGTCGCCATGTTTTCCCAGAAATTGCCTCACTTCTTTTCATGAGACAGGCTGGAGGACAGCCATCAGGGCTGCAGTTTGGAAGTTCACATCATGCTTGGTAAAAAGAAAACCTGCAGTTGAGGAAGCAAAGTTGACATTCAGTCTTTCACGCAAAGAAAATTCAGGAAATAGTCAGGGGTTGACCGAACATTCGCTACGTATTTTCCATCCATCACCATCACAAATCCACTGAAGAACCAGCTGTGATGGATATCTCCAGCCATGGTGAGACCTAGCTACTCAGGTGCCGACAACGCCTTCGCCTCCACAGTGTCAAAACATCATGATAGAAACCTTTTCAGTAGGTATAAATTCACCCTGATATTCAAGTTAATGCGAGCAGCCTCCTAGAAATACCCTGATTTGGTATTAGATCTATTGATTTTGAGTGCTACATCGATGGTATTTTCCATCAAGGGGATGGGGCTACTTTATCCAAGAAAGCAGTATCCGAAAATCTAATGAACATAGCAGCGAATTTCCTAAAGATTTCACAGAAAATCCCTACCAAGTGGTGACCCCAAGATAGAAGTTGGTTTACCCCCCATTAAGATATGTCTACCTGTCTGCAATAAAGATCAATATTCCATAGCTATCTAGGGTCCTCCGTGCATATGTATATCTATTACGCACTAATATATATATATAAATATTTATTTATTTATTTATTTATATTTATTTATTTATTTATTTATATTTATTTATTTATATATTTATTTATTGATTTATTTATTTATTTATTATTATCAATTACTACCTGAGGAAGGGCGAAAGCAGCAGCTCAGCTGAAGAGATCCAGGAGTTTCCTTCCATCCACGGCCTGCCAAAACAAAATGAGCGAGATCAACACGCCGTCTTTCAGACATCTGGACAAACTGGTACATACCAAAACGTTTGAACATATCAAATATTCTTGTGTTTTCTCGAACAAGAACAAGTAGCAACAGTAATGAACACAACGATAGATATTCCTGAGACAAAAAGAAGTGGTGCTTGAATATATACAGTTGGTGGATTGGTGGATCCAAGGGTTTTGTTCCCGTGTTACTTATTATCTTCAGCGTTCCCTGTGAAGGCCCCCCGCGTCATGTGTACAGGACGCATCAGGACGTGCAGGGGCCATATACTATACACTCATTTGTACGCATATGAATATACATGTATATTTGTGCCCATATCAATATCAAGCCCCAAAAAGACAGAACAGTCTTTCCAGGATGTTGTAGATGACTTCGACATACCTACGAAATCCTCAGGCCATAATAATGGTCTGAATGCATTCAGGCTGAATATTTGGCCTGAACCATTTTTTTTTAGCCCGAGCTAAAAAAATAGCCCGAGGCACTTTGCGCAAAAAAATGCAAAAAATGTTGGCTCAATGGTATTGAAATCAATTTCACATATTGAATGGCATGGATAAGGCGGTGCATAATCGAGAAATCCCAGAAGAAACTGTACCATAATATCATGCAACCTTCCTACAAATCAGCAATGTCAGAAGCACAAAGCAGCAGCCCGGTTAGCTGATATCTGAATACATCTAACTGGTTTCCATCCAAACTATAACTTCATATTCAAAATTATTCTGTGACATGGTGATAGGTCTATAATATAATTCAAGCATGGTTTGAATTTCCCAAAAAAATGAAAAATCTGGATTTGAACTGCAAAGAAAACATGAAACATCTGAACATTTTGAGTTGCGGCATTTGTTCCCCGATTAGTGCGATGTTTTGCCCGAGTTTTTCATGAAAATTTTGGGTCGTTGACCAAATTCAGCCCGATTTTTTCATAAATGCAGGTTTGCAATTCCAAGTCAAGCTTAAAATTTCGGGGTCCCAAAACCAATATAGTGGAAACAAGATGCGCCATGAACCTGTGCAAAGCTTGCAAAATATGTCTTTTACCAACAATACACCTCAAACGTGCCACAGTCTGGTAACTTTTTTGATTCTTAATTATTGAGCCTATTGTTTGATCTTCTAATTCTACAGGACGAGAACAGGATACGGTAAGCATCGGGATGACCAAGTAGTTCGTGAGTTCTTCCCTGGTTTGAACCTGATTTCTTACCAAATTCAGGTTGGGATTCAAACAAATCAGCCTGAAAATCAGAAAATAACTTGAGATCACCCTCAGATCAAAATTTCAGTCTGAGACCCCAAAAGTTATTTTTTCCTCTTCAGGCTGAAATTATGTCCTTTTGGAGTTCCTATAGGTATAATGACTTCATATCTCGAGGTTTCCCACTTTTCTATCGTGTATCTCGGGTTGCTTTTGTATGGGTATATATATATATGATTTTACATGGATATATGATACATAATGATATAATATATATATATATTGATATATTATATATATATATTGATATATGGGAAAATATCCTGTTTCGCGTCAAGTTACTGTGAAACCTTCGGCAACTATGATCAATCCGAGGGTGCCCCTGGGGAAGCAAAGGCACCCTCCAGGGATCTGGGTGGTGCTTTCTTCCCATGATCAGAGCTGTGACAGTTGTGAGTTTTGGATCCTTTTGGGGGGTTCAAAAACAAACGTACACGATTTCACGCACGGCTGTCCGGCCAGTTCCCCAAACAGAAATGGATATCGACGATTCAATTCTGGTTCTCCATGGTAGATTTGAGCTGGGTAGAAATGACAGAGGTGATAGTGCTGATTCTGCCATCTTTGCCCTTGTCATTTGGCTCACAAATGTTTCCCAGCAATGGTTGGACTGCCTCTCTGACCCCACTGGTCGTCGGGCAGTTGGAGCATGAAAAAAGCAGCACGTCTTCGATGTCCTTTGTTTCCAGTGGTCATGCTGAACCCCCATGGCCAACTAAGCTCAGATTCACTGCGAAAAGCGAGTTGCTTGGAAGAAAAATGTATCCTGCCCCAACAAAAATCAGAAACTGTGCATTTTACATTATATTCTACCCAACTTCAGGATTGGATTTTACTTCTCTGCATCTTTTTTTGGGGGGTTGCTATACATGCTCGCCATGGCTGCACATTCCCAACTCGTCCTCCTCTGAAAGGTCAAGGCCTAACACCTGTGGGGTAGGTCCCCATGACTGGGGGATTCAACACAAAACCCGGGGATTTAGGGGTATATGTCATATTAGGGGGATGGGATTGTCTTATCCTATCTATCGTCTATCATTATCATTCATTATCTATCTCAATTTCTGTTCATCTCTGAAGCTCTCTAGCTCTACACTATGGATGTCATTTCATCTGCAGGAGTTATCTACAAATTTACAGCATGTTTACTTTAATTGATTTGCCATGCTTGATGGATCCTGTGAAAAGTGGTTGCTGATCGCTCAGGCATGGAGTGGGATGAGCCGTTACCACAAGTGTTTTGGCAAATAAATCAGTCTATCAGTCTATCAGTTTTTGTCAGCTTTTTCCGAGTTGAAAACTAGAAAACCATCGCCCCCTTCCACCATCCCTTCTGCCAAAATCAATCTGGGGCCCCATCGTCACCACACACCATGCGGAATTGTTCCTCTGCCCGGGAGCGATATGTCAGCAGTGCTAACAATAGTGATGATGTGGACTTTGGGGTTCCAGCTTCACACTCGGGGCTTGTTGCCACCAACAACCACTAACCAGGGTTTCTTAACCATCTACGGTATTCTTGGGGGCCATGAGTCTCCTTGGGGGGCTGGCTGACCCATGACATGGCCCCAGCAGTCCGGAGTCATGAGCATGTCGGCACGCCACACCTGAAACCGCCGTTGGCATAGCTTGGTGAGGACTAGCCGCACTAGTCAACCACCAGTATATGTCAAGACTCGTCAGTTCACTGGTTCACTGATTTTACATGATTTTACCATCTAAGTCAAGTGCAAACCAAATAGGCAGTTTCATGGGGGCTAAAACCCAATTCTGGATGGAAGGACTTCAGACTTCAGCCCCTTCCACTTGCTCTTCAAAGAAATGTCCATAGTCCAGAGGTGCCCTGTTATAGTCCCTGGAATAGTCCTCCGTGTTTGGAAAAAAACTTTTACACACGCAGGTGCCAATCGACATGTCCATCCGAGAGCAAGGCCACGAAGGCTTTTTGAAGTTCCTCGAGCAGAAAGGCGGCTTGAAATTGGCACTTCGTCTTTATAGTGTTTAAAGTGGAAACTTGGTCAACTGGCACGTGGCTGAACAAATCAACCAAAGTGTTCTCTTCATTTTTCTTCTGTTTTTTTGGGGTTGGGACAACCACATTCGAAATCACAAACCAGTCACTTGAAGTATCTGAGCATCGCTAAATGCGCGATATGGCTGTCCAGAATCCACACGAATCCCCTTATGTGCCAACAATTGAAACCAACCAGCTCAACGAAAAATAGGTTGGTTCATCTTTGTCAAGTCTGGATGATAGTGAGATGTTGGAAGCTACAACGTTGACCCAGCTTTGATGAACCCCTGGCTGGTGAATGTGAATGCAACATGTTTAATACTAATTGCAAACTGTTTTCAGCGTATCACAGTATCAATGACTCACTCAGGGTTTCATTAATCCAGGGAATAATCATGACCCAAAAAACATAAATGTTACACAACGATGGGCTCTTCATTCATTTGAAACGGGGCGATTTTGAATACCCCAATCAGTAGGTGCCATTCTGGCACTGAAGAGGCGGTTCAAAGGCTCGTGATGTAAGGATGGATTATCTCCAGTTGGATAGCATTCAAATTAATTTCAGTTATATCTAATTAATTACTCAAAATTGGCTATCTACTAGGTCTACAAGTGGGGGTTGCTACAAAGAACACACAAATATATACACATAAATCACACACATATATATATATATAGAGCCATCCCCAGATAGGACAAATAATGTACCACTACTTTAGTCGGATCTTACTGTTCGAATCTTTCCGGGGACGGGATACCACGGGCCCATCACTTCCCAGCCCAGATCGCCTCCCGGTTGTTCTGCACCGCTGTCTTCAGGCGACAGAGCCAGGCATTCATCTCTTTGGATGACCTATATAATGGGCCCAGGTCGGGGCCGGATTCAGGGTGACTTCATACTGCTTTACTGGGATAAATATGGGATTTACTTGGCTTTAAACAGGTCAAATATGGAATTATATGGATCTATTATATAATGGGATTTAATAGGATTGAATGGAAATACCCTCGAGTCATCATAGTTATATATAGAAACCATTTAGTTCGATGTTATGACCATGATTTACATACTAACTACCTTTGATATTAAATGATTTTCCACAGCTATGTTAAATTACCAGATGGTAACATCTATTCACTACTAACATTCTGTTAAGTTCTGTTTCATAAAAGTTATGAATTGATGAGACTACCTCCCGCCATCAACAAGTCCGAGCGCTGTCAGGCATACATAACATCTGCACATTCGAACGTAAGTATTTGCAACTTTCCTCACTAAATAAAACATATTAATCCCTGACACATTAATTCTTGAACTCAGGAGGTTTCAGTGTCCCCTAGCTGGGGCATCTGCTCTTCAAACGGGACCCCCAATGAAATGAACCAAGTCTTTTTGGAATTGAGGGATGATATCACTCATCAACACATATCATTGGATTACGAACTCTCAAACACCACCGGTCACCACTGAGTTTATCAATCCCACGGCTACTGGATACACTCCAGAGCATAAGATCCGCACAGCGTCGCTTCCCCCAGGGGCAAAAGCCTTGTTCTGTGGGGAAAGGCAGTATTTATCCAACGCTTGGAAGGGACATGGATGGCATGGGCAACATAATGCAACATGGATATAAATATGTCTATAGTATACGTTAATGTATATATATGTATATATATGATGAATGTTGGTTTCTATCTGTATATAAGGTTTTGCAGCCGATAAGGGGTCTTTTGGAATTTGATTCTAGGGTCCTTGGTGATTTATATTTACCCCTGATTGTGTGATATATATATATATATTCCAACATTTATTTCTTTATCTATCTTATCTATCAAGGTAGGTGGCCTTGGTATACATATATATATATACTATCATATACTAGTGAAATTTACCCCAAAGGAAAAATGGTGTTGGGTTAGTGTCCCTTGGATGGTTCAATATTATTAATTCTTATCCGCCATTCGATTGTCATGCCAAGAAGGGGATTGACAATTTTGCCTCTCCATCCATTTACCCTTCTATTGTACTCGTGGAAGTACCGGTCAGAACAAACGATCACCAATTCGATCGTAGTTCAGATATTTTTTTTTGGTTGAATACTTAATACAATATAAAATAAGATATTGTTATACGACGGATTTGCGGAGGCGATGGATTTGGGGTCCTCCGAGCCAAAAGATCGGCATTTTTGTTTCCTAAATCTCAACATGAAGGACCCCGAATACATTGCGGGAAAAATCATGATAGAATATACGGTTACCGTAATAATAAGGCTGCTTCCTAAGTCCACATGCAAATTTCTGCACCCTAACATCGGCAAAAAAATATGTTTTTTTTCCCTAAATCCCAGGGTACAACCTCTGTATTCCCTACGTCTGAGTGCAGAAATCTGCACCTTGACTTAGGCAATACCCCACCAAGCACCTAGGATATCGTCAAAAAAAACATGCCTAAGTCAAGGTGCAGATTTCTGCACCCTGAGTTCGGCAAAAAAATGTACATTGCATTTAAAGGATATATGATGTAGACGTAGAAATAATGGGGAAATTGAATATGTGAGTAAAAAAGTGATTATCATGGATAAGATTGGTGGTTTTATACCAAAGGTATATGTGGGCACCATCATCCTAGAAGAAATATGAGCATGATTGAAACAAATAGATATAGTACATACCCTATAAAGGAATGATACCCATTCCATTTTAATCCAGCAATTGGTTGGGTACCCTATAAGGGAAATGGTAGTGGACCCCTGTTTATCCAAAGAATATGAAAAAATAATCGTAATCGATACTGGGATGATACCAATTTAATCAACCAATTGGTTGCTAAAGGTGAAAATCATAATGTACATATGATTATCCATGAACATGGTAGAAGACACATAGATACATGAAATAACCAATTGGTTACCTCATGGGGGAAATAGTAAGGTACCTATAATACAAGTCAATTCCACCAAATGTAAATATATATATATATATAATTATATATATAATATTTGGAAAGACCCAATAATCCATTTCCAGAGACCCCAGATCAATTGCAAAACCTTATATATCTCTATTATATGATATTATATGTCTCCCTGTCGCCATCTGTATGTAAATGAAACTGTCAAGTCTACACTATATACCATGCACAACAAAACATAAACACATAATTACAAATACAGAATACCGAAGGAGCATGACGATATATGACGATGGCAACCTAGGAGCGGTAGATGGGGATGGTGTACCGGTGTACAGGGATATGATTGCAACCTTGAGTCAGTGCATGCAATGATACGATATCTCCCAAAAGATCATGTCGGCGTTCAGTCAGAGGAAGCCAATTTGATTTAAATCTGGGTCCTATGAAGTTTTTGAACCTGGCATTTTACTAAAGATTGTCTGCCAACTGTATACCCTGCGGTAAACTAACATAGCTGTGGAAAACAACCATTTTGTGTTGATTTACCTATTAAACAAGGTGATTTTCCATATCCATGTTAGTTTACCAGAGGGTAAGTCCCAACTTTTACGAAAGTCTTACATGTCACTAATTGTTGCTAATGGATACCAATGGTTCCTAATGGTTGCTAAAGTTTGACATTTCGGACCATCTTTTGTCCCAAATTCAAGGCTCCACCATTGACCACACCGCCAAGCGACAGCATCAACCGCTCGGAGCCGTGCTTCTGCCAGGCCTTCCGTTGGACACCCTTCCCTGGTGACAATAAATGCCCAAGAAAATGGACCCCAAAATGAATAGGTCTAAATAAACTAGGAATTCTAGGGGGTTAGTTATGTAGTGTTTTGGGAAGGGATCTTTTTTTTCTGGCACATATAAGATCCAACATGAGAGAGGGAACCAACACATGGGCTAGGTATGTATATATATATGTGTGTGTGTATATGTATGTGCATATTCTCTGGCAATGAGATATGGCACTGGAAAGCACACATCTTTGATGGGAAAATCACCTACAATTATATATATACAACTGCACCTGGTGGAGTCCATGTTTTAGGGTACAGCTTGAAGGGTTCGACAAGAAGCTAAAGGCCGGGTATAGCCTGAACCAACCTTAAAGCCTTAAACCAAACCAGCTTATGGGAGCATTCAGTCCACCTTTGAATGACAAACACACTGAAAACGCTGGGCACTGGACCTGTTCATTTTGAGGCCACCCTTTCAATGAATTTATGTTTTCTCTCCAGCACCATCAGCATAATTTACCCTCTGGTAATTTGACATAGCTGTGGAACATCACAACTTTTACTGGGCAAATCATCTGTATGACCTATAAATGATAGGTAAATCATGTGTATATATATATATAGGTATTACCAGAGGGCATTCTTAGGGCTGACCCTGATTGTCGCGCCTCCACCCATTGAGATGCTTCGCTTGGTGGCATCTCTAGGGCTGCACCTGACATGGCTGATATGGTCAGTTGGGATCATCATCCCGCTTCAGAGGTGGCAAGCAAACAAATATATATATATATATATTATAATTATAATATAATATAAAATAATATAATATGATATAGTCTGATATAATACGATATAATATCATATCATATCATATAATATCATAGAATATAATATATTATGATATAACGTAACACAATATAGTAAAATTTAACATGATGGAATATAATATAGTATGCTATGATATAATATAAACAAATAAAAGAATAGAATAGAATAGAATAGAAATTACACACATATATATATATATATACATATATATATATATATAAACATAACCAGCAGCCGAAGTTCAAAGGCTCTATTCAGTAAAGTAGGGCAATAATGTGCATCTCCATTTTTTTTGTGTCTGTAATGTTGACCTATGATTTATAAATGCCCCTTGAATAAAGCTATTTTTTTCCCAAAATAAATAATAAATGCCCCCTAAATAAAGCTAATTGTTTTTGGCCCTAAAAGATTTGCCCAGATGGGGCTGATTTTTTTTTTCCATGCTTTATTTGAGGTGGCTTTCATGTACTAATTCATATTGCCAGCTCATTAGATCTTACCTTGATAACTTCAAATTTTCAAAAATAATGGTTGCTCTTTTCTATTCAAAACCTTTATTCAAAATTATCCAAAATCAATCCCAAATCAACTCGTCAAGGGTACCCCCCATGAGGTGCCTTGGCACTAATTAGAGTTTGACCCTGAATAAAGCTAATTGTTTTTGGCCCTAAACCCAGATTTGCCCAGATGGGGCTGATTTTGTTTTTTCCATGCTTTATTTGAGGTGGCTTTCATGTACTAATTCATATTGCCAGCTCATTAGATCTTACCTTGATAACTTCAAATTTTCAAAAATAATGGTTGCTCTTTTCTATTCAAAACCTTTATTCAAAATTATCCAAAATCAATCCCAAATCAACTCGTCAAGGGTACCCCCCATGAGGTGCCTTGGCACTAATTAGAGTTTGACCCTGAATAAAGCTAATTGTTTTTGGCCCTAAACCCAGATTTGCCCAGATCCATGACATGAATACTAAATCAATACTAAATCCATGACATGAATACGAGATCAACACTAAATCCATGACATGAATACTAAATCAATACTAAATTCATGATATGAATACTAGATCAATACTGAATCCATGACATGAATACTAAATCAATACTAAATCCATGACATGAATACGAGATCAATACTAAATCCATGACATGAATACTAAATCAATACTAAATTCATGATATGAATACTAGATCAATACTGAATCCATGACATGAATACGAGATCAATACTAAATCCATGACATGAATACTAATTCAATACTAAATTCATGACATGAATACTAAATCAATACTGAATCCATGACATGAATACTAAATCAATACTAAATCCATGACATGAATACTAAATCAATACTAAATCCATGACATGAGTACTAGATCAATACTAAAACAATTGCTGGATTCCTTTTTTTTTGAAATTGCATTTTATGTATTCGTTTTCAATTGTGGTAATTTAAAACCTTTACATACAAACAAGTTTTATGGTGGCCTTAAGTCTATTTAGGGTCAGAGAGGGGGGGGGGGCCCCCTATTTATAAATCAAGGGCAGACATTATGCCTTTTCAGGAGGACAAAAAAGAACAACCTTTCAAGATGTTTGCCTATTATCCCAGCATCCCAGCATCCCAGCAACCAAGTTAAGTGAGATCCGTTCACTTTCCAGGCAGTGCAGCCACCCATCCAGGCCTCCGAAGAAAGCTTCAGCCTTGCTCTTACTGTCCTGGGAGAAAGGCTGTGATCCAACAGCTTTACACAGTAAGCCAACTTAATGTGTGTTTTGAATCCTTGGACTGGATCGAAATTGAAAACTGATTGATATCATCAATCTTGCCTGTAGATTTCATGACAAGGGTTGGATCAAACACCTGTTGGACGATGTGTAGGTTGTACATTTCCTTTTTCAGCATCTGTAGCCATTATAGCCAAATTGGTTTGGGTCAAACTTTCAGACCAAGAAATACCAGGGACCAAGCAATTCATTGTCGTTACCTTATTCTGACCCACACTCACATGGATAAACTATACCCTCCACAAGGTCGGTTCAACCCCAAATTCTGGTTGGTAGTGAGTCCGTATGTGTTCCTTTCATATTGTGATCCCTGGGTAAATTCCCATGTTTTGGTTGATTCAAAACCCTTTTTGACTGGTGAACATTTCATTCTTGTTGGTTAAATTGCATGTCTGTCGATGAACACATCCATCTTGGTTGATTCCACTTCCACTTTGCGTTCTGCTCCCATATTCATCTTGACCTACATTACGTGTATATATATATCTCTCTCTCTCTCTGTCTCTCTCTCCCCCATCGCCATCTCAGGGAAATCAACAGTCAAACTAGTTATATACTCAGTAGTTACGCTCAGCAGTTCTACCCTCTCGTAAAACCAACATATATAGAAAATGGCCCATAGAAATAGTTGATTTTCCCATTGAAATGGTGATTTTCCATAGCCATTTCTTCCCACCCGTCCAATCATCTCCAACATCGCCGAGATGTGCCAAGTGACAATCACCCCCAGCTGTCGCAGCAACTCTTCGCTGTAGAGTCTTGCCCTGGCGGCATAGCAAATACTGCATGTATGTTTATACATATGTATATTATACTATATATATACAATGATATTTATGTAAAGAAAGAAAGATAAACACAAAAAATAGAAAGAAATAACTATTGATAGATAGGTCGGTGGATGGATGGACGGATGGACGATTTATGCTAGTGTGTGCGCGTGTGCACATGGTATTAATAAATATTAATATTATTTAATATTCATATCAGTCTTATTAGTAGTATAAATGAGAACTATGACATTATTAGTACTACTGCGTGCTGACACCATCGTACTGTTTTGCTATCTTATGTATATATATATATAAATATTGTAACTCTATATATATATATAGTAAATAAATATATATATATATAATTAAATATATATAGTAAATATAATGATTATTTTGTATAATTGCAGTAAATAATTATATATCACATATATATATATGTATATATATATATATCATATTAATTGATCAATTATATCCCCCCTGCTTATCCTCTCCATCTCCCGCCTGAGACAAGCCCAGCGCAGCACCAGCAGATCTGGAAGCAGCTCGTCCCAGGAGGATGGACCCAAACCATCCAGCAGAACCATGGCCTCGGCTTCGCCATAGGGCCGTTGTTTACGTTTTTTTTTCGCATCCAAAATGGGGAAGAAAACATAGATGGTGGTAGAAGTGAATTAAGACTTCATTAAGACTATTCCATGTTTTTGTTACGGATTGTGAATTCTGTGAAAGAATTGTATAGTTATAGTCATTGTATAGTATGTCAATTGTATTCAATTGTTGGGATATAACGCCCGCGACTGTCGAAACATAATGTTATAGAGCCGTTTATAACCCAACTGCAACCCAAGCAGAGCACCCAGGTTGCACCAATGTGATCTTAAGTCACTGTTACCATCCAGTAATCAAACATGGCTCGGGAAAAAAACAAATTAAAATGGGAATCTGAGTGGGAAATGCATCGAACTAAAGGATTTTGCAGCAAACCATGTTTGACTACCACAAGGTACATCTATACCCAGTCCGATTTTGGGTGAAAAATAGTTGACACAGAAAGATGTTGGAATCATGTTGCAATCATCATCAATCATCTCCCCCATGTCGATTCTTCGGAACTGATGTGCCCTGCAGCCATTAAAAGTAGAGAATGATACCTAGGCGAATTGTCGCCATTCATCGGCTACACACCCAAGTAGAACCCATTGCAGTCTTTGACGACTTTTGATGTAACGTCAACTTCTGGAAACACAGACGTAAACCATCTGTGACATTCTGCAAGGTCTCAAAGTTGCATCTGTGGGTAGGCCAACCCACCCAAGATTCTGAACAATCTGGGGTCACACGCGTCCAACCATCGGATTCTTTCCGTGTCCTATTTGGGTGCGTGACTAATGGGATCTTTTGACTGAAGTAGTTCTTGCTATACGATCTACTGTAAGTTGCACTGTTACAGTAACCACATAACAATTTTTGAGAAATAGAATCACCAAATGCATCACTAGTTTTAGGAGTATTCATCACCATGTTATCAATATTTGAATATTATATATATATATTTACAAACAAATACCTTATCGCCATTTTAAAATTGGACTTTTCTTTTCTGCATCGCGTCTCCAAGTTACTCGCTTCCACCCATCTGGGGAACTGACACCATCGTGTCCCTACAGTTTTCTACATTTGGTGGGTCAAAATATGGGACAACTGTGACAACTACCATATCCCATTTATATCATTTATATCATTTACCATATGGGCTAGTTTGGGATATCCCAACCATATTTTAAAAGCCAGGACCTATAGGAGTTGCTTGGGATATCTTTGGACGCCCACCGTGGCACTAAAGGAACCATCGATCTGCACCTCGCTGACGCGGGAGGCTAATCTGAACAGAAGGCGTGCAGCCTGCAGGCGTTCGGATTGGAAAATCGCCAGGCGATGATTGGAACCAATGGAACATGACCAGCACCTTGTGGCCTCATGCGTCTTGACCTGAAACCATGTTGCCAAATGAGAATGTGTATATATTATGCCTGGTAGTAACGCTATAACTACCAGGATAAATATGTGTATATAATTGTATATATACTTTGTTTGTACATAATTATATATACACTATCTTCATCGATCTTCCTGACATTTAAGATGAAATCAGCAACATGGACCACGATGGATTCACAGTTCGCTGACAAAAAATGGTACTTGCGGAAGTGTGTTTTGTTGAAGCTTCATGTTTGAGCCCAAGATGATCTTATGGCTGTCCTCACCGGGTCCTCACCAAAAAAGATGGACACATCTCTGGAACCACACAGCCCACACAAGGGCCCCAGGACTAAACCAAAAATCCCAAAAATCCCATTCTTGATCATTTGTTCACGTACAATCATGAGGCTTGGTAAAATCCATCCCCTCCTCGGGCATTAAATACATCCGTTTTTATGGGATGAATTGAAGTTTTGTTTAATTAACCATGTTAACAGTTAAACCATACAAAGTCACACTAAACCACATCAAACAGTATCAGTCATTATCACATCAGATCGATCTAATACTAAATCATACTAAAAAAATCTAAAACCTACTAAAACCATCTAAAACCTACTAAATCATACTCAAACCTACTACAGTAAATCATCCTAAATGATGTTAAATCATGCTAAAACCATCTAATTCATTCAAAATCATCCCAAAATCTACCAAATCCATGCTAAATCATAATAAATCAACATATATCTGACACCAGACTAAACATCATACTACATCCATGCTAAATCATGCTAAACCTATGCATTTTTTTTGATGCAAAAAGTCCCTCCGCGCACCTCGCTAGGCTCTAGGGGGCAGCCATGCCATTGCGCCATGGCCTCGATGAGTTCTTGGAGGTTCAACAGGCCGTCCTGGAGACAACGCGTCGGTGAATGGTGGTTCTCGATTCACCACTATACTATACTATATTAAACTAATGGTTACACTAACGGTTATACTAATGGTTATACTAGTGGTTATACTAATGGTTTGACTATAGAATGGCTATACCAATGGTTTGGCTATATAATGGTTACACTAATGGTTTGACTATAGAATGGTTACACTAATGGTTTGACTATATAATGGCTATACCAATGGTTTGGCTATATAATGGTTACACTAATGGTTTGACTATAGAATGGTTAACTAATGGTTTGACTATGATGGCTATACCAATGTTTGGCTATATATGGTTAATGGGACTAGAATGGGTTTGACTATATAATGGCTATACCAATGTTTGGCTATATAATGGTTACACTATGGTTTGACTATAGAATGGTTACACTAATGGTTTGACTATATAATGGCTATACCAATGGTTTGGCTATATAATGGTTACACTAATGGTTTGACTATAGAATGGTTACACTAATGGCTTGACTATATAATGGCTATACCAATGGTTTGGCTATATAATGGTTACACTAATGGTTTGACTATAGAATGGTTACACTAATGGTTTGACTATATAATGGCTATACCAATGGTTTGGCTATATAATGGTTACACTAATGGTTTAACGGTTTGACTATATAATGGCTATACCAATGGTTTGGCTATATAATGGTTACACTAATGGTTTGACTATAGAATGGTTACACTAATGGTTTGACTATATAATGGCTATACCAATGGTTTGGCTATATAATGGTTACACTAATGGTTTGACTATAGAATGGCTATACCAATGGTTTGGCTATATAATGGTTACACTAATGGTTTGACTATAGAATGGTTACACTAATGGTTTGACTATATAATGGCTATACCAATGGTTTGGCTATATAATGGTTACACTAATGGTTTGACTATAGAATGGTTACACTAATGGTTTGACTATATAATGGCTATACCAATGGTTTGGCTATACAATGGTTACGCTAATGGTTTGACTATAGAATGGTTACACTAATGGTTTGACTATATAATGGCTATACCAATGGTTTAGCTATATAATGGTTACACTAATGGTTTGACTATAGAATGGTTACACTAATGGTTTGACTATATAATGGCTATACCAATGGTTTGGCTATATAATGGTTACACTAATGGTTTAACGGTTTTACTATATAATGGCTATACCAATGGTTTGGCTATATAATGGTTACACTAATGGTTTGACTATAGAATGGTTACACTAATGGTTTGACTATATAATGGCTATACCAATGGTTTGGCTGTATAATGGTTACACTAATGGTTTGACTATAGAATGGTTACACTAATGGTTTGACTATATAATGGCTATACCAATGGTTTGGCTATATAATGGTTACACTAATGGTTTGACTATAGAATGGTTACACTAATGGTTTGACTATATAATGGCTATACCAATGGTTTGGCTATACAATGGTTACACTATGGTTTGACTAATAGATGGTTCACGAATGGTTTGACTATATAATGTCTTATACCAATGGTGTGTGATGGTATATATGTTACACTAATGGTTTAAGTGACGGGGTTGACTATGTATGCTATACCAATGGTTTTTGGCTATATAATGTTAACACTAATGGTTGACTATAGAATGGTTTACACTATGGTTTGGACCTAAATAATGGCTATACCAATGGTTTGGGCTATATAATGGTTTACACTATGGGGTTTTGACTCTAGAATGTTACACTAATGGCTTGACTATATAATGGCTATACCAATGGTTTAGCTATATAATGGTTACACTAATGGTCTGACTATAGAATGGTTACACTAATGGTTTGACTATATAATGGCTATACCAATGGTTTGGCTATATAATGGTTACACTAATGGTTTGACTATAGAATGGTTACACTAATGGTTTGACTATATAATGGCTATACCAATGGTTTGGCTATATAATGGTTACACTAATGGTTTGACTATAGAATGGCTATACCAATGGTTTGGCTATATAATGGTTACACTAATGGTTTGACTATAGAATGGTTACACTAATGGTTTGACTATATAATGGCTATACCAATGGTTTGGCTATATAATGGTTACACTAATGGTTTGACTATAGAATGGTTACACTACTGGTTTGACTATATAATGGCTATACCAATGGTTTGGCTATATAATGGTTACACGAATGGTTTGACTATATAATGGTTTTACAAATGGTTTGACTATACAATTGTTACACGAATGGTTTGACTATAAAATGGTTGCACTAACGGTTTGACCATATAATGGTTACACTAATGGTTTGACTATATAATGGTTATACCAATGGTTTGACTATATAATGGTTTGACTAATGGTTTGACTAGAAAATGTTACACTAATGGTTTGACTATACTGATTGGTTACACGAATGGTTTGACTATATAATGGTTACACGAATGGTTTGACTATAAAATGGTTGCACTAACGGTTTGACCATATAAATCCCCCATCGAATTTTAGGGGAGACGTTGTGACCCCTGGTCTGTAAGGCATAAAAAAGATTCACAAGCTTGGGGCTATAGAATGAGGTTGCTGAGCTCCATTTTTCTCCAAATTGGCCTTGGCTACAAAATGCCCCTTCGTTTCAACAACCTTGACATAGGGGGAGGTTTTCCCTTGTTACAAAATGCCCCTTGGTTTTCAACAACTGTATCATACAAGGACATACCCTTTGCTACAAAATACCAATCTCATTTTCAAGGACTGCATATGCAAAGGAACATCGTTGCTACAAAATGCAACGTTGTTTTCAATATCATCCACCAAGATTCATCAAGCATCATCATTCATCACAGATCAATATAGATCAATACAGATCAATACAGATCATGCATATTCATGCATCATCATGCAGAATTGTTCTGTTTGAATCTGCTTGGTCCTTTTCATTGTATTGCGGCGGCTCTGCAACGGATTGCTTGAACCACATCTAAGCTACAAAATGCCCGTTTGATTTTTATAAGCCAGTATGAAGCTCATCATGTCATGCTACAAAATGCCACTGCGGTTTTCATGATGGGCTAACATGACTAAAATGACTCCTTTATAAAATGATATTCACAAGTTTAAGCTACAAAATCTTGGACCTGGATTTCATCTCAGGGTTAGCCTGACTAAAATGGAAGCCTCTGTATAGTGCTTGTGGCCACCAACTCTGTAGCTTGAATTTGCTGGGGGATCCATATAATGGTTACACGAATGGTTTGACTATATAATGGTTATACCAATGGTTTGACTATATAATGGTTTTACTAATGGTTTGACTAGAAAATGTTACACTAATGGTTTGACTATACTGATTGGTTACACGAATGGTTTGACTATATAATGGTTACACGAATGGTTTGACTATATAATGGTTTTACTAATGGTTTGACTAGAAAATGTTACACTAATGGTTTGACTATACTGATTGGTTACACGAATGGTTTGACTATATAATGGTTACACGAATGGTTTGACTATATAATGGTTACACTAATGGTTTGACTATATAATGGTTACACTAATGGTTTGACTATACTGAATGGTTACACTAATGGTTTGACTATAGAATGGTTACACGAATGGTTTGACTATATAATGCTTACACTAACGGTTTGAATATATAATGGTTACACAGTGGTTTGACTATATAATTGTTGTACTTATGGTTTAAATATATATTGATAACACGAATGGTTTTACTATACAGTGGTTACAAGAATGGTTTGACTATATAATGGTTACACTGATGGTTTGACTATATAATTGTTACACGAATGGTTTGACTATAAAATGGTTACACTAACGGTTTGACTATATAATGGTTACACGAATGGTTTGACTATATAATGGTTTTACTAATGGTTTGACTATATAATGGTTACACTAATGGTTTGGCTATATAATGGTCATACTAATGGTTTATAACTATATAATGGTTACACTAATGGTTTGACTATACAATTGCTACACGAATGGTTTGACTATAAAATGGTTGCACTAACGGTTTGACTTTATAATGGTTACACGAATGGTTTGACTATATAATGGTTATATTACTGTAATGGTTTGACTATATAATGGTTACACGAATGGTTTGACTATATAATGGTTACACGAATGGTTTGACTATATAATGGTTTTACTAATGGTTTGACTAGAAAATGTTACACTAATGGTTTGACTATACTGATTGGTTACACGAATGGTTTGACTATATAATGGTTACACTAATGGTTTGACTATATGATGGTTACACTAACGGTTTGACTATATAATGGTTACACGAATGGTTTGACTATATAATGGTTTTACTAATGGTTTGGCTATATACTGGTTACACGAATGGTTTGACTATATAATGGTTACACTAACGGTTTGACTATATAATGGTTACACAGTGGTTTGACTATATAGTGGTTATACTAATGGTTTGAATATATAATGGTAACACAAATGGTTTCACTATATGATAGTTACACGAATGGCTTGACTATATAATGGTTGCACGAATGGTTCGACTATATAATGGTTATACTAATGGTCTGACTATATAATGGTTACACTAATGGTTTGACTATATAATGGTTACACTACTGGTTAGACTATATAATGGTTACACGAATGGTTTGACTATATAATGGTTACACTAACGGTTTGACTATATAATGGTTACACTGATGGTTTGACTATATAATGGTTACACTAATGGTTTGACTATATAATGGTTACACAGTGGTTTGACTATATAATTGCTGTACTTATGGTTTAAATATATATTGATAACACGAATGTTTTGACTACATAATGGTTACACGAATGGTTTGACTATATAATGGTTACACTAATGGTTTGACTACAGTAGATGGAATGTAATGGATATACTAATGGTTATGCTAATGGTTACACTAATGGTTATACTAATGGTTACAGTAATGGATACTAATGGCTATACTAATGGTTACACAAATGGTTACACTAATGTTCATACTAATGGTTACACTAATGGTTACACTAATGGTTATAATAATGGTTACACTAATGGTTTCACTGATGGTTACACTTACGGCTATACTCATGGCAACACTACTGGTTATACCAATGGTTACACTAATGGTTACACTAATGGTGACACTAATGGTTACACTTTCGGCTATACTCATGGCTACACTACTGGTTATACTAATGGTTACACTAATGGTTACACTAATGGTTACACTAATGGTTAAACTAATGGTGACACTAATGGTTATACCAATGGTTATACTAATGGTTACACTAATGGTTATACTAATGGTTATAATAATGGTTACACTAATGCTTGCACTAATGGGTATACTAACGGTTACACTACAGTAATGGTTACACTAATGGTTACACTAATGGATAGACTAATGGTTACACTAATGGTTACACTTACGGCTATACTAATGGCTACACTACTGGTTACACTAATGGTTACACTAATGGTTTCACTAATGGCCACTAATGGTTACACTAATGGTTATACTAATGGTTACACTAATGGTTACACTAATGGTGACACTAATAGTTAAACTTACGGCTATACTCATGGCTACACTACTGGTTATACTAATGGTTACACTAATGGTTACACTAATGGTTACACTAATGGTTATACTAATGGTGACACTAATGGTTATACCAATGGTTATACTAATGGTTACACTAATGGTTATACTAATGGTTAGACTAGTGGTTACACAAATGGTAACACTAGTGGTTAAACTAATGGTTACACTCATGTTTGCACCAATGGTTACACTAATGGTTACACTAGTGGTTTCACTAATGGTTGTATTTATGGTTACACTGATGGCTACACTAATGGTTACACTAATGCTTATAATCACGGTTATTAAGTTATACAAATGGTGACACCAATGGTTTTACTAATGGTTATAATATTGGTTACACTAATGATTGCACTAATGGGTATACTAACGGTTACACTACAGTAATGGTTGCACTAATGGTTACACTAATGGTTATGCTAATGGTTGCACTAATGGTTACACTAATGGTTACACTAATGGTTTCACTAATGGTTATACCAATGGTTATACTAATGGTTATAATAATGGTTATACTAATGGTTTTACTACTGGTTATACTAATGGTTACACTTATGGATACACTAATGGTTACACTAATGGTTATACTAATGGTTTCACTAATGCTTTTACTAATGGTTATACTAATGGTGACATTAATGGTGATGCTAATGGTTATAATAATGGTTACACTAATGGTTGCACTAATGGTTATACTAGTGGTTACACTAATGGTTACACTACTGGTTATACCAATGGTAATACTAGTGCTAATAATAATGGTTATACTAATGGTTGCACTTATGGATACACTAATGGTTACAATAATGATTCTACCAATGGTTATACTAATGGTTATAAAAATGGTTATACTAATGGTTATACTAATTAAATTGTTAAACTAATGGTTATACTAATGGTTACACTCATGGTTACACTAATGGTTACACTAATGGTTATACCAATGGTAATACTAATGGTAATAATAATGGTTTTGCCAATGATTATACTAATTCAATTTTTAAACTAATGGTTACACTAATGGTTGCACTGATGGTTACACTTACGGCTATACTCATGGCTACACTACTGGTTATGCTAATGGTTACACTAATGGTTACACTAATGGTAACACTAATGGTTATACTAATGGTTGTACTAATGGTTACACTTATGGATACACTAATGGTTACACTAATGGTTATACCAATGGTTATATACTAATGGTTATACTAATGGTTATACTAATGGTGATACTAATGGTTGTACTAATTAAATTGTTAAACTAATGGTTACACTGATGGTTACACTAATGGTTGCACTCACTAATGGTTATACTAATGGTTACACTAATGGTTACAATAATGGTTGCACCAATGGTTATACTAATGGTTATATTAATGGTTATACTAATGGTTACACTTATGGATACACTAATGGTTACACTAATGGTTATACCAATGGTTATACTAATGGTTATACTAATGGTTATACTAATGGTTATACTAATGGTTTCACTTATGGATACACTAATGGTTTACACTAATGGTTATACCAATGGTTATACTAATGGTTATAATAATGGTTACACTAATGGTTCTACTAATGGTTGTACTAATTAAATTGTTAAACTAATGGTTATACTAATGGTTACACTCATGGTTACACTAATGGTTACACTAATGGTTATACTAATGTTTACACAAATGGTTACACTAATGGTTATACTAATGTTTACACAAATGGTTTCACTAATGGTTTTACCAATGTTTACACTAATGGTTACACTAATGATTACACTAATGGTTACACTAATGGTTATACTAATGGTTACACTAATGGTTACAATAATGGTTTCACCAATGGTTATACTAATGGTTATACTAATGGTCATACTAATGGTTACACTTATGGATACACTAATGGTTTCACTAATGGTTATACCAATGGTTATACTAATGGTTATAATAATGGTTATACTAATGGTTATACTACTGGTTATACTAATGGTTACACTTATGGATACACTAATGGTTACACTAATGGTTATACCAATGGTTATAATGGTTGCACTAATGGCTATACTAATGGTTATACTAATTAAATTGTTAAACTAATGGTTATACTAATGGTTATACCAATGGTTACACTAATGGTTACACTAATGGTTATACCCATGGTTATACTAATGGTTATACTAATGGTTATACCAATGGTTATACTAACTATATAAATTGTTAAACTAATGGTTATACTAATGGTTACACTCATGGTTACACTAATGGTTACACTAGTGGTAATAATATTGGTTATACTAATGGTTATAATAATGGTTACACTACTGGTTACACTAATGGTTACACTAATGGCTATACTAATGTTTACACAAATGGTTACACTAATGGTTATACTAATGTTTACACAAATTGTTACACTAATGGTTCCACTAAGGGTTACACTAATGGTTGCACTAATGGTTGAACTAATGGTTATACTAATGTTTACACAAATGGTTATACTAATTTAATGATTTAATGCGTACACAAATGGTTACACTAATGATTATACTAATGTTTAAACTAATGGTTACACTAATGATTATACTAATGTTTACACAAATGGTTACACTAATGGTTATACTAATGTTTACACAAATGGTTACACTAATGGTTATACCAATGTTTACACTAATGGTTACACTAATGATTACACTAATGGTTACACTAATGGTTATACGAATGTTTACACAAATGGTTACACTAATGGTTACACTAATGTTTACACAAATGGTTACACTAATGGTTACACTAATGGTTACACTAATGGTTACACTAATGTTTACACAAATGGTTATACTAATTTAATGATTTAATGCGTACACAAATGGTTACACTAATGATTATACTAATGTTTAAACTACTGGTTACACTAATGATTATACTAACTAATGGTTACACTAATGGTTACACCAATGGTTATACTAATGGTTACACTAATGGTTACACTAATGGTTACACTAATGGTTACACTAATGGTTACACTAATGGTTACACTAATTGGTACACTAATGGTTACACTAATGGTTATACTAATGTTTGCACAAATGGTTACACTAATGGTTATACTAATGGTTACACTATTGATTAGCATGGATAATTGATTGTACTATGAGCACTACAAATGGATTAGCAATGGATCCATGCGATTCATGAAGAGTTACCATTATATCAATTGCTTTATCTAATATGCACATGTGTTTTTTTATCAAATGAGAATATTCTGAAGAACTACTTTAAGGTGGCTGATTGGTGGGATTCTTGTATATTTGTGGATCTGCAAAAAGCAGCAGCAAAACAAGGATCAACTCACAGGCCCAATTGACATGACCTCTATGGACAGAAAACGAGAATTCAAAGAAGGATATGATGCACACATCTATAGATATTCAATGACATTATATATTTTGATATACTTAGGCCCAACTGTCGGTCTGAAACTACAAAGATATAATATGAAATAATATCAGCATACAGTATATCAAAGAAGCTCCGAACTGGAGGCAACTGGCAACTGCTTCATGTCAATGTCAACCAAAAGCTCATCACGCCTGATCTCTGTCTGCTGCGCATAGGCAGCGCATCAGTGGCTGTGGCGATTCGCGACGGCTCGCGCGACGCAACAGAGCAAGGCCTTACACGTCGTGAATTCGACGTGGGCTGTGACTCTATGCCATGCAATCCGTGGTAACAGAAACAAGTGGCCAAACAACTGCTGAACAACCAGCAAAAAATGATTTAAACAAATGGTGTTTCCTAAACTGGGGGTCCCAAATCATCCAAGTCATGGATCACCATTTTAGTCTTGCATCCTTTGGTGACTTGGGTATCTCCATTTCAATACCCCCTCAATAGTAATAGTTCCTTTTGAAAAAAAAAACGCCTATCTTAGGATGTCTTGCCTCACTCTTGCCAGTACGGAATGACATGGCTCAAATGTGGAACAGCAACAACTCCATAATTTGCACAAACAACGATGGATAAAATTAATCGCCTGTATCCTGTATTATATCCTTGCCTTCAAGTGCTTGTTTTGTATTCGATCCCATCCCCATATATCCCCATGTTCCAAGTGTTGCAATTTCAGCTCATCTCACAGGCTGGGACTGTGACCTATGTCTTTCTTTGCAGGCGCTGCAGAGAGGGCCACACCTGAGGCATCGTGGCATCGATGTGCACAGCCCAACCATGGGGACCACAGGGGATGAAACCCGATATACAATTGGATAGAAAGGTTGGGAATCTGGGCCTGCCCCGATATGTCAGCTCCGTAGTTGGGCATGTAGGGGAACAACTAAATCTGAAGACAAAATTGGCATACCCTCTGGTACAGTAATCAAACATGGCTTGCTGGAAAATCCCATTAAGTTCGATGATTTTATGATTTTACCGTTGAAATGCCCATTTAGTTCGCGGATTTCCCAGCTAGCCATATTTGATGACACCCGAGGGTACGCCTTAGATTCGATCCTTCTGGGATGTTTGTCCTCCCAAGTCTTCCTGAAGTCTTCCTGAGAAGATGTCACACCGCGCCCGCCATGCCTGTGACGGTGTAACGATCTGGCGCGTCAGAAGGAGCGGTGACCAGTCGAGCTTGGAGGCCTTCCAATTCCTGCCGGTGTTGAGCCCATCGCTGAGATTTCTTCTCAAGCTAATTCATTCAGTCAGTGGACAGAACTGTTTTCCAGCGACACTGAACACCATGCCACCATACTCTAGTTTGCATTGGCAAGTTCGATAAGATTCTTTTCTCAATGTGAATCAACACTATCATCCCACTATCTCACTACAATCGCCCCACCATGGGAAATATCAGAAACAGGTGGATGTTGAAGTCAGGACCAGGGTCCAAAGCGTGAGAATTCTGCACGCAACACACCTTCCCGGAAAAACAAACCTGCCTTCCAAATCTCCCTGTGGATCCCTGAAAGCTGATAACTGAAAACTAACATGCCACTCACTCCATAGGGACAAAACTGCATTTCCTTTTCAGTGACAGTGACATGTTTGTTTTCCATCTTGGTTTTCTGAAGGTTATAAAATTACAATGTCTTGCTGCATGCCGGAGTCACGCCAATGTCGTCCTCCTGGTCTTGTTTCCGGTCCAGCTCCATTTCATTAATTTCCGTCTGCAAATGCTCCGCTTCTTTTCCTTGTTGCGTGTGCCAAAGAGAAGCCGCAAAAGTAGAAAGTGCGATTCTGGGCACATGCCAATTTCCACCAAACTTAAATAGGGAGAATAGCCTACTCATGTCACACCTTAAGGTACAACTCGGATGAAGTTGGACTGGATGTTGTGGGAAAATGCTGCAAGAACATCTCCCAAGTTGAAAGCAATTTGCAGCCTTCAAGGCAAAATCCAATATCTACCTGAGGCCTCATGACAACAGGGCCACCATCACAGCTTGAAATGAGATCTTGTACTCCAATGCTGTGCCTCCCTAGGCCCTAGGCCGAACCTGCTCAAGAATCCTCATGTTCTGCTTCACCATTATGTGGATCTTCAAATACGCCAAACAATTACAAACAATTCACATAAACTACGTTCAATTATATACATCAATCATCATCAATCACAAGGTTTGGGCTGCGTATTTCCATTGTCTGGGGCGCAACCAGGGCCAGGCATAGGATCTGCCTTATCTCTTTCTCAGGCAAGGCTCGATCCTGGATAAGTTGTTTGCATTCGATGGTGATGTCCTTCGTCTCTGATTGCACCCTGACACCACAAGGTAGAGGTGAAGAGGCGTGCTCGGGATGGGCTCTGGGGCATTCATGAGAAAACCTTGCAATAACTTGAAACATTTTGAAGCATCTTAAAACATATTGAAACATATTGAAACGCCTCAAACGTACAGAACACACACTTGAACCTAAATCTTCCACTGTCGAACCCGTGCTCACTTCGCGCGATCTCTGAGACATGAGTCGGTGTGCCCTGGTAGTTCCGATCATCATCATCATCATCATCATCATCATCATGATGCCACAGGAAACTCATCAATCAACACCTGAAACTTGACCTCCTGGCACCGCTAGGCTAATGTAATGGCCCAAACCTTGCTAGCTCTTCAGCTTTCTCTTCGAACAGCTCCTTGGCACTTTGGTGCCCCTCCTGGCGACAAGCTGTGGCAAAATGTGGAGCACGTAGGGCCCATCTGCATAGGGTTTAAGTGATTGGGTGAAAATGGCTGTGGATCCCATTGAAGATCATATTTTTTGAATAGGCATGCAATTTATTAAAGCTAAAAAAGAAGAAAGAAATCACTCATCACAAAACTGCCAAATTAGGGGTCCAAGTGCAGCAGACTTGTCTTCAGCCAAATAACTCTAACTCGAAGCCGAACAGGTCCCCCAAATCTCAAAGACAATTCCACACTATCACCGTTTCTTTTTGTCAATGTTGTTGATGATGCTTAATTATCATAGTTTATCGTATTGTATCATCATGTTTATACTGAATTTAAGCAATCAACACCATGTTTGGTACGATAGAAATGTTCTATTAGCAAAGCATGATTATTACCAATTCTGATAAAATTCTTGTGTCACTTCCATGATCACTGGAAATCCCCGCCACACGGCTGCGCGGAGTGGAAACGTGATCGCTCCGTGCGAAAAATGTCATGTTTGATGACCGAGTAATCCTCATTTTGCCTGTTGTAATATGATAAAATCTGATATGAAACTCTGTATTAAACTGTTGTATCATGGATATCATGGATAGACGTATCTATACTTTAATGTGTCATGACCAACTGTAATGTCACTTCCATGCTATGGTGCATAAAGTATCTCCATGTATTGTTGGTAAATATTACGATCACCACATGTTCTTGGTGCAAATCGGTATCCCATTAAAACCTCCATTCAATTCAGGGATGTCCGTGATGTCCGGCTGTCACGTTTGATTCAAGGAAAATGACATTTGTTTGTTTCATGAAACAAATCTGATGTCATTTACATGTTAAACATATCTTTGATGGTTACAAAACCGACAAAACCCCATAAAACCCTATAAATGATGGTTATCTTCCCATTAAAATCCATTAAATCACTGTAATTTGTCTCATTCCCATCATTCCCATCGCACCTGCTCGCCCGTCAGCTCATCCTGGGCCCGTACGAGTTGTCGTTTGATTTCAGCGAGCTCCTGAGGTCTGATGGGAAAAATCCAGCAGATCTCGTGTTTTCTTGGGGAAACCCACAGAAAATCCTTGGGAATAGCATGTGTTTATATGTTTTTACTGGGAGATTTCAAGAGATCTGATGAAAAATGATGAAAGTAGGGGCCTTTTTCTTTTTTCTTTGTCATCCTCTGGCAATCTCGACTTGAAATGGGGAATCCACTTCGAACATGCAAAACATGATTTATAAATTGTGCGTTCTTGTTCTTACCATCTCGCAATCGAACACAGCAGTGGCAAATCACCACTTCCAATGATAAAGTCATCTATAGTATCCGTAGAATTATGTGATGGGACGCCATCACACACACATGGTGGATTTTTTCAGTGCTGGTGTACCACGTTTGGCACAGGGTAACATGCCACATATGTCCAGCCCAAATCCAGGCTTGGCCAGTCCCCAAGCCGCCGCAGTGGCAAAGTTCCCTAGCCTGGGAGAGCTGCTTGACTCTCTTCTCTTGCATTTCAGCCTGGTCAAGTTTGCCAGGTGCGATGTGCTCAACTGGTGACACATAGTGTTGGGGCGTCTTAACTCACCTCAAACATCCTTGTTAAATGGGATCCAGGTAGGGATGGGAACGACACATACTTGAAACATCTTGAAACAGCCAACCAAAATCAACCAAATATCTGTGGAGATCAAGACTAGGCCCATGTCGTAGCGCAAGAAGCTGATCTGTACATACGTACGGATTGCAGATGCGCGCACCACAACATTTGGTCTTAATTACCAGATCTAAAATACCGTCTTACAAGGCACCAGGAGACACTTCTACATCAACGGACACTCTCAAGTGCACGTGCGTTCCGAAAGCGCTTAACTGGCTACGGCAGCAGCAACAGCTATAGGTCAGACTACAAAAAACCTTTATATCCTTTATGAACCTTTGCTGCCCCCTGAATCTTAAGAGAACATGACCCATCCCAGACCATTCCCAAATATTCTTGAAACCCTATCCATCGACCACTCGCCGGCCCGGAGAGACAGACCTCTTTGCTGACGGCCTCAGGGTCCTGGAAAGCCAAAAGTTCTGTTTGTCACATCATCTCATATCATCTCATATCATCTCATATCACACCGTTTGCCCAGCGTTGCAATGTGATGGGATCCCATCCTCGATCAAATGTTGATACAACTTACAATCAATTGATTCCCGCAATCTCTCTATATCATGGATATATTGGATATTCATGGATTGTGATCTTAATATATTGGTCAGTACAATGCCAAATGAAGCAACTGGGGCAGATCCCAGCCACTGCTCATCTTCCAGGCCTGTTTCATCATGGACTCAAGCCGTCTGGATTCTTGTTTCCATGAGACCTGAAGGCCGACCGTCGGCCAAGATCGGCCACAGGGCCATGACGAAACTGGCTGCGGGTCAGAAGCCAGTTAGAAGTAAACAATTTGGAGTTGGAGAAACCCCTTGATAGGGACCCCCCCCAAAAAAATACCAATAATTTAGCAATAATAAACAGATCAACAAAAACAAACAAAGAATAAAATACAGTAATACAAAATTGTTGATTAATGAAATTTAAAAACACACTGTATAATATATATGTTACAATGTATTTCAAATGATTATTATAGTCATGGATTTCACAACCACCAAATTGGATTCGAAAATCATCTACGAATCGGTCATTTGCCGGTCGGATTTGAAAAACAACTGGTGGCTGCAGTATATTCAAGTGAAAATTGACATGTCTTATCTGAACATTGACCATACATTGACCTGTCTCAACGGAAAAGGCTTAGCATCACTGTTAGCAGCTAACAGTTAGCACCAGTGGTTGGTAACTGCGGGGCAATGCAGCTAGGGGACAACCTGAAAACTGGGCTAATCATGTATAATGGTGTTTTGAACAATTTTCTGGCTTGATCGGAGTTGTAGCTGTTCAATGTCTCGGTTTACCCGCCAAATCCTACTAACGGGCATGCATCTGCAATCATATGCATATCAAGCATATATTATACGTCTGCTTATGTCTGCGTGTGTATGTACATGTACATGTGAATGTGCATGCGCTATACGGAAATGTATATATGCGTATATAGTATGCACATGTAAATGTAAATATATTTTTATTTGTTTTATTATCATTATTTTATTAATAATTCATTATATATATATGTGTTATATAAGAAAAATGATAGTCTTTAGCAACAATAATAAATAGTAATGGTACTAATAATAAATAATAATAATAATAGTACATGCGACTTTTGGGTTTCGGATTCCATGCGCGCAGTATATTTATGCGCAAGAAGTGCGCAAAATGTTCAAAGGGAAACAAAACACAGTTTTTCATTTTTTCACATTTTTTCACACCTTTTTCACATTTTGTTCGTGCCTTTTTCACTCTTGTTTGTCGCAAAGAAACAAAACACGTGAAAACTGTGACGGATTTCTCCAACGTGGAATTGCGTCACTTTTCCTAGACTTGCGACTTTCGGACAAGACATGCGACTTTTGTCAGTCACCCTTTTTTCCCTGCGACTTGGCTTTCTAGTATATAGTTTCTTTGCAGCTGAACTCCCACTTTGGTCTTCTTAGAGATTCTCGTTCTTATTGGTCAAAGCGTCGTGGTCTCTGCTTCAATTGCCGCCTGTGGTGCCAAGTAGCGAATTCCACCTGCAACTCAATAATGCGAGTGAAGTCAAGCTCGCGTTTCCTCAGGGCTGGCGGCTGGGATCGGCTGGGGTGCAGCCGAAATCCCGGTGCAGTTTGGAGGAAGGGCAGGCCTTTCTTGCATCCAATAGATATCAAACCAAAGGCCAATTCCCCTTTGATCACAAGAATTGCACTAGAGTTGGTGGCTAGTGCACAGAATGCTTGAGCTCTGACCAGAAGGCCAGAGACCCTGAAACATGGGTAAACAGTAAACACTGTGCGATTACTGCGAACCATTGCCACTTCTTGTCCATGTAATTGAAGTAACATCAGGCCAATTCCTCCAGTAGCAAAACATCTTACAACCTCCCCATTCTTGGCTACATCCCTTTTGTGGAAGTGAGTTTGGGTGCTATTCTCTCAACAACCACTCACCAAGTGCATCATGCCGAAATTTCACCCCTTTCCAAACTGACAAGATTTGGATTCAACCAGAACGGAGCCAATGGAACTGCATCGGCTCATCGGGCAATGCATGATATTAAACATGTTTCTCTCCTACGGTTTCAGACTTCAGATGTCTCATGCTGGCATGTTCTTCCATGTTCTTCCTACTGTCATCTGTTATGTCTAAAAATCATTAAAAATCTGTGTGGCTTCCCCATCTTTTCATGGCACCCTTCAGCCTCTCACCGTCGATCAAGGGACATGGCTTTGTGATCGTTTTCTCTTTCCAAGATCTGCTGCTGTAAGTCTTGTGCCTGCCACCCGGCGTTGTGCGCCAAATGGGATGCCACAACATAAATCTCAAGGGGAAAGGATGAGCACTCATTAATTGTTAGGGGTACCATACTTTTAGACAAACCCAAAACTGTTGCCAGAAAAAACACAGTAAACAGGGAGGAAGTTCGCCTGGGTGGCGGGCTTAACTTATCGAAGAAACTGGACATAATGAACCCATTGAACCACCAAGTTTGAAACTGAAACTACCTGCCAGAAACACACCTGCAATGAGGTGTTTACCTTGTGGCTGCAACCAAAGACCAAAATGCAGGGTCGATCCGTTTTTAAACCAATAAAATGAAAGCCACATACTGTAATCCACACAGTTTGAACCTTCGCCAGGTGATGGTTCTTGCAAAAATGATATCGACAATTGGTATGTATGATTATGTGTGTAATGATTGAATGATTATGTATGTATGTATGTCTGTCTATCTGTCTGTCTCTGTGTGTGTGTGCCTGCTTGCTTGCTTGCTTGCCTGCCTGCCCGCCTGCCTGCCCGCCTGCCCGCCTGCCCGCCTGCCTGCCTGTCTCTCTGTGTGTGTGTCTGTATGCTTGTCTGTATGTTTGTATGTCTGTCTGTATGCATGCATGCATGCATGCATGCATGTAGGGATGTATGTATAATGTAATGTAATGTAATGTAAATGTACTGTAATGTAATGCAATGTAATGTGATGTAATGTAATGTAATGGTGTGGTCTGGTCTGGTCTGGTCTGGTATGGCATGTGTGTGTGCATGTGTGTGTGTATGTGTGTGTATGTGTATGTGTGTGTGTATGTGTGTGTATGTGTATGTGTATATGTGTGTTTGTGTATATATATATATACATATATATCTGGATGGTATGGTATGGGTATGGGTATTGGCATTGGTAGTGGTATTGGTATTGGTGTTGGCATTGTATTGTATGTACAACGTACAATTTACAACAACAACGGTTGGCAATAGATAAGTACAGAAGTCAGGAGGCATTACATAACAAGCTGTCATAGCAACCAAAGATTGCCAAAGGATAACCGTTCGCCAATAAGAACTATCACGGTTGCATTTCAATCAAACCCTGCAGTCTTCAGCTCATTCCAACGAGGACATGGGAACATGTTTGAGATATACTGACAAGGGAGTTGCCTATTAAGCCAACCTTCCGGATAACTAGTCCATCTCATGTGGTACACCCAGTAGTCAACTACCCCTGGTTTCACAGAAATGGACGGTAGAAATGCTTCAAAATTGGGTTTACCACATTAATCTAAGTACAGTCAACCAATCAGTTTTCATTTCCACTTCCGGGATGCTTCCAATGGAGGGAGAACCTGGCCACCCGGCTTCAGCTTCCCCCGCTTCTGTGGCCCACCTTCTTTCTGTAGAGAGGCAGCATGATTGTATACTCTTCCTTCATTTCAGAGGCCCAAGCAGTGAAAAGCAGAAAAGTTGCTCGATAAAGACAATTCCAAATGCGGCGCACATTCGCTAAGCCAGCATACCTACGTCAATGTTTACATGATGTATTAATCATGACTTAATATGCTGCGAACTCACTTAAAGCACCTGAAATGTCACAATAACAAGAAAATGCGGCAACAATATCAGTGCACAATGAGAGACACACATACTATGTTTTATGGTTCATGACCCGAAAGGAACCCATCGCCCATTCCATGGCCGGTCTTAGATATCCTGCATTGTTTTCTTGCTGGTTGTGCTCATACCATATATATATATATGTATATATATATATGTATGTATGTATAGTACATATGGAGATTTGGCAACAAATTAAATTTGGAATACAGTAATACATATACTAATAAATGCAAATATATATATATATACATATTGAATATTTATCATAAATGAAGTAAACACATATTACATCACCTCATTCACATAATATATGTAATTATAATTATATGTATATAACGTTTATTAAGGTATTCATTGTAGGTTTATCCACACCCCTCTGGCGCTGCCCGGACTTCACCGAGACATGGTCAGACAAGCTACGCGAAGTTTGTCGATGATTTCGGGCCCGAGACCCAACCCTTCATGATTTAACCTCAGCGTCCCAGACTTGGTCAAAGGGAAAATAACCAAATAAGTTGGAGAGATAAATATTACATATATAATGCATCTATAGACAGTATATATACTATTGCAGGCTTGACCTGCGATCATGTGCCTGCATACCCTCAAAGTGCTTGGATTAATGACATGTTGAACCAACTCCCTATCTGGGTATGGCTATGTATGGCTCAAAAAACGGGTATGGATCATTGCGCGGTGATCCCGACTTATGTGGAACGCGTTTGGTCCGGACCTATTGAGAAGGTATACAAGAATGGCTTGGTACACGTACAACTTTTCAATACTTTTCATTTTTGGGTATTCATCAAGGCTATGGACCATATCTGTGAGAGATGTATGGGTCATGGGTATGGGTTGGGGCTCTGGATCGCCTGTGGGTCGCATGGATCGGGGCCTTACATGTTGCCATCTATAGGTAAAAAGCCTCGGAGTGCCACCAGGCAATGGTTGTAACAGGTTGCCCATATACATCATATATATGAACGCATGGGTAGTTGCTTTCGTAAATGGTTCGGGCGTAAACAGACCATCATCATCATCATCATCATCACCAATATCATCATCATCATCAACATCATCAACATCATCAACATCATCATCATCATCATCACCACCATCACCGTCACCATCATCATGCATCATCAATCATCATTCATCATCTTGGATCGTTCATCGTCAACCCATGTATTACGCATGATCCAATGCAATCCAATGCACAATGATACAGTATGTCTACATTTATCGTCGCCAAAAAAAATAGCCAAGATTGGGGAAAGGAATGTGGCTTGGTACTTTCAATTTGAACCAAAGGGGCCTCACCATGGTCTGCAGCAACCTATCTCGCTTGTTCTTTTCTTTGGTCAACGCCATGAGCCGCGTGCGGTTCCGCAAGTTCTCCTGGAGGGAACTTGAAGCATCCCAGGGGCTTGATGCCAGCTGAATGGTATAGGCTCGGAGGGGTTTAGCAAAATGATGATCCCAGTAAAGATTGAATTTTCAATCAGGAGAGCCACAAATCACCACTTTAAAACCTCTCGCAAAGTCACTATAGTGAAAGGCATGTTCAAGGAGCGACTTGACCTGAGAAGCTAACGCATAGGGCAACCCTGACAGAGTCTCATCCACCGCACTACTGTGAAGTTGCTCCGTCAATTTCAGCCCTACACCTCCATACCATGCAAGAACCAAGAAATGGTCCAATGTCGCCCAAGTTTAAGAATTGTTTATAGGGCTTGGTTGGTGAATCAGGTTCTTGAATTAGATGTCTTATGATGTCTTATGATGTCTTTGTGTGTAATTAGTTCATTTTTGTACATGGATGTTCAACCCACATATGGAAAAGAGGCTGAAGACTGGTCGCCGCGCCTCAGATGTGCTATTGATGAGGCATTTCAGCTCTGTACCTCGGTGGCAGTGTGGTGCTCACCCACGAAACCTGACGGCATCACAAAACACCTACCACATCTACATATATATATATACATACATACATTACATTACATTACATTGCATTGCATTGCATTGCATTACATTACATTACATTACATTACATACATACATACATATGGCAAAAACGGGTACGCCCGCAATTTTCTTGGGTTGCACAACTTAACCTTTCACTGACAGATAATGTTCTTCAAATGTAATGTGGAAAACACAACTGAAGGAAGCATTTGGGGGACATTTTACATGATTCCAGTCATAGTGGTAGACCATGGTATACCCCATACTAAACCTCTATATCGGGGATTGTGTATTTTCGGGTTTACCACATTGGTCATCCCAATTCTCATCTCAAAAAATAGTTGATTATACTTGGTTATATCTCCCATTAAGCCATCAATTAATCATGACAGAGTATGGGTTTGTCTGAAATAATGGTATGTCCTCCAAATGACCAGTGTGATGGGGAACATGAGAATAACCCATTGGAATGAGGGGTACCCCATTTTCAGACAAGCGGACAATCTTTGATAGTCCACAAAAAAATCCTTTGCTGGTGATGGTTACTGTACTTTCCATTTATAGCAAACCTCAAGGACTAGTTTTTACCCATCCAAGCATGGGGATAAGCAAGTGACAAGCCATATAATGGGATATATATAACAACAATATATACATAAATACATGTGTATATATATATGTATAAATTAATATGTGTGTTTTATAGATATGTTGAAAACAACTCAAATAATATATATATATATATGTATATAATGTATATAATTGGCCGACTTCTTGGGGATGAAACTCTACAGCGTTTCCAAACGGCATATTTAAGCCCAGCGCATCTCGTCGCCAAGTCACACTGTTTCCTGAGCTCGTCCAGCCGATGTTTCTTGTCCACGGACGAGCGTGGCCTGGGGAGCTGGCAAGTCCAGCTGGTGGCGACCCCCGAAAAATCCCAGTGAAAAATCGTTGGATAACAATGGTTGTTCCTATGAAAATTATGAAGCATGGGGTTTCCTGTAATTTTCTCTTAAGCCGATCCATTGAATGAAACTTGGGATTGAACATGATTTAACCATGCAAATTAGGATGTAATCAAGAAGCGGAATCTAAATCTAACTATTGGAGAATGGATATGGGCTAGTCCAAAAACTGGGGGATGGGGTCCAAAAATAATCTTGGTTGCTGGGATTTGGGGATACCCCATTTTCAGACAAACCTAAATTGTGGATTATCGCTCCACATCACTCGTCAGGAATGGGACAAATACCCTATTAGAACATATTAAAATTGGTAGTCAACCTGCCAATGAACGACAAGGGTTTTGGAAATTCAGATTCATTGCAGGTTTAGATAGAGCGGGAAATCCAGGAAAAAAACAGGAAAACACTCTAGCAGTTGGTGTTCATGGCTTGATCTATGTCGATGAAAGTAAACGATTCCGGAAACATCTTGAAACCAATCGCAAGGGTATACGGTATACCATCCTTGGTTCAGAGCTGATATCCAGGAGAACTGCTGCTAAAGACAAATGCATGTGAACTGCATGATATAGACCATCAATGCTCATCATGCTTGGCAACACAAGCAGCTAAAAATGTAAGCAAGCAAAGCAATTTGAGCAACAATTCTGCGACATGCCGGACATGCAATTGATCAATCAATCAAACACACACTCACACCATACATACTGCCTTTAAAGCACTTCCATTCAATGAAATTCGAGCTGGAGCTTCCAAAGAGAACATCTAGCTTTGCCCAGAAATGGAATATAATCCCTAAGCCTATACTTATACCCTAGAATAACCTGTTCATTGGTGATCTTTTGGGGTACAAGTACCCATGAGTACCCTATTTTTAGATTTTAGACAAACCCCACTTCATTTTAGTTCGCCCTTGGGTTGACAGCACCTCCGCACGTGTGGGCTTCGGGTGCCAGGACGGCTGCTTCGTCCATCCTGGTAGCACCGCAACAAGTGGGGCGGGCTGGGTTGGCAAATGATTGGACTGTCTATTAGAAAAACGTCGCCTTTTTGCTGGGCCTATGTGTATCAATATTTAAAAGATGTGTATATATATATAAATCGTGTATAAAATCTGCCTATATCTTATCTATTTTGTATCTAATAAATATACATATATATTTGTGTGTGCGCGCGCGTTGTGTGCTTTTTTTTGGTTGGGGTAGGATGGATGAATGGTCCCTATGTTTTGTGCATGAGACTGTGGTAGAAAAACAATTGCTGGCCAACATAAGGTGAAAAAAACACGCCAAACAATGGATGGATAGCAACAAAATTCCTCAATGTTGGAAACATGGCCAGCTTGTAATTTCAAGGGGTACGGTGAGAATGACAAACCCCAAAACCCCATGGTCTCGGCTCATCATCACCAGGAAGATCCTTCCCATGTCTCAGGTCCACCATGAACTTTTACCTCTTCGCATCGTGACCGAAGATCGACCCCAAAGCCTGTCTACAATCTTGGAATTTTATATAATCATAATCATCCATCCAAGTTCCAAAGGTCACATGCACACACCCACACATCCCTCAGGATTGTCTGAAACCTCAAGAAAAATAATGATGAATCACAGCAACAAAGCACGCACACCCTAAGCACGATGGAGAATGCACTGCGAGTGGATGTCCCCTGACAATTCAATCAGATACCAGAGTTGTACCTGTATGCCATGGTCCCACTCAGAGAACGGTAGTCATCCACCCAGAATTTTGGAAGTTCAAGACTCCAAACTGAGACCTAATCCCATCCTTTGATTGACTCAACTACTCACCAACCCCAAACAAGGGACCTCAAAATGAAAAACATACACGACCCAGGGTGTGCGCGGCGTGCGCGGGAATGTTTACGGTTCAAAAATACATCAGTCAACTTTGCGCTTTGCAATTGAGTACCCGCGGAGCTATGCCAGTCATTGCCAGTCAACAGGGATCATCATCCCACATATATTTTCATATATTTTCTGTATAAATTATCATTGAAACCACGAACTGGATTGCTAAACCCGGGTATCTGGCAGGCACTTTCAGCAAACCATGGGCGGGGATTCTTGACAGCACGTCTCAGGCTCTCCGATACGGTCCTTTCTTTCACGGAGCGCGCTGCCCGGCCGACTTGCCATGGTCACAGCAAGTGCTAAAGTTCATGCAAGGAACCTAGCATCACAGCAAAGTGGTACACCCAATCTTTACCTAAAGTATCCTAAAGTATCAGAATCTATCAATTTGCTCATTAGAAATCCTTTAGGTTTGGGTGTACTGTAATCATCCACATCTCCTGGATCTGACGTCGCTGAGCAAGAACTGAGCAGCTTCAAGTGGTAGATGTTTTCGCGTGTTTCTATTCATTACAGTGCTATTAATCCGTGAAAATGATCATCTATGTGTTGCGTGTTTCTGTTGATCTGTACAGTATTAATCAATGTTAATGAATATTAATTAATCACGATCATCGTTTTGTTCGGTGAGTTGGTTCAAATTCTGGCAATCCTGAGCCCACAGCACATTGCAGGCAAATGCGCACACACACATATCTATATATATATATAGTAGAAATATTGCGATGATAATAATTACAAGTATATGCATGCACACGCACATTGTACAAATACATTCATGTCAGCGAAATAAATATCATAAATGGAGAAATCAGTTTCAACACCATTTTTCTCACGCAGTGTTCTTTTAATCAACAGCATATGTTGGATGCGGAGGCAAGCGGACTGACATCCCAAGTTCTCGTTCAATCATCCCTGGTGAGCATGGTGAGCAATTGCAATTGCCAGAAGGGATCTAAGTTGCAAAGGTTTTCTTTAACTTCCTCTGTGTAAACAACACATCTTAAATCCTGTCAGTGCGTTTCATTTCCCTAAATGTTACCACCATCTGGCCCTGAAAACAGCGATGCTAAGTTTAACTTGCGCAACTCCCGGTGGAGAAATCTCATTTCTGGCCTTCTCTACCGGATTTTGGGCTTTCCTCCAAGTCCTATCAACAGAAACCAGTCACTATAGATTAGATTCCAGCCCATCATCACATAGTTACATGGTTTCTTACCCTTTGGTTTTACACAGTCATGGAATATGTCCATAGTCAATATTACTTAATGGGCAAATCACCTACAAATGGACGATTTCCATGGCTATGTTTACTGGAGGGTATATTATTAGGAATTTGTGGTTCTATATTGTATTTCACTTATGTCTTTTTACGTGCTACTATATCATATCATACTGTGGATGGAAGAAATCCTGCACCAGTTGGTAGATAGTTTATTTCCTAAGCATCCCTGTCTTTCATCTAGGAATCCCAAAAGTCACCAACTGAATTTATTAACAATCCACAGTATCATATCATTGCTTTTACCCCACCATTCTTGAAATAACCAGAGAGTCTCAGAGAGTACATTGTTTCTGGGTAAATTATAATAGTTCACTAACTTGAAATAAGGCTATAGTATGCTATAGTGGGATAATTCCCCTTACTATCTAACCATGATTCCAGCGAGGTCACAGTGAGGTCACTATAATTTGCCCAAATGGTTTGGAAGCCCCGGCAGCACCTCAAACTGGCCAAGGCAGAGTTGGATCGTTGCAAGCTGCCATCGTAGTCCTGGCTTTCCAGGCCCGAGAAAAACACAGCTGCTACTGGTATAAGTTCATTCCCACCTGCCCACAATGTGTACACCCACATGCATACATACATACATATATATATATATTATAGTGTATTGCACACATATTATACATATATATATATATTTAAATATATATATATATATTGCATTGCATGTGAATATAAAAATATATATTGTATTATAAATATATTGTGTGGAAATATAAATAAACAAATATATTGTAAACAATTATATATATATTGCATATACATACGTACAATATATATGTATATATATATATATCAAAATGTGAAATCAGGCCTTATGAGATGATATGACCCATCCCTGTCTTCATGACAAAAGTCAACCCATTGGCAAAAAATGCTGAGAACTGGACTGATAGTCTTGTTGGTTCTGTTTCTTTACAGTAGGGTTATCCGCCTGCTGATTGGTTCCTGCTCCAAACTCAACTGGTTGGTGACTTCAAAAGTTCGTTAGCTAGAGCCCGCTTGTCCCGTTAATCTGGATGGAAAGTGAGAATGTACTCTCCGGGCAGTTGAAAATGCCATATAAATGGAGGTGCTAATGGACAAATCAACTATAAATGGCATCGCTGTACATCCTCACGCTAGCAAGTTGTATCCTCATCTTGTTTTGCTCGCTCAAACCAAATCCGTTCACCATCTACATCCCCCATCAGTCCATAGTTCACATATTACATCTTGGGGGGCACTGCTCCTTTTCTCTTTAAGTCAGTCAACCATGCTAGATTGCTGCATAAACCCAAGTTTTTGTTGCTTTTTGAACTACATTAATTCACCAAATTATCAGTTGTTGTTTCTCAAACCTCCCCGGAACACATCACGGCTGGCAGTTCTCACACAAGCAGTGGGCATGCCAAACCCCATTAGCTTACCATTGCTGACCATTGCTCAAAAAGACAGTATAAAAATTCTCAACAATCATATGTTCTTTCTTGGGCATGCTTTGGAATAAAGTACGCTCCCTCCACCCACAATAGTGTGGTAAACCATGGTAAACCCACAACAATAAACCTCTAATTTGAGATGGTTTATACTACAGCCTGTTTCTGGTGAAATTGAAAACTGTCTACTTAGTAGCCTAGGGCCTAGGGCTTAGTCACGCTTAGCCTCCTCAGAATCCTCACCTGCATGCGACGTTGCCGTGCGTCACAATCTGCACGCACAGCCTGTGTCCACTGGCAACTGGGGGATTCAATGACAAACATGGGGATTTCATATAGTATGTTAAATCTAGGAAAGCAACACACATACACAAACACATACATCTATGTATGTATATATATATATACATATATATATATGCAATGCAAACAATGATGTTCAACTGGATCTATTCAAGGAACAATTGAATAATTCTTCTTCGACAATCCAAACGGTGGATTATTGAACTGCCGGGTATGTTTGCACGATTGTAAACAATTATTTATGTTTATGTTATATATATATATATGATTATAAATTATTGATACACACTACCCACGCATATTTGCTTATTCATACTTCATCATTCATTGCATTTACAGTAAATACACAATACCCATCAAACATACTGCTGTAGCCACCTGCAGCTGCTGTCGCAGCTTGGCTTCCAGCTCTTCGCCTCAGCCGTTGGGGTCCGCTATGACTCTGTATTTGGAATATGTTGGATCAAAATGATCAAGCAACTTCAAGTAGAATGATTGCTCTTCGATGATTTCAATGCATAAATGTGTTAACAAATAATTTTGGTGTGGCTTCAAGCCCGCTGAGAAAAAAATATGTAGCAATCGGGGATCACCATTGTAGGAAAGAACTAAATATGTGATAGAATTTGAATGAATTTGAAATCATACGAAAACATCAACTCAATCAGGAGTTGATATTGTGTATTTCATTCTGTGCTACTCATCCTCTCCACGTTGAGAACCTTGGAACGACCATCGAGGCAATCCGAGGCAAAGAACTTTCTTTCAGAAATCAACCTAAGCCCAGCCCATGTTTGGAATGGCTCCCACTACTCACTAGTCATCATTTCTTGTGAGGTCGCTAGAGTAGATGATCATACACTACCCACTTCTCCGAAAGGCTCCCCGACTGGAAGCGAGTTTCTCGGACCCTTGGGGGGGCTTTCGCAAGGCGTCCAACTCGGCATTGACCTCCGAAGAAAGGGAGTTTCTTTTAGCAAGAATGATTGGGGGTGATGGAGCTGATGGGGATTTGTGTATAATACATAATATTATACATATATATATATATATATATACATATGTATATACATATACAGTATGTCTATTTTTGGTTATTTATTGATCATGTGTTTTTTTTAAAACATTTATTCAAATTTATTTATGTACATGTATGTATTTAAATTTATTTGTTCATCTAATTTTATATTAATTAATTGTTTATGTGTGTTTTTTTATTCAAATATGACATTTAGTTAGTTCGTTACAAATATTATATATATATATACTTAAGATATACTTAAATATACTTAATATAGACACATACAAAAAGTACACAATACAATTTATGCGTTGGGACCATCGGGATCGTTGGGACCGTTGGGATGTTAAAAGGCACTGGCCCACTGGCGGCGAGGGAACCCGATTCACGAGTGGATCCAAAACTCAACCAGGATTTCCCTAGGGGTTTCCTGTCTCTCCTAGGAAACAATAGTAGGGGCAAGGGTCATATATGACTCCCTATATCTCCATATGCATTACTTCAGGGTCGCATCAAGCATAAACATCAGTATTCCCAGCAAATTCCCCGATTGGTGGGTGAACAAATGGGAACATACATGATCATATATTATATAACAAATGATATCAGCAATTCAGGCATAGTGAGCCTCTCATTGAATTGGGGATTGTGAAATATCATATCAACATTCGGTTCACTGAATTAGAGGTGAACGTCAAATGAAAAACACAGAAACCCAATAATCTTGGTCATTCAATGGCTGGCCAGCATGAATCATCATAGTTTTCTAGTATGGTAACTACATATTTTAACCATCTCCCATTTAAGACCCTGCAGAGTTTTGGAACCATCATCTATGAATCATCTTATATAATCATCATAATCATAATATATCATAATCATATCATATCATTTATATATGGATGGCCTTTATGGATGGCCATTGTTCCCATCAGTGGCAGCCACTTCCATAAGATGTTGCCCAGTGGCACGCGCAAGTCTTGCCTGCGTGGAGTCCCCGAAAAGATGGTTGGCTGGATGGTTACGTATGCAGCTGTGCCTGAAAAATAGGGCATGCCACACCGACGAATGTTGTAGATACTGGCACAGTGTGTACATACATGCATAACACAACACAACATAACACAACATTACATCACATGTTCCAAGCTTTCTGGGCTGGATGGCTGCACTGATTTTCAAGCATAATCGCCACGCGCGCCGCCCTGCGACTTTAGCAAGACCAAACCTGGAGTTGCAACAGCTTAGCAACAGCTTCCATGGGTTTCCAAGAAAGCTCCAGGAACATCGGAAAATGTCTGGCGCCAGGTGAGTCACCAGCTACCTCAGGCTCCACGCTCGCGAAATGTCAGGAACACATTGCCTCCACATCGGGCAGGAAGTCCTCCACCAGTCGCAACAGCCAAATAATCCTGCCATGCGCTGCCCGTGGAGCTGGATGTAACCGGTCAGTTCCAAGTTCGGGGTGGCTGGCGATTCTTTCGATGGATTGTGATTCAGGGGAAAATTGCAGGAACTCAGGAAACCATCCTTCTTACGAGAAAGCATGGGTGTCCTGCAAAACGTCCCTTCATCCAAGTCTGGGATGATTGGAGGCCTCTTGAATAATTCAACGGCAGCTGATTGAACATATCTCAGATCACCAGGCAGAGTTGACATGAAGATCCCCTGTAGCGACCCATGAAGCCATGCTTGGATATTTTGGGCGCCAGGTCTAGAGACACCTCAAGTTGTTCGCCAGGACGTTGGACACGGAAACTCTGCAAGTTTGATTCTCAGTTAGTCTCCAGAAAAAAAAGGAGGAACCTATATACTAACCGATGTAAGGTCTATAGTCTATATAAATATAAAGGCCTCTGGGAAGGGAATTTTACGGAACATGTTTTAATATTCACCATTCTCCACCACCAGAAATTCTTCCTGCAATATGCCAAAGCTTCCAGAATGCCTTCAATTTGGGTACATACCTGATTTGGTCATCAACAAACCACAAGGCAGTCCTTGGCACATGTCTCCGAAAAATGCCCAGGTTGACATCCACATTCTTCGCGCGTTTTCGGAACTTCTCAGGGCTATCGCCTGCCAGCCGGTAGGCAAAGACCTGAGTCAGGGGGGCTACAGTAACCTGGCTTACGGCCCAGATCTACTTCAATTGTCCACTTTGATTTTATCTTTAAAAACTTGAGGTAAAAGATGGTAAAAGTAGCAGTTTGGCGTAATATACCAACTGTATAACTTCATACTTCAAACCCCAAAGGCAACACCAGCAAATCTCCGGACAAGAGTACTCCTGCCGGGTTCCACTCACAATGATAGGCACTTTCCGAGGGAAGTCGAACTTGTATCCAGAGAACTATATGAGGAAACCCGTCCAATAATGAACGATCCCCAATTGGGGGTTTATTCTGCCTTATCATTGGGTATATCGATATACCCCTAATAATTTGGGATGGTTTGAAATGGCCCGCAAGGCTGGTTGCTGCAACATGTTCCCCCTACAAGGTCACACCCAAATGGACAACATCCTTCACTTCTCCGGCGAGAGGCCCAACGTGCATAGTCCAGTGTGGCGAGCTTGAAGTCCAGGAGGAATTCATCCAAGCTATACCTAATGAAATCATACGCCATGAGAATTCCACCACATAATTTAAACCCCACCGGCTTCACTCCCAGTTGGAAAATACTCTTACCTTTTTGTGTGCAGGATTTATGTCAGCTTTTGAGTCTACCAAGTCATTGGACCAAGTCATCTCACTTCCCACCAGCTCTCACCAGTAATTTCCAAACCTGTCCCTAGTCCTTGGAAATCGAACCTCTGGACGACTAGTTATGCACCCACTGTTGTTGCGGTATCAAATACGATGATTCAAAATATCTCTTGGGCCTTTTGCTCAACATGTTTCACGTTTCATGTATTTACATGTCGTGCGCGCTCTCTCTCTCTCTCTATCTCTCTCTCTCTCTTTCTTTCTCCATCGCCAACTCCACGAGTTCAGCAAGAGCTGAGGGCTATGAATATAATATATATATGTGTGTAGGTATATTGTAAAAATACAAATATGTATATATATATATATAAATACACATATGTATTTGTATGCATGTGTCTATAATATATATATATATATATATGTATGTATGTATGTATGTCTGTATGTCTGTATGTCTGTATGTCTGTATGTCTGTATGTCTGTATGTCTGTATGTGTGTATGTGTGTATGTGTGTATGTGTGTATGTGTGTATGTCTGTATGTCTGTATGTGTGTATGTGTGTATGTGTGTATGTGTGTATGTGTGCATGTGTGTATGTGTGTATGTGTGTATGAATGTAATGTAATGTAATGTAATGTAATGCAATGTAATGCAATGCAATGTAATGTAATGTAATGTAATGTATGTATGTACGTACGTATAAGTGTATAAGTGTATAAGTGTATAAGTGTATAAATGTATAAGTGTATACGTGTATACGTGTATACGTGTATAAGCGTATAAGTGTATAAGTGTATAAGTATAAGCGTATAAGTGTATAAGTGTGTAAGTGTATAAGTGTGTAAGGGTGTAAGTGTATAAGTGTATAAGTGTGTAAGGGTGTAAGTGTATAAGTGTATAAGTGTGTGTCTGTCTGCCTGCCTGCCTGCCTGTCTGTCTCTGTCTGTCTGTCTGCCTGCCTGCCTGCCGGCATGCATGCATATATATATATGCACAAATGTGTTTGACACGTGGATACGTTTGAGGATATCTACATTCATACTCTTGTTTTTCCCAATTTTTCCATACAGGCCGCTGGTCCATGTTCAAATGACTGTGATACACCTTCAGCCAGGTCCTTAGCGAAGGCAGGGTGACAGGAAGATTTCTGAAAACTGGATCTCAGAGTGATTTAATAATGATATCATATAGTGATTTTATAGGCATGTCATGGTGATTTAATGAGATTTCATGGGGATTGATGTGGATCAATGGGTTGACAATGGGGTTAGAATGTATCCGGAGATATGATTTTGATACTGCTTGCAAAGACATGTTGTCTTTGTTCATGATTCACAAATTGGGATGACACATGGCTTCATGAAACCCAGCTTCGAACTAGTCACCGGCAATTCAGTCAAGAAACTGTCCAGCTAACAGCTACATTAACCCCTTCCCGTCCAAATGAGAAAAGAACAACATGTCCATTTGGAAAACGCTTCACTTGAAGAATCCGCCAAGAAACTGATAGTCTTCCACAATCTCATCCTGAAACCACAACTTGGCTGTCCCACATGAGATACCCTGTGAGAACAAACAAGAGAAAACTTAAATGCACAATCTATGTGTATATATATATGGATGCGCAATATGATGCAAAATATGTTATATCATATATACAACTGATGCACAATGATATGCAAATATCATTATACATCTGTGCGTGTGTCCATGTCTTGTGTTAAACAAACTGCTTAGTCAGGCTACGTTCATAAACATAAATATGCAATATAACACATGCAAAACATGTGTGCGTACATCGCTAACATATAGTCACATATAGTCACACAAAAGGATACAAAAGGTATACCGTCTCCATCGTACAAACGTTGTAGGAGATATTACAGTATACAATATATGCAATGTCTGTGTGTGGGATGCATGTACATCTCCTTGCCTATGCACGCCCAAGCTCCCAGCCACACGACAACGTTGCTCCTCAACGCTTCCGCAGAAGAGGTAAATTAAATCCGTTGCGCCAATGCCCGGCCCAGTCCATTGAAAGTCGAAAGCGCAACAACCTTCACCTGGCACCATGCAAGGGTTGCCTGTTAGAGAGCCAAGACTTTCAAAGACAGCACGGAACAATCATTGAGACATTATAGCTGGCAAATGCTGGCAAGATCATGATGTTCAGTTCACATGTTCCAATCTGAGGAATTCGCCAAAGGATGCCCAGGATTGGATCGCAGCCATGGAACACTTACCTTGGTCCCTGCCTTCGTTCTTCAGGAAATAGTTCGCGCCTTTGAAATCCCCATGGACCATAGTGATCTTCTGCATGTTCTCTGGCCTCCCATGGCACTCTTGACTCTTGAAGACGAAAAATTTAAAGGCCTAAGAACCACTACAAGCCACCCATAAGCTCCCAAATTTAGCAGTGCGTTCAATGTCAACAGAAGCATGCTCTACCAAATGGTTTCTTCATTGATCTTGAACAAAATGAATATGATATTTCACGGAATGATCTCGGATGTTACTTCTTCCTCCGCTTATGGCCCACTAAAGCAATGACCTTACCAACTCATATGCTCCATGTCTGGCATATTTACCAACATTTAGCGTAAACATGATCCAAATGTTGGTAAATAATGGTAATCATGAAAAAACATGTGAATAGTAAGTAAATCATCGTACATACAAGTACAGTAGGAGGTATATATATATAATATATAATGTATGCATATACCATGGAGCATATGGGCGTGAGCCCGCCTTTCTTTGCCAAGCTGCTTGGGCGTTAGCTCTTCCGCCACGCAGCTTGCCACAGCCCGCAGCCGCTGGCCAAGCAGGCGACTCTCAGGTCGCTGGAAGAAGGGATCTTCACCTTGGTAGTGAATGGTGGTGAGGTCGTGATGTCATCCATGAAAAACCCAAGTTGATCCATGCTCAAACTCACACTTTGAATTCACTAATTCACACCTTTAGTTTCTTCTTATCTTTGGTATTTACATAATTTTATTTACTACATTATTTGCTATAAGATTTTCCCAAACATGGGCACACTAAGGTTAGTAGTACCCCCGAAGAAGCTCTGGATTAACTTATTGGATCTCTTCATGAATTGGAGAGCCAAATTCGGGAGCAATGTTCATATTACTGCAGCGGGGTGGGATCAGATGTTAATGAAGAGGCATATAACATCACTACTATGATTACTGTTGGCTGTGTTACATCCATATAATTAATATTAGTGTATGTATATAATATACACATGTATATATATATATACATATACATACTTATACATATATAGTTAAATATATACTAAACACACACATATATATATATAATTATATATATATACTATACACATATATATATATTTATATATACTATATACATCTTTATACTTGGACAATCTTGGACATGTAGGAAACATGAACAAAGATTCTAGCAGTTCCCAAGGTGGCAGCATGGTGCGCTTTCGCCTCCTACCTGCAGTAAATGGTTCGAACAGATTCGATGCAGTTCATGATCCCTCCCCTGGATTCCGTAATACAGTATGTGAGGTTGGCCAGCAGTTATTAATGATGGGAACCGGAAAAATATTTCTTTGTACCAAAAAATACATATGCGATTCTGAATGCAATCCTATCGCGTGACCCCAACATAAACAAACCAGCTTAAACCATCTTGAACCAGAGTTTCAAAGGGAGTCTTTGTTGGGGAGAAAAAATCAATATGACAAACCATGGCTAACACAGAAAAAGGCCTGACTTTTGAATGTTGAACCCCCAAGTGGTACACTCAGATTTGGTTTGGTGTATTAAATCTGTCAGTGCACAAATCAAGAAGTGTACTGGAACATGTGCATAGGCATGGGTGCCCCTGCGCAAGGATGACACATCAAATCGACCGCCTGACATAGGCCTTTTGTGTGCTCAAAACAAGGGTTTGCCCCACCGCTGACTGCCTGCAGCAGCTCCGCTGACAGGTTATGAGCCCAAGGGCTACTGGTGGTGAAGCCATGTCGGCTGCTGGTGCTGCTGAAAGGGCGTTGTCGTTGCCACCAATTGGCAACCCTTTCTGGTCTGAGAGGGCCCTGGAGGAGCATGCGCTGCAGCTGATGAGGCCACCTGACTTACCAGGAGGTGATGGACGTGCACGAGAAGGTCCAAGGACTGTGGCGGTGAGGTCACGGAGTCCAATGGGAGACATGAGTAGGCGTCCAAAGCCTAGAAGAAATAGGAGTGGTAGCAGTGAGGGTGAACCAAAGAATAGCACAAAGAGAGGTAAAGGCGTTGGAGGAGATGTAGGGCGTAGAGATGAAGAGGTGTCGTTAGAAAGGCTGTTGGAAAGGGAAATGGTGGACACGTTGAAAGATGAGAATGAAAAGTTGAGAGAGGAACTGAGGAGGTTGCGCAGGTCAGGAACGAGTAGTTTGGGTTCTTGGTCTGATGTGACGCCGCAGCCACCCTCAGATCCACCACCCAAAACGCCTGAGAGAACACCACCAATGATGACCCCTATGTCACCTTCAAAAAGGTATACCCCAAATGGGACTGAAGTGCCAGCGGGACCACCCCCTGGTTGTGAAAGTTGTGAACCAGCTTGGATAGGTCAAATTCCAAGGTGGCCGGAATCACTTGGTGCGTTTGAGGCCAAGGATTTGATGGGATGTCATGAGGGACAGGTGAAGCGTGTCTCCGAACATCCAGGTCAAGATCTAGGTGATGGAGAATGTCTTGACGATCGGGCTTTGCATGGCATGCGAGATGGACTCCAACGAGGGCATCGGGCTTTTGTGCACGGTGAACACCTTGAAGGGCATCGGGCTTTGATGCACGGGGGACATCGAGAAGGGCATCGGGCTGTGCATTTCCATCGAGATGGTCAAGGACTTCGTCAAGGAGATCTTCAACGTGCTGGACATCAAGAAGGGCATCGGGCTTTGATGCATGGTGTTCAACAAGAAGTACATCGGGCTGCACGGGTTGATAGCATGTCCGAGGTGGATCGTCTTCTTCGACAAGGGCATCTTCGAGGAGGAGAGCGTCGTGATGAGCTGGGGTGGGAATTGACTCCGGACGAGATGGCATGGCTTCAACGTGAAGGAGCTCTGTCTGGCGCTCAACAAGGTAGAGGCCGCATAGATGTTGAAGAAGAAAAAAGGTTTCAAGAAATGTTGGAGGTAATTCCAAGGAAAGTTTGGCCTAAGGAGTATTGGGGAAAGCCGTTTGTTCAACAGTATAGGGACATGGAATCGGCACGTCTTGGAATGAAAAGGGTAGGCGGTAAGGCTGAGACCCCCAAGGCTGAGACCCCCAAAGAGGCTGAGACCCCCAAGGAGGCTGAGACCCCCTTTAAGGAGGCTGAGACCCCCAAGGAGGCTGAGACCCCCTTCAAGGAGGCTGAGACCCCCAAGGAGGCTGAGACCACCAAGGCTGAGACCCCCGAGGAGGCTGTGAGACCCCCAAAGGATGGCGAGTCTTGGAGTGCAGGTTCAAAGATGTGGCAATCGCCAATGCCAGTGATGGACTTCCAGGAAGAGATGAGGTCCATTCCAATCACTCTGCCGGTTTTGGCAGATCCAGGAACAAAGAATGCTGCGCTGTTGGCCGGTGATTGGCTTACGCAGCTGGAGCCACTGATCGGAGATGTATCAGCGAGAGCTGGAATTTGGTGGAAACAGGTGGTGGAGCTCACGATGAAGCGCTACAGAGAATGGCTTCAGGCACCACCTTTGCAGCGTCTCTACATCAAGGCGCCTGCGGATGAGGAGCTCCCCAAAGGTTTTGACCGACTTCGGCAACGGGTGTCTTCGATGATGTTGCAGGCCATCCCCACTGCCATCAAGGATGAGGTCATTTCCACCAGACAGCTCTCACCACAAGGAATCTTGTTTCGGATTCTTCGAGTTTACCAGCCAGGTGGACTCAGTGAAAGGTCAGAGACTTTGAAGTCCTTGACAGCAACGACCCCAGCCACAACGGCAAAGGATGCTGTAGAGTCGTTGAGGTTGTGGAAAAGGCACCACAACAGGGCTAGCGAGTTGGGAGCGTCTCTCCCGGATTCAACTCTGATGATCAAGGCGCTGGACAGAACGATGGAGCTGTTGCTGAACAAGTCCCAGCAAGCCAGCTTCAGGGTCAGTACGTTCAGGCTTCAGTATGAGGTCGATGTGAATCCCAATGACGTTGTGGTGAACAAGCTGTATGAGGTCTTGCTTGCGGAGGCCGAGCTCATGGTCACGGCCAACTCTGAGGAGAATCCAGCTGTCAAGCAAATGCAGGTGCTTCCCAACGGTAAAGGACCTCCACAACAACAAACTTCTCCTGGAAAAATGTCAGTTTGCAAATGGTGGGGTTCTACTGAAGGTTGTCGACGTGGCCGAGCGTGCAAGTTTCTGCACGATTTGGACTCCCTGGAGGATAAGTCGACCAGGTGCTGGCTGTGCAGTTCTACAACACATGCCAAAAAGAACTGTCCGACAAAAGATGGCCAACACCAGGTCGGGGGGAGTGGAGGAGGTGGGTCAACTTCGATGTCAACTTCGATGACAACCTCTTCATCCAACAAGGGCCAGTTCAACGGCAACAAGAACAACCAGCAGGAGAAGAAAGGGAAAGGAGGAGGCAAGAAAGGGAAGGACAAGGGCAAAAGTGAAGGGACAGCGGAGGATAAAAAAGAGAAGGATGAGAAGGCTGATCCAAACATTGCCTCGATGAACGTTGATGATGATAAGAGGAGTGAGGCAAGTGTGAGGACGGCGAGCACAGGTGATAGCAGCTTGATGAACGAGGTGACCAATTTGCTGAAGTGTATGAGGATTTCGAATGATGGAGATCCAACAGTCAAGGCAATGGTCAAGCAGGTCGTCTACTCTGAGGAGAAGAATCACCGAGTGCTCATAGACGGGGGAGCAACACACTGTCTGAGAAGGGCATCAATGGATGAGTGGAACCAAAGTTGTGATGTGACGGTCCACTTAGCAACAGGAACTGTCAAGCTCAGGCAACACCCCGAGAAGAAAACCATCTTCACCAAGGACCACTGCCAGCCGATTGTGCCGATGGCGCTTCTGGTTCAAGCTGGAGCTCAAGTTGCATGGGACAAAGATGGATGTAAAATACAACACCCCGTGCATGGCAGGCTGGAGGTCAAGATGGATCAAGGATGCCCAACTTTGGAACACAATGTGGGCATGAAGATCATGTTGGAAGTGGAACAAATGATGATGCGTGGTGACTTTGCAGTAAGGATGCTTGGAGGAGTGGAGAAGTCTGAGAAGGATGAAGAGATGCTCAAAAAGCTTCAGGAGGTGAAGAAGGAGTTTCCCCTTGTCCCGGACGCCATCCTCAACCGCATCCCAGGACGATCAAGCTATGATCCCACGCAGCTTCCACTCAATAGAAAGATGAGGAGAAGAGTTCAGAATGCAGAGAAGGTCATCATCCACCTCTACTCTGGTCCAGATCCCAAAGAGTGGCTGAAACTTCGAGATGAGAAGACCTATGTCATCTGCATTGACAAGCTCTACCACAATGGAGACATGCTCAACGATCACCTGATGGGCTACTTGGAGGAGGTCATGGACTCTGGCAAGGTGGAGATGTTCTTGATGGGCCCACCGTGCCGCACAGTCAGCGCTGCAAGACACACTGAAGATGGAGGTCCGAGGCCTTTGAGGAGCCGAGAAGGTGATGAGAGGTTTGGTCTCAAAGGGCTCAACCACTATGAAAAGAAGCTGGTGGAGGACGACACGGTTCTCATGTTACGAGCTCAATGGTTGGCCCGAAAAGGTAACAAGGCCAGTAATGGCATCATGGAGCCCATGCTGGTGCAGCCCAGGGATCCGAGTGAATACAGGGAGGGGAGCTATCCTACGTTTTTGACATGGCCAGAGACCAAGGAAACAGCTGACCAACTGGGATGGCAAAAGGTGATCCTAGATCAGGGAGCAGTTGGACACCCAACACGAAAGCCAACGACCCTCCTCTCGGACATTCCCGAGGTGGCTCAGCTACATGGTTTGAAAGATGATCGACCTCCACAACATGACAGGCAAAAACTTTCTCTGGAGCAACGACTCGAACAGTCGAAAAGCTGGGCAGCGTGGGCGGAAGGTCTGAAGTATGTCCTCAAAGTGGCCGCTACTTGGAGGCTCGGGGGGCGGTTATAAGCACATAAGGAACATACTAGGTACATACGGCACTTACTATCTGGATACAGCGCTTACAGTATGTCACTTAGTGGACTTACTGGGACAGCACTTAGCGCACTTACGTAAGTGGCTTACAGCACTTTCCTCGCTTTTGTGTTTCCGCAAAATGCGATTTGGATTTTAGTGTTTCCACGAAATTCTTGCAACGGAATTTTGTGTTTCCACGAAAAACCCCATTCAGAATTTTGTGTTTCCACCAAATGTGAAACGGGATTTTGTGTTTCCGCAAATGTTTGTAAGTGCACTTAGCCTAGATACGTAAGTAGCGTAAGTCCTTTACAGGACTTAGGCCACTTAGGGCGTAAGCTGCCTATGTCACTTAGCCCACATAGGCTAAGTGGTTAGCCAAGTGCCATAAGTTGCGTAATCATTTATGGAACATAATATTTAGTTAGCCCAAAACAGTAACTACTTACGTAAGTGACTTAGAGACAGCAACCCGCTTAGCACCACTTATAAGGTAACTTAGCACCACTTATAAGGTAGGTTACAGCACTTAGCAAGTAGGTTATATAAGTGCTCCAACCTTGCTATGTACTTATAACCGCCCCCGGCCCTCCAAGTAAGAGGATCAAAAACACGCCCACCGCCGCCATGAAAGTTGTCAACTTGCCCAAGAAGGAGGTGGAGTCATGGAGGAGACACTTTGCTGCTGGGCATGTGCCGTACCGCCGTGACTGTGGTGTATGTGTTGAAGCTGCTGGCCGAGGAAGGTGCAGAAAAAGAATACAACACCCAGAGGCGTTTTGCCTTTCTGTCGACACAGCAGGACCCTTCTGTGCTGGTGTTGATCAGTCAAGAAAGAAGGCCAAGTACATGCTCATCGGCACCATCACCATTCCTACGAAAAAAGGGAGACCTATGGTAGAAGGGTTGGACAGGCTCATAGCAAGAGACCCTGGAAAAGATCAGCACTTGGATTCGATGGAAGAAGCTCTCATGTCGCTCTACGACCAGCACAAGGAGATGGAGAATCCCGAAGAAGACCCTTTGAAGATCGAGGATGAGAAAGACTCAAAGGAGAAAGGGGAGGATCCAGTTGAGGTGGAGGCGCAAGAAGTTGAGGAGTGCGTCTCAAAAGAAGTGGAAAGAGCTGTGATAGAGGAGATCAAAGACTGGTCAATGGAAAGTCTCACAGTGGCGATCCCTCTGGCAAGCAGAAACAAGAAGGAAGTCGTAGAAGGTTTGACATGGATCTACTCAAAGCTGAAATCGATCCACATACCAGTCCAAAGGTTGCATGCTGACAGGGCTCGCGAGTTTGTGAGCCAGGATGTTAAAAGATGGGCACAGGCCAGAAACCTTCACCAGACCTTTACTGAAGGAGATTCAGGAGAGGCGAACGGCCGAGCAGAACGAGAAGTGGGTATAGTCAAAGCCCTCACTCGGGCACAGCTGCTGGCAACTGGTGAGGATAAATCACTATGGCCCCTTGCACTTCGACATGGTGCAGAACTTCGTTTTCGACAACAGCTACTTCGACTTGGAGTGCCAACGCCAGCTCTCATCCCCTTCGGCACTATGGGCCTGGCAAAAAGGAAGAGGTGGGAGAGAGGAGAAAAAGGAGAAGCAGGACTACTGGCTCCTATGAGAAGAGGGAAGATCATGGGTCCGGCTTCATCAATGTCTTTGACCTCCAAGGGATACTATGTGAGATTGGAGGACACTGGCAACTACATCTACTCCACAGCTGTCGTTGTGCCCAAGCCCAAGTCTGCCGACGCTTTCGAACAAGTTCGAGCCGAAGTACAAGATCAGCAACAAGGTGCGTGTCCCGAATTGGACGCCATAGAGGCAGAACTGTTCCCACCACAACTTCCACAACAAGCCTTGCAGGGTTCTCCACAACATCAACCTGATGCTGCGCAAGTTCAACAACATCTCGACGCACTTCACCAAGATGATGATGGGTATTCCCCTACAGAAATGGCGGAGTCAGAGGATGACCCCTTCAAAGAGCAGTTCCTGGCAGAGTTCGGTGAGGTGTATGAGAGGCTTTACCCAGAGAATGCTCCTGCAGAAGAACGTCGACGGCGTCTTCGGGGCAAACAAACAGTGCCTGCTAGACTTCAGGTCTTGAATCTAGCAGGGGGGGAATGCAGAGGAGGTAGTACAAGAGGAGGAGGTGATGAAAAAGGTCTTGAATGCCAAGGATGTGGCCTTCTTCAGTACCATCACTGTCCACCACAAGCTCAACAACAAGGAGCCCTCCGCAAATGCACTTTCTGCAATGAGGTTCAAGAGGTTGAGGACGCAGAGTTTGAGGTTGAGGAGAGTGAGGATGAGGAAGCAGAGTGGGGGGAGATGAAAGTCCAACAGCACTGGGCTATGAGCAAGCTGATCGGAGAAGAGATGGCCCTCATAGATGGCATCGATGCAGATCAGCAGATATGGATGAAAACCCTGACCAAGGTGCATGAGGAGCGGGTGAAGTTGGAGGAAGAGATCTTGGAGAAGAAGCAAGAGGAGGTCCTTCAAGGCTACACCGTCTCCAACCAGGAGGTCAGGAACAACTGGGAGGATTGGAAAGCCCCCATCGACAAGGAGTTATCTACCTTGCTGGAGAATGGTGCAATCTCTCCGATCACCAAGCAGCAGCGTGATGAACTAGTTCAACAACACGGCACCAGGATGGAGTGCATCCCTTCAAAGATCGTTGCTGTGGTGAAGGCAGGTGGAAAGAAAAAGGCGAGGTTGGTGGCCTGTGGAAACTATGCCACAACAGATCACATCACGGCTGAGGAAAAGACGGCATCTGGAACTGACATCGTGGCCCTGAGGATGATGCTGAGGGTAGCAGCCCATCGAGGGTGGCAAGTTGGATCGTTGGACGTCAAAGGAGCCTTTCTTCTGGCACCACGCAGAAAAAGAGATGTCACAGTTCTGAAGCCCCCAGCCGTTCTACTCCAAAAAGGTGTTGTCGATCAAGACACACTATGGTCTGTGAACAAAGCTGTCTACGGTCTTGTAGAAAGCCCAGCTGACTGGGGTGACTACAGAGATAAGGAGATTGCGGGAATGCAATGGAAACTCCATGACAAGCTCTACAAGCTCCAGATGAGTGAGGAGACCAACATGTGGCTCATCAAAGAAGTTGGAGGAGATGGTAGTCCCTGTGGCTATCTCGCAACCTACGTGGACGACATGCTGATGGTGGGTCCGCAACCTCTACTTCAAGCTCTGATGACCACCATTGCCAACAAGTGGGAATGCTCCTCGCAAGAGTTTGCCGAATTTGGCAAGGATCTCCGGTCTTGTGGTATGGAGATTCGCAAGACTACTCAAGGTTTTGACATTCACCAGTCTTCCTACGTGATGGACCTCTTGGCCAGGTATGAAGTTGCCAAGACAGCCGACGTTCCCATGGGCAAGGTCGAAGACTTGGATGAGGATGAAGAGGAGAAGAAGGTAGACTTGGCTCAGTTGAGACAAGCACAGCAACTGGCCGGAGAACTCATATGGGTGTCAACTCGAACAAGGGTCGACATTGCCTTTGCGGTTGGTGCAATGAGTCGAAGGTTGCATCGTGACCCGACTGGAGCCCTGAGGATTGGAGAACAGATCCTGAGCTACTTGAGAAAGTTTCCAGGTCTTGGAATACAATACTCTCCTTGTGAGCCAACAGAGATGGATGAGAACCAGGTGCCAAGGATGATGGATACGATCGAGGTGTTCGCCGACGTGTCTTATGCTCCTGGAGGTGAAGCATACAGATCCATCCAAGGAGTGCTCACAACAATGGGTGGTCAAATCATCCAGTGGCACACAGGCAGACAGAGCCTGATTGCAACCTCTACAGCCGAAGGAAAACTTTTGGCCTACCAAGAAGGTCAAATCATGGGCGCGAGTGTGGAGTCTTTGGCACAAGCTATGGCCCTGGACCCCGACGTGCTGATGTATGGCGACAACAAGGCCGCCATTTCCCTAGCTGTGTTGCAAACTGGAAGCTGGAGAACACGTCACCTGAGGGTGAGAGCCAGCAAGTTGAGAGAAGTTCTGAAGAAGGGGAATGGAAAAGGCAGAGCCTGGCAAATCAGGCATATGGCTGGTACTCTGTTGGTTGCTGATGGTTTGACAAAAGCCCTGCAGAAGCAAGCCTTTGAGGACTTCCTCAAGAAGCTCAAGATGTCAGTGGCCGAACGTCCCATGCTCAACAAGGTGAAAAGCGAGGATGTGCCCAAGGACGCCCCTGACAAGCTCCAGTGCAACCACCAAACAGAGATCTACTATAAAAGGATGATGGCAATTGCTTTGGCAGCCCTGGCATTCATTCTCACAGGAGAATTCCAAGTTGCGGCGGTGGTGCTGCTGGCTTTGAAGTGCTGCCAAAAGATCTATGCCGAGTTATGCAGACGATCAAAAGCTCAGCTACCAGAGGAGGTGTCAACTTCAAAGAATGAAGAAATGAAGAAGGTGACAGAGGAGATAGAGATGAGGCTGAAGGCTTTTCAGGTGAGGTCTGAGGCTGCTGAGGAGCTGCCCCCCAATGTGAGAGTCTTCACAAATGAAACGCCTAGAGGAGATGATCGCTGGTACCCAATCCAGCCTGGAGGATGGTTGATCCGAAAGCATGGAAAGCACCGCCAAAGATGCTTTCACCCATTGCACCGTTCGTGCCCTGTGGACTCCATCCGATTTGAACCAGTCAGGTTCACTGTGATCTTTTATGAAGAAGGAGGAAGATCAAAGAAAAAGGTTGTCAAAGATGATTGGACAGGAACTCCTACGGTGATGAACTATGGGGAATGGAAGGGCTATACGGTCTTCAAACTCAAAGATCAACCTGAAGTTGCCCCCACACAGTTGGATCCTGAGGAGCCTGCCCGGTCACAGGAAGCATCTTGTGCTAGCGGTCACATAGCTTGCGGCAGAGAAGAGGAGTCTCTGACCAGCGGCAGTGTGATCAGCGGCGTGCGGGATCAAGCCCCTGCACTATCTACTGCGTTCCCTGAAACAGGTGGCTATGGGGCTCGAGATCCAAACCAACCACGTGCAAAAGCTAGAGGTCAAGCAGCTGCCAGCTCAGGCATTTCTCTTCGACCTCAACCTCAAGCAGTACAACAACAGCCTGGCGAACTGGAAGAAGTCATGAGGGGACTTCAACTCCTTGGTCGTCAATACCCAGGCTCTGGTGGAGAACAGCATTCTCCTGAAGTTCTGCGTTTTGGACAAGTTCAACGTTCTGCACAACTTCAAGGTGCTGCTCCGCTTCCAGGTGATGTTCAACTTCGAGGTGCTGGTCAAGATCTATGTTCTGGTCAAGTTCAAGGTGCAGAACGAGCTCTTCAAGCTGCGACTCTGGCAGAGGATCCGATCTCTGACTATGACGACAGTTTTGAGCTCATCACGGACGATGCTCCGCAACCACGTCCAGCACTGCGAGCGTTTAAGGGTTTTGTGGAGGTGGAGACAGTAACTCACCACCACCAACGGCTCGAGGAAGTCGAGACCCAGAGCCTTCCTTGGAGCTACAGCGAATATACAATGATGATGAGCTGATGGATGCTACAACGAGCAGCTCAAGTTCAAGTTCAAGTTCAGAAGAACTCCTGCCGGAGTATATCGATCCACCAGAAGGCCAACGTGGCATCTGGGATGACTACAATCCATGGAACGGCCTACCACGAGGACATGACCCATGGGCTGAAAATCTGCCTTTGTACCCACCTCAGAGGTCGGTAGCTGGAGTGCAAGCTGGCCCCACCGGGATGTCGGCTGCCGGTGTGCAAGCTGGCCCTACGGGGAAGTCAGCTGCCTGTGTACAAACTGGTCCGACAGAAATGTCGGATACTGGGGTGCAAGTGGGTTCTCCGAGGATAGCTATGTCAGTTGCGTCTTCCTCGGATGCTCCTCCTACTGCGCCTGCCACAATGTCAACAGCTTCAAGCTGGATGCCAACAGACCCAAGGCCAAGAAAGGCACCCCCACCACCACAAAGTCCGTGGGTGCAGGCCACAATCCAAGAGCTGAGACAGCTCAGAAGAGAAAATCAAATGCTTCAGGAGCTTTTAGAACCTGGAGTATTGAGGCAAGATGATATCGCCACAGCTGCACAGTTGATTGAGGCAGCTCAAGGATGGCGTCACCAACCAAAGTCGTCGCCGAACCCAAAGACGCAGCCGCTGTCAGTGTTGAGGAGGCCTGAGGGAGCTGTAGATGTAGATGCGACGTTGTCAGGGCCAGGTCAAATGCCCGGCAATTCAGCACCACCTGTGCTGGTAGATGCTCCAGCCTTGCCGCATCCGTTTTCAGCTTTTCCACCAGTCAGGCAAAAGGCTCCACCAGTGACACTGCAGCAAAACCAAAACCAACCAGTAGGACCTAAACCACCCCCAAAAGCTGTTTTTCTCAACGCTGTTGGTGCTCCAATGGTCCCAAATACGGTTATGCCCAAAGCTGCAAAGCCGAAACCTCCAGTGCCACCGAAGTGTGCAAGGGACTGGCTTGGAGGAGCTCTTTTTCAATAGGCCTTGAGCTACGCAGTTTTTTCCTTTTTCCTGGGAAAACCCAGGAAGGGGGAGTGTCAGTGCACAAATCAAGAAGTGTACTGGAACATGTGCATAGGCATGGGTGCCCCTGCGCAAGGATGACACATCAAATCGACCGCCTGACATAGGCCTTTTGTGTGCTCAAAACAAGGGTTTGCCCCACCGCTGACTGCCTGCAGCAGCTCCGCTGACAAAATCAATTTAAATCTATTGGTCATGAGATCCTATTGGTTGAGGCAATTCTTTGGATTTTCAGCTGGCACTATAAACTCCCATTCTTCTTCGTTAAACCTCAGATGTCCATCCAAAGCTCACCCCCCTGACCTGTTCTGCCTACCTTCTGTTCTGCCTACCTTGGAAGGCATCGCAGAAGTCGCTGATGCTCTGAGGTAGCAAATCCAGTTCGCCCACAGGGCGACGCTTCAAGTGTACATGGGTTCCTTGTCGTGGGAAGCTTTTGGGATGCTTTCAGGGAGCCAATCAAATGTACCTATGTCAAACAAGAAATATCGATATGGAACTTAGAACTTGTGAATAAATAAATGAACAATTGATCCACAATATCACACATGTGAAGTGTACATCATTAATAAAGGACATAAACATACACGTTTATAATCGTTTATATGGTACCAGCTGTATACCGTATACCGTATACCAAACAAGGAGGCATACCATCCATGCTACATGTGATTTGGACTCCCGCGACTTCGTGACCAAGTGGCATCAGCACTTTTTCTAGCCATGGTTCCTACATGTTGCTACTTGCCAAGTGGTTTGATCATACCTAGAAAAAATACTCTGTTCCCAACACGCCAAGGTGCCAAAGTCCCAAAGTCCATGTTTCTCCGGTATTCTGCCCTGAGACAAGCTCTTTTCTTCATATTCATACATCTTCAATCAATCCAGCTATTTCTGATTGATTGCAGGAACCAAAAGAAAGTGACAAAATGTCCATGATTTCCAAAACACAATGCACTACTAGCATCACATAATCTGATTCAACCCAGCCGACGTCCGCCTGAAAGGCCCTGTGAAAGCTGCTGAGCCAACGAAGGACTTCAGGGCTTCGCGCAGCCGGATGGACACAGAAGGTGCTCCACTGGCTCTTCAAGTTCTCCTGGGCAAGTGGTGAAGGCCATCCAGTTGGTGGCACCCATCCCAACGATATTATATCTACATATACAGTATCTACCTACTAGCATATATAGGTATAGTATATGTACGTGGCACGCACGCACAGAGACACACACACATATATATATATAATGAATATATATATATATATATTATGAATATTTATATATATAATTATATATATATACATGCCAGGGTGGAACATTTAAACGTTTGAAACTTAATTGATTGATCAAGTAGATGAAGCATGGGCAAATGCTCGTGGTGGAACACTTCAGTAGCAATGCACTATCTTGCGCTACAACAGCCCTATTCCGCCAAATGAATAATTCTATTCGAAACTTAGGTCATACCCGCTTATTTGCGTGACCATCGTTGTTTTGCTGATGTGAGAATAAGTCAAAACCATTTTGCCCCTACTATTCACACAAACAGCTGGCAAAAGGATGTTCAACCGCCAGTTCATGTAGAATGTAAGGGTATTGACTTTGACACATCCTCCCTGTCTTTTTCCGTGATCTTCCCTTCTTGGCCCAGCGCAAGGTGCCGTGAGAATGGCATAGCGTTGTCCAGGATGAGATTCGGAACCTGTGAGTTGATCGGTTTGGTTGAAGGAACATGCCATTTACGAACCCCCGCACCAAAAAACCGCGTGGACAATGGAAAACTGAGTTAGCTGGGCATTGCCCAGTAAAACTATGCTCATCATGTCTCTGCAAAGGGATAAACTCATTATAATATAATATATATTATATAGATTCAAACAATCAACCAGAGTCAACCAACATCAGCTCCTCAGCCAAGTCACCCAAGACCTTGGGCACTCGCACCCCATGCTCCGCCAAAGCCTTGCAAGCAGGGGGGGGGTCAAGAAAATGTTCAGAATGTTCAACATGTGTTGCTTTTTGTCCAAAAATATTATTGCGAATAGATATATAGGTAAAATAGATATTTAGATAGCAATGACCATGTTGAACTATCTGATTCAAACACGGAGTTTTTGATTAACCAAGCGCAGTTGGATCAACGTGGTGGCACGTCCCGACTTTAAGAACACCACCCTTTATCAGCCGCAGCACATACACATAAAGTCAAAGAGGTTCTGTTTATCACTGGAAGCTTTTTGCCTGAAAGCCTTACATGAAATCAAACATCTGAGAACTGCCACTTCAGTAGGTTTATCCATTTGTAACATGTTATAACCCAACTTATTAACCGCCTACGTGGGATACTTAGGATGATCTTCCAGGAAAATGCCTGCTGAATACGCTGATCGGTGAAGAAAGCGAGCTCATTGCCGTAGCTCTGCAGATTTCTCTCCCACTTGCGCCGTTCCTTGCGGTTGGCGTTTCAGGTGGTCAATTGGGGAGTGTTGAATGTGAAAGGAACGTGTGCGCCAACAGAGTGGGGGTATAGCGCGTGGCTCTTGGTCAACCTGATCATACCCTCATATGGTCACAAGGTGACACTTTTTGGTGCTTGCTTCCAAACAAACACGCAACGATCTTGTCGTGTTGATCTAACTGCAGAACACAATCTTACCAATGATGACCTCCGTGATTTACAAGTTGGGAGGAACCACGTGCCCTAATCCCCTTGGTAGGCTAACCCTATCAAAACATCTGGTGGCATCATCCATCCATGGAATCCTTCGGTCGTTTTCTTTTCTTCGCTCAGTTGAAGAGATCCTCATCAATCTGCTTCCGATGTCGCAGAAAGAATCGGCCATAAGGAGGATCCACACCTCAGGGGCGCATGTTGGACGGCGAACACTTTGGCTCACTCATTTCGGAACACTTTGGCTCCAGGCTGGCAGGAGTAGGCTGATGACCATGTTCCGCTTGTATACTCAAACATGTAGCGTTTAATCTCTCGGAGTCTAGCTCTCTGACAAAACGAGTGCTCTTGCATGCATGTGATGGTATTTGCATGTTGGAAATCTGACATGGAAGTCCGGACGCGGGATTGGCAGCTGATTTCTGGTGAGGAATGTTTTTTTTGGTGCCGGATTTATTTGCCAGAGATTTCCCTCGGTTTCGGACTTTGAACCATATATGGACGTATTATATGGAGCAGCCCTGGATAAGTCTACCAAGACCAAGACAGGGTAATATCGACTATAACGTATCTACCGTGTGTATATATATATACACACATCTGCTGGACCTCCAAGAACAATATGCCAACCTGGATTCCGAATGACCCCTGTTTTGAGGAAGGGAGCTTGGACACAACCCAATTTTAAGCATCTTCAATCTCAAGCGAGGCACAGGATGTCACCTCCGTCTCCTCTCTTCCTACATCCACCCAAACTGGGGAGGTCGTCGGCAACACGACCTGAGGAAAAGTGCCCAGACATGACCAGACCATCGAATGAATGTTCTGATTTGTTCCTGTACTTCCCCGGGGAGTGCTGGGGGTTCTGGGGGTTTAGGGTTGCAATGACTCACAGTATCAGTGAATGGAAGACTCACGTGCCTCACATGGTGGTTGATGGTGGTTACCCCTTCACCTTTGATTTCAGCATCCGTGTTTGGCGGTGCATCAACATCTTTCTATGCGCGCTGTAGTTCTCCCCATGTATCTTTTAAATATGTTTAAATAGCATGCAAATGGGAGGCCAAGACTCTGAAATGCTGCAAAGGCATGCAAATGGGCCAATGGGAGCTTGTGTAGGGGAATTGAGGTACCATACCATTGAGGGGGAGGGGGGGGGCTACTGAACCGGGAACTGGGAACATATGTACCTGCAAATTTGTGGGTGTTGATTATCTGGTTACTGCAACATTGCTTATTGATTTGGTGGTTGTCCAACCCCTCCTCAAAAATATAGTCAATCATCACAGCTAAGCACTGAAAATAAGTACATAACCCTGAAACAACCATCATCCACCGCCCAAAAACCTTTACCCCGAAAATGGCGCGGGTCCTCGAAAACAATAAGTATGCGCCCGGAAATGCCACGAAACTCACCAATTTAGTAAAACATATCCGCCGACCCCGGCCTTCGCCAAGGCCGGGGCGGCGCCTGGGACCACCGCAGGTGTGGAACTTTTCCGCGCGGGCTTTAAGTGTGCGCGGCAGCTTCCACCAAGCCTGGCTGCAGCCTTTGCCGGTCCAGGGTTGCAGCCTGGCCCTTTGCCTGCACATCCCTCGCGGCATCACGACCGTCTTACCCCCCTCCCAGGGGGTGAAAAATGTAACATACATTTTTGGAGTGCCATTATGCAGGGTTTCGAGACCCTGGCTATATACCACATATATCCACATATATGTAGGTTGTTTTACCCAAATTCATAAAGTAAACGTAAAAATGTTACATTACATTTTTAGGCTGGGTAAACAAATTTATAAATCAAATGTGTAAAGATAAACCTCAAAAATGTATGTTACATTTTTTGGGTGGCCTCAAAGTTTGCCAGCCTTCAAACCCCTAAAACCCCTCAAACCCTCCGCGGCAGCTTCCACCAAGGTTGCAGCCTGCCCTTTGCCTGCACATCCCTCGCGGCAGCTTCTACCAAGCTCCTTGGCGGTCAGCGTTCCAGCATTGCAGCCTGCCTGCACATAGCCCTCTCTCGTTAGGGCATTCGAGGCAGCTGCCACCACGCCCTCTGGCCGGCAGCCTTTGCTGTTCCAGGGTTGCAGCCTGCCCTTTGCCTGCACATCCCTCGCGGCAGCTGCCACCAAGCCCTCTGGCCGTCAGCGTTCCAGCATTGCAGCCTGCCCTTTGCCTGCACTGAGCCCTCTCTTGTTCCCCAACAAGCCCAACACGCGCCACTGCCGCACGCAAAAGCCACCACAAGGCCACAGCAATGGCTCAAGGGCACCCCACGGCCGCAGCAATGGCTTTTATACGCGTTCAAGGCTGCCGTTTGCCGTTTGCCAGGCCTCAAACGCTCCAAAACCCTCCAAAACCCTCCAAAAGTCCGGCCAGCTCCGCAAGGAAAAGGTACCCCAACAAGCCCAACACGCGCCACTCCCGCACGCAAAAGCCACCACAAGGCCACAGCAATGGCTCAAAAGCCACCACAAGGCCACAGCAATGGCTCAAGAGCACCTCTGGCCGTCAGCGTTCCAGCATTGCAGCCTGCCCTTTGCCTGCACTGAGCCCTCTCTTGTTCCCCAACAAGCCCAACACGCGCCACTGCCGCACGCAAAAGCCACCACAAGGCCACAGCAATGGCTCAAGGGCACCCCACGGCCGCACCAATGGCTTCTTATACGCGTTCAAGGCTGCCGTTTGCCAGGCCTCAAACGCTCCAAAACCCTCCAAACCCTCCAAAAGTCCGGCCAGCTCCGCAAGGAAAAGTACCCCAACAAGCCCAACACGCGCCACTCACTCCCGCACGCAAAAGCCACCACCAGCCACGCAATGGCTCAAAGCCCCACCACCCCAGCAATGCTCCAGAGCACCTCTCTGGCCGGCAGCTTTTCCAGCAATTGGCCGCCTCCCTTTGCCTTTCACCTGAGGCCCTCTCTTGTTCCCCAACAAGCCCAACACGCGCCACTGCCGCACGCAAAAGCCACCACAAGGCCACAGCAATGGCTCAAGGGCACCCCACGGCCGCAGCAATGGCTTCTTATACGCGTTCAAGGCTGCCGTTTGCCAAGCCTCAAACAAAAAACCCGTTCAAAACCCTCCAAACCCTCCAAAAGTCCGTCCGCTCCGCGTAGGAAAATGCACCCCAACAGCCCAACAACGCGCCCTCCCGCACGTCAAAGCCACCACAAGGCCACGCATTGCTCAAGAGCACCACACGTGGGCATCAATGGCTTCCTTTTTAGCGTTCAACGCTGCCGTTTGCCAGGCCTCAAACCCTCCAACCCCTCCGCCCAACATGCGCCACTCCCGCACGCAAAAGTCACCACAAGGCCACAGCAATGGCTCAAGAGCACCCCACGGCCGCAGCAATGGCTTCTTATAGGCGTTCAAGGCTGCCGTTTGCCAGGCCTCAAACCCTCCATACCTTCCAAAACCCTCCAAACCCTCCAAACCCTCCAAAAGTCCGGCCAGCTCCGCAGGGAAAAGGTACCCCAACAAGCCCAACACGCGCCACTCCCGTAGCAAAAGCCACCACAAGGCCGCACCCCACGGCCGCAGCAATGGCTTCTTATACGCGTTTAAGGCTGCCGTTTGCCAGGCCTCAAACCTTCAAAACCCTCCAAACCCTCCAAAAGTCCGGCCAGCTCCGCAGGGAAAAGGTATACCCCAACAAGCCCAACACGCGCCACTCCCGCACGCAAAAGCCACCACAAGGCCACAGCAATGGCTCAAGAGCACCACACGGCCGCAGCAATGGCTTCTTTTATAGGCGTTCAACGCTGCCGTTTGCCAGGCCTCAAACCCTCCAAACCTTCCGCCCAACATGCGCGCGGGCTTTAAGTGTGCGCGGCAGCTTCCACCAAGCCTGGCTGCAGCCTTTGCCGGTCCAGGGTTGCAGCCTGGCCCTTTGCCTGCACATCCCTCGCGGCAGCTTCCACCAAGCTCCTGGCCGTCAGCGTTCCAGCATTGCAGCCTGCCCTTTGCCTGCACATAGCCCTCTCTTGTTAGGGCATTCGAGCCTACCGTTTGCCAGGCTTCAAACCCATAACATGCCTCAAACCCTCCTTTGCCTGCACATAGCCCTCTCTCGTTAGGGCATTCGAGCCTCCCGTTTGCCAGCCTTCAAACCCCTAAAACCCCTCAAACCCTCCGCGGCAGCTTCCACCAAGGTTGCAGCCTGCCCTTTGCCTGCACATCCCTCGCGGCAGCTTCTACCAAGCTCCTTGGCGGTCAGCGTTCCAGCATTGCAGCCTGCCTGCACGTAGCCCTCTCTCGTTAGGGCATTCGAGGCAGCTGCCACCACGCCCTCTGGCCGGCAGCCTTTGCTGTTCCAGGGTTGCAGCCTGCCCTTTGCCTGCACATCCCTCGCGGCAGCTGCCTCCAAGCCCTCTGGCCGTCAGCGTTCCAGCATTGCAGCCTGCCCTTTGCCTGCACTGAGCCCTCTCTTGTTCCCCAACAAGCCCAACACGCGCCACTGCCGCACGCAAAAGCCACCACAAGGCCACAGCAATGGCTCAAGGGCACCCCACGGCCGCAGCAATGGCTTCTTATACGCGTTCAAGGCTGCCGTTTGCCAGGCCTCAAACGCTCCAAAACCCTCCAAACCCTCCAAAAGTCCGGCCAGCTCCGCAAGGAAAAACACATCCCTCGCGGCAGCTGCCACCAAGCCCTCTGGCCGTCAGCGTTCCAGCATTGCAGCCTGCCCTTTGCCTGCACTAAGCCCTCTCTTGTTCCACAACAAGCCCAACACGCGCCACTGCCGCACGCAAAAGCCACCACAAGGCCACAGCAATGGCTCAAGGGCACCCCACGGCCGCAGCAATGGCTTCTTATACGCGTTCAAGGCTGCCGTTTGCCAGGCCTCAAACGCTCCAAAACCCTCCAAACCCTCCAAAAGGCCGGCCAGCTCCGCAAGGAAAAGGTACCCCAACAAGCCCAACACGCGCCACTCCCGCACGCAAAAGCCACCACAAGGCCACAGCAATGGCTCAAGAGCACCTCTGGCCGTCAGCGTTCCAGCATTGCAGCCTTCCCTTTGCCTGCACTGAGCCCTCTCTTGTTCCCCAACAAGCCCAACACGCGCCACTGCCGCACGCAAAAGCCACCACAAGGCCACAGCAATGGCTCAAGGGCACCCCACGGCCGCAGCAATGGCTTCTTATACGCGTTCAAGGCTGCCGTTTGCCAGGCCTCAAAGTTTGCCAGCCTTCAAACCCCTAAAACCCCTCAAACCCTCCGCGGCAGCTTCCACCAAGGTTGCAGCCTGCCCTTTGCCTGCACATCCCTCGCGGCAGCTTCTACCAAGCTCCTTGGCGGTCAGCGTTCCAGCATTGCAGCCTGCCTGCACATAGCCCTCTCTCGTTAGGGCATTCGAGGCAGCTGCCACCACGCCCTCTGGCCGGCAGCCTTTGCTGTTCCAGGGTTGCAGCCTGCCCTTTGCCTGCACATCCCTCGCGGCAGCTGCCACCAAGCCCTCTGGCCGTCAGCGTTCCAGCATTGCAGCCTGCCCTTTGCCTGCACTGAGCCCTCTCTTGTTCCCCAACAAGCCCAACACGCGCCACTGCCGCGCGCAAAAGCCACCACAAGGCCACAGCAATGGCTCAAGGGCACCCCACGGCCGCAGCAATGGCTTCTTATACGCGTTCAAGGCTGCCGTTTGCCAGGCCTCAAACCCTCCATACCCTCCAAAACCCTCCAAACCCTCCAAAAGTCCGGCCAGCTCCGCAGGGAAAAGGTACCCCAACAAGCCCAACACGCGCCACTCCCGCACGCAAAAGCCACCACAAGGCCACAGCAATGGCTCAAGAGCACCTCCCGGCCTCAAACGTTCCAGCCTCCCTTGCCTGCCCAGCTGAGGGACCCCCCAACAAGCCCAACACGCGCCACTCCCGCACGCACAAGCCACCACAAGGCCACAGCAATGGCTCAAGGGCACCCCCCGGCCGCAGCAATGGCTTCTTCTAGGCGTTCAAGGCTGCCGTTTGCCAGGCCTCAAACCCTCCAAACGCTCCAAAAGTCCACCCAGCTCCGCAGGGAAAAGGTACCCCAACAAGCCCAACACGCGCCACTCCCGCACGCACAAGCCACCACAAGGCCACAGCAATGGCTGAAGGGCACCCCCCGGCCGCAGCAATAGCTTCTTATAGGCGTTCAAGGCTGCCGTTTGCCAGGCCTCAAACCCTCCAAACGCTCCAAAAGTCCGCCCAGCTCCGCAGGGCAAAGGTACCCCAACAAGCCCAACACGCGCCACTCCTTGCCACGCCCAACGCTGCAGGCAAAAGCCACCACAAGGACACAGCAATGGCTCAAGAGCACCCCACGGCCGCAGCAATGGCCTATTTTATAAGCGTTCAAGGCTGCCGTTTGCGAGGCTTCAAACCCTCCAAACCTTCCACCTCCTCCAAAAGTTTGCCCAACTCCGCAGGGAAAAGGTACCCCAACAAGCCCAACACGCGCCACGCCCGCAGGCAAAAGTCACCACAAGGCCACAGCAATGGCTCAAGGGCACGCCACGGCCGCAGCAATGGCTGCTTTTCGGCGTTTAAGGCTGCCGTTTGCCAGGCCTCAAACGCTCCAAACCCTCCAAATCCTCCACAAGTCCGCCCAACTCCGCAGGCAAAAGGTACCCCAACAAGCTCAACACGCGCCACGCCCGCAGGCAACAGCCACCACAAGGCCACAGCAATGGCTGAAGGGCACCCCCCGGCCGCAGCAATGGCTTCTTATAGGCTTTCAAGGCTGCCGTTTGCCAAGCCTCAAACCCTCCAAACGCTCCAACAATCCGCCCAGCTCCGCAGGGCAAAGGTACCCCAACAAGCCCAACACGCGCCACTCCCGCACGCAAACGCCGCCACAAGGCCACAGCAATGGCTCAAGGGCACCCCACGGCCGCAGCAATGGCTGCTTATAGGCGTTTAAGGCTGCCGTTTGCCAGGCCTCAAACGCTCCACACCCTCCAAAAGTCCGCCCAGCTCCGCAGGGACAAGGTACCCCAACAAGCCCAACACGCGCCACTCCCGCACGCACAAGCCACCACAAGGCCACAGCAATGGCTGAAGGGCACCCCCCAGCCGCAGCAATGGCTTCTTATAGGCTTTCGAGGCTGCCGTTTGCCAAGCCTCAAACCCTCCAAACGCTCCAACAGTCCGCCCAGCTCCGCAGGGCAAAGGTACCCCAACAAGCCCAACACGCGCCACTCCCGCACGCAAAAGCCACCACAAGGCCACAGCAATGGCTGAAGGGCACCCCCCGGCCGCAGCAATGGCTATAAGGGCCTCTTATAGGCGTTCAAGGCTGCCGTTTGCCAGGCCTCAAGCGCTCCACACCCTCCAAAAGTCCGCCCAGCTTGGCAAAAGCCACCACAAGGCTACAGCAATGGCGCAGCAATAGCTTCTTATAGGCGTTCAACGTCTGTTTGCGAGGCCTCAAACCCTCCAAACCCTCCAAATGCTCCAAAAGTCGAAGTACCCCAACAAGCCCAACACCGCCACGCCCGCACACAAAAGCCACCACAAAGCCACAGCAATGGCTCCAGGGCACCCCGCGGCCGCAGCAATGGCTTCTTCTGGGCGTTCAATGCTGCCGTTTGCGAGGCTTCAAACCCTCCAAACGCCTCAAATGCTTCAAAAGGCTCTTGCCACGCCCAACTCCGCACGCAAACGTAACGGGGTTGGTTGCTCCTAGGGGGGGTCCAGCCCCTGAAATAGTAGACCCCAGTGGCTGTTTTCCAGAGGGGCCTGACCCCCCCATACCCCTTTTGAGCATTTCTGAATGGATAAAATCTAGGGGCCCAAGTCTAGCATTCGTAAACCAAACATTTTTGCTAACACTCAACTTGGACAAAGGAACCAATACTTTGGAGCATTTTGGACGTTCAAAAATGATCAAAGGTCAGGCCCCTCAAAATATTTTGGGCATGTTGTGAATATTTAGGACATACATGTTTTATCTGTGAATCTTATGAAACCATGGACCTCCTGGATTTTAGCCATCGATTTTTTCTGCATGCCTCAGATAAGCTGGCCACTTTGAAAGGTTTTCAACGGAGATAAAGTTGATAAACATGTCATAACTATCTTCCCAAGAACACAATTTCTGCGCACCTTTAACGCCAGTTTTCTTAGAGAGATTCATCTATCAAGGTTAGCGGGTACAGATGTTATTTTCAGGCTTACCCTCCAAGTTTCAAGAGCAAAGATTGGACAAGGCGAGGTGTTGGTTTCCAGGATTTGGTAGCCTTTTTTGGAATCAATTTCAGCGTGTCCTTGATGTGCAGGAGACTTTGTTCTGGATTTACTTTTAACAAATATGATAAAGGTAAACATTTCAGAACTGTCCCAAGTAAATAAACTTAGTGCAAGTTTTTTGACGCCAATTTTGCAGAGAGGTTGATATCTCAAGGTTGGGCACACAGGTTTTATTTGCTGGAACTGAAGATGGACAGGGTGAGATGCTGGTATCCAGGATTTGGTTGCGTGCTTTTTGAGATCAATTTCAATATTTGTCCTTGATGTGAAAGTTCAACAAAGAATGACGTTCAAAAGAGATAATATTGACAGGGTTTCCGTGGCACGAAAGCTGATAAACATGCCACACGTTTCCCAAGAAAAAAAATGTGCACCTTTGGTTGATGCCTGTTTTGCAGAGGGGATCATCCGTCAAGGTTGGGGACATGGATTTTACTTCTTCTTGGTTTTTTCCTTCAAGCTTCGCCCCGCTAGGTCGAAGCAGCTATCCGGGAACAGAAGAAGCACAGGATTTGGCAGCCTTTTTGTTTGGGTCAAATTCAATATTTTCATCTCAAAGTTCAAAAACAATAAAGTTTCAAGGTGAGGAAATTTGTAACGGTGAGTTTGATAAACATGCCAGCAATGCTCAGCACAATAAATTTAATACACCTTTGTTACAGTTTGATGCCAGTTTTGCAGTGGAATTCATCAATCAAGGTTGTTTTTTGTTCCCTTTCCAATCCAAGGTGTAGGTTGGACCTAAACTGAAGGGGGCGGCATCTGAAAATAAAATAGATACCAAGCCACAAGTAAGATAAAAAAAAAATCAAAGGCCCAACCTTCATAACATCAAAAGGCCTAACCTCAAGTTGGGATCAGATAAAATCCAAGGGTCTCGCCCCTCTTGAATCCTCTTTGGAATCGAATGCCCTTGAGGGGCCCTGGGGGGGCCCTGGGGGGGTCGGAGCCCTTGGAATTTATCTCACACATAGGGCCACGATAAAATCTAGCAAGTGTGCTGCTAAAATCTGGGGCCCAATCTTCAAATTTACTGAAAAAACTAAAACATATATTCTGCACCTCAGGGGCTGGAGCTCCTAAATCTCGTTGGAACTGCAATCAAAGTAGGTTGGAGCTAAAATCAAGGGGCTGAACCTTTGAAAATATAAGATAGGTACCAAATCTCAAGTAGGATGAAAATAAAATTCAATGAGCCCAACCTTCCAAAGATAAAATCAAGGTGCCTGACCTGAAATTGGAGTGAGATAAAATCCAAGGGGCTGGACCCCCCCCTTGGGTCCTCTTTGGAAGCGAGTACCCTTGAGGGGACCTAGGGGGGTCCAGCCTCTTGGAATTTATCTCACACTTATGATCGAGATAAAATCTAGCATCTCTGCAGATAAAATCAAGGGACCTATCGTCATTTTTACTAAGGCTTAAAAAAAATAGCCATGCACCCCAGGGGCTGGAGCTCCTAGATCTCAGCTGAGAGCTACCAACGGGGTTAAACGTTACCCCAACAGTCATCACGCCCAACGCTGCAAGCAAAAGCCACCCCAACAGGTACCCGACTCCGCACGCAAACGTTACCCCAACAGTCATCACGCCCAACGCTGCAAGCAAAAGCCACCCTAACAGGTACCCAACATCATAAAATGATTAATCATCCACAAGCTGTCAGGTAGCCAACACAGCCACTGCCTCACCCTTGCGCGCCTGGCGGAGTTCGAGCTGATCCGTGTCCATTTGGCCGCAGGGTGCAACTTCTCGCTGCTTGAGAAGCAAACGGCCATATGTCTGTCTTGCTGTCCGTCTCCCTCTCTCTCTCTGCAGTACCCCCCCTCCAATTAGGGGGGTCGGCGGCACCTGGGCGTTAGCCCATTCTATTATAAACTTGTGCAAAAATGGCATTTTTGGGGGGCATGCAGCTGGTCAGATTTCCGGTGCTGTTTTCCCCGCCTCCTCCGCCCTACCATGCCGGAACGTGTTGTGCGCCACCGCGGCGTCGCGCAGCTGCTGCTGCCAGGTGCCGTCGCCCCCGGCCATCAGCGGTCGTGGTGGGTCAGCGGCCTCTGAGGTGCGGATGGCGCTGGTCCACCAACCCACCATCAGGGTGAGGCGCCGTTGGGTCACCGGTGACTCCTGGGAGCTCTTTTTTGGGAACGAAAACGGGGAGAAAAAAGAATGTGGGAAAAATGCGGGAAAACTATGGGAAAATTGGGCAAAAACACTGCCAAACAATAGGAGAAAACGCTTCCCTGACCTCCATCCAAGGCTTTCCAGGCATTACACCATGGAGGTAGCCGCCATCGAAGAACAGCTGCCTCGTGACACCAAGAACACAAAGGTTGGAAAAACCAACCTTTGTAAATTAAATATTGTGACAATTTCATCCATTTCACTTACAGTACATAAACATACAGCATTTTCAGAAAACCAATTTTGGTTCAAGCATGTTGCTAGATCACAAGCTGCAGAGCTGGACGCGTGCACAGTGATACATCACAATCATATACTGCCCAAACAGTGCCGCTTATGTATATACATCAAGTAGGGCAATAAACCCACCTGTAACTGTAGGAACTGACATGGGGTTGCGGATGTCAATCTGGTGGACTTGACGAGTCACAAGCGTACCCTTTTCAAATCGAATCTGGCCACATGCAAGATCCACCATGGATATCCATTCCAGTGAACCGTTAAAGAAAAGGAATTCACTTTCCATTGTCATGTTACTTGCCGGCTGGTATATGCCCAGACCAAATATGCTTGTTGTATCTCCATGTGATTATTGGTGCAATATGATTCACTATCATTCCATATGTTGGTTGGATTGGATCCCAGGCTTTCTATATCGGTCAGGTTGATGCAGCTTCTACCATGATGTGACCTTAAAGGACCATCCAATATCTATCCTTATCATTCCCTATATCCCCAGAGGATATCCCATATCATCCCCAGCGCATCGCCTCCCCATCCGCGGCCGCACCAGCGCCGCCGTGTCGCTGTCCGAAGCAAAGCGGTGCCGTTGACTCGTGACCACGGTGGCACCGAAACGTGGGGTGTCCTCGTTTCGCGAATTTTGAAGGGGAGAAGAATTGGAAAATGTGTGAAAATGTGTGAACCCAAGCCAGAAAAATGAGGATTTCATAGGATTCCAGCAAAAATCTGGATTGCATCATCTGAAATGGGATTGAACTGATTGAACTATTAAACATACAAAAATATGGAGAGATGGACGGGTATGTGTTCCAAGTGTGAGTATTACGTGATACGGTTTGACGTGACTATGGCCTCTGCATGGGAGAGGATTTTCCAGTTGATTCCATGACTGGGGCAAAACACATCGGCAAACCGAAGGAGAACATCTTCTTCAAGACAAGAGAGACGCTTCTCCTGAAACTCGCAGAAATCACAATTCAATGATTCTATAATTCTATAATATTCTATAGTTCATGTCCACATAAATGTGAATATAACATAATATAAGATCATGTAAAAGAGTGCGAATAGATGCGAATAGCATGGCCGTCCTCACAGAGATATACCACGCTGCTCATGGCTGGGTGCTCCACGTGCGTACCCAAGGAATCACGCAAGAGTTGCTCCTTGGCTGAAAGGGTTCGAAACGCTGGAAAATCACACAGGATATCTCTAAAGAATAGACTAGGACATGTAAATTAATGATATTCATGTATGATTGTGTATGCAACACCCAATAAACATTAGAGTAGAAACTGCCTCTAGTTCCCTTCAAATTTGACCAAAGGTGTTGGTATTTTTTTTAACGCATGGTCTTTGGGGACTCACAGTGGGTCAAGGCAGGCATGAGTGGACTTACTGATGTCCATAACAACAATATGAGTACCGGATATCAAAACCAAATTTCGTTGAGCCGTTGCAAAAAACTGAACCAGCGAACTCTTTCCATCTTGGGCTCTGCACATGTCTCCGCTGGCATGGTTGTTGCATATGTCCTCTGAAAATCGACTAGAAATCCAAATCTGCAAGCAATTTGACAGTCTGGAAGAACAATCATGAACAAACCGTCTTGGTTTGTCAGCTCATCAGATCCCACTGACCCAGAAATCGAATGGAAAGTTGCATGTGAATGGGTTAAGGTTTACCCTGGGAAAACTAAAAAAATGGAAAACCCACGGGGGAACCCCAGGAAAATGATCTACAAATGGTGGGTTTTCCACATCATCAATTTACAGGGGGGTAAACCAAAAATAAAGTACTTGAATCAAAATAATCAAATACCTTTTTGGGCCATTTCAAAATGTTCAACTTTGGGGCCCTGCACATAGTTTAAAACCTCAATTGAGCTTCATTGGTGTCGAAGTGGAGAGGATGTCCGTGCCATTGATCAGGGGCCCGCTGATGGACCCACCATTCCGCCACGGTCAAAGTCTTGCTCACCTGGCACCAATTTGAGTGTGTCGGAAAATGGAGTTGTCTACCCAAAAATGTATGGCAATTTTCCAAGTAAAAAACTCAAACAATGGATGAACATGGTGATGAATCATAAAATTTTGGAAAACATTTTGGGGTATAGCATAAATATAAATATACAAATACATTATATATACACTGTATATATATATATATGTGCAGTGTATATATATATATATAAAGTAATATATATATATATATAATCTCTCTCTCTCTGTGCAATTTTCACATGTTGGGGAGGCCCACGGAGAGTCCATCTCCAAAAAAACCTTGGGTGACCATAACAAAAATCCCAGCGGTGCGGAGCAGTCAAAAGTCTGATTAAAGAACTGGCCGATTGGATCCAACTAGATGGGAACGGCGCTGAGAGGCGCCTGGTGGTTTTAAGGGGGGTTGCGTGCACTTCCCAACACTGGGCATGCAGCCTTGCACGCCTGTTTTTGCACTTCTCAAAAACTACTTCAACCATGGAACAATTTCAGCGTAACATGAGCCTGATTGAGAATATCCCACCCCACCACACCCCATGATCAACAAAACGTCATCAGCGTAGCATGAACATGAACGCTAACATCTCACCCCACCCCACCCCATGAACAGCGTAACATCATCAGCATAACATGAGCATGAACGTTAACATCCCACCCCACCCACCCCATGATCAACGTAACATCATCAGCGTAACATGAACATGAACGTTAACATCCCACCCCACCCCACCCCGTGGCCCATCATCACACAAAAACAACAAACACAAAAAACACCCAGGTGCCCTGCAGCGCCCATGGTAACTAGATGATTTGAAAAAAAATATGCGCAGGAAATGGTTTCCTTGGTCTGGGGATGTTCTGTCGGTTTCATGCTAGCATTTCAGCTTTCAAGATTTGGGTTTGTATGAAAATAAGGTACCCCATTCCATCCACTGGTTCATCAGCATGTCCGCGTCTGGCTATGACTTGGGGGCACACCCCGCTTTTCTAGACAATCCAAACAAAACAATGTAGTTTAACCATAACAATTACAATAACAGTTATCCATGTAAATTAAATATCCGTCATATATCACCATTTCAATGGTTAATGATGGTTCATACTCCAGTAGATATCGCCAGTATCAAACGGCGATATCCTCCCAAATGGCATCCTATCAAGCTGGCAATACAATACACCCACACACACACACATATATATATATATCCATGAAGTATCTGTTATGGTTTCTCTTTTTTCCCACCAACTTTATTCATTCCACAAATCCTCATTATGGTTGGTGAAATCCCCAAGAAAACATTGAACATCCCCATCTTCCAATCACCATCCATATATCACCAAAATAAAATATATACATATAATATATAAATATTATATATATATATATCACCACATCAGAAGCATCATTGGTTGGTGAAATCCACCCCAAACAAATCCCCAGCTCTTCGCCCCAAAAACTCCCGACCTCTGGAGCCACCTCCTCCAGGCTGGGCCGCATGGCTTCGATGAGCTGATCGATGATGTGATCCGTGCAGTCCAGTTGGTGCGCGTGAGAGTAGAACGTCACATCGGGGCTGTGATATCCTTGCCATTTCAGGGACCCATGGATTGGAGGTACCTAGCATTTTTTCAGGCCCGTGTAAGGGAATATTCCCCACAAGATATGTCTGGTTGGTGGTTTCAACCCCTCTGAAAAATGATGGAGTTCGTCAGTTGGGATGATGACATTCCCAACTGAATGGAAAGTCATAAAATTCCATGGTTCCAAACCACCAATCAGATGTCCTAAGATGATACAATAGCTCCACTTTAGGTTCCCATTGATTCCTGGCCTGCAGGCCAGGGGTGAAAACCTCCAGTTGGGACTAGAATCCCACCATGGTTGTAGAACCCACCATAGGGTGAAACATCAAAGGCAAACTATAGAGAGATGAGGATATACCAGTAGTACCGCACAAGGCGGTGGCGGAAGTTTCAGAAATAGGAAACCAATAGGAGAGGTTAATTGTTGTGAATCACGGATGGCAGAGCGAAGCCACTGGTGGACCGAAAGGTGGTTGGAGTTGTTCTTTTTGGAGTGGTTGCAATGGTTGCAGCGGTCACCTCACTCACAACTCCTGGATGTAGTGTGTAGTTGTAGTTGTAGTTGTGGTTGTGGTTCTAGTTGCAGTTGTAGTGGTGTTGATGTTGTTGAAGTTGTTGAAGTTGTAATGTTGTAGTTGTAATGTTGTAGTTGTGGTTGTAGTCGTAGTCGTAGTGTAGTGTAGTTGAAGGGTAGTTGAAGTTGTAGTTGTCTGCCTTAATTGTAGTAATTGCGGTAGTGGTGTAGCGCAGTAGTTGTAGTTGTAGGTGTAGTTGTACTTGTAGTGTAGTGGAGTTGTAGTTGTGAGTTGTAGTTGTAGTTGTAATGTAGTGTAATTAGTGTAGTGTAGTTGCAGTTGCAGTTGTGGTGTGGTGTAATTAGTATATATAGTGTATTGTAGTGTACTGTAGTGTTGTGTACTGTAGCGTGGTATAGTGTTGCGTGGTCTAGCGTATAGTAGTGTAAACGAGTTGTAGTTGTAGTTGTAGTGTAGTGTCGTGTAGGGCAATGTAGTGGTAGTTCTAGTTGCATTTGCATTTGTAGCTGTAATGTGCTGCAGTTCAATTATATAGCGTATTGTAGTGTAATGTAGTGTAGCTGTCATTGTAGTTGTAGCTGTGGTGGTGGTGGTGGTGGTGGTGGAGTGTAGCGTAATTCATGTTGTGTAATGTAGCGTAGTATATTTGTACTTGTAGTTGTAGTAGTAGTGTAGTGTAGTGGTACTTGTAGTTGTAGTTGCAGTTGTATATCTATCTATCTGTCTATCTGCAAGCTTGAAAATGAAGCTATTCTGCGAGACTTCCTCAATTATGACAACCTCAAAAACGAAGCAATTCTGCCAGACTTCCTCATTTTTCGAAGTTGACAACATCAAAAACGAAGCAATTCTGCGAGACGTCCTTCAAACATGGAAAGTTGAGTGCAGAGCTGACGGACCAATGCGTTTTGCGATTGTTCCAGTCCACCTGTCTAAAGTACTGCGCCTGCCATGAAAAAGTGATGCCAGATCATACGAAGTGCTGCACCTGTCACGCAAAATCATTTCAGCAAACTTGAAGATTTGATGCTCCAAAATGCAACCCCTCTCAAGAAATCAGCGCCCTGACCTCCTAACATCTCTCATGAACATGTCTTTTGTACTGCACCTGCCACGGAAAGTGCATCTTTGCGGATCCTCTTCAAATGTCCCATGCCTGCCATCGTTTTTGGAAATGCTACAAAACCCTCACGTTTTGCTCACTTTTGAAGAGGTGCGCAATCCCTTGCGCCTGCCACACGAAACGAACATCTGAACGTCCAAAAGTGGTCCGTACCCCTCAGTTTTTTGCACTTTTGACATCGAAATGTGCTTCGCGCGACAACGGCGTGCACTTTTTCGACATCTCAACTTCCAAAAGTGGTCCGGAGCTGGTGTGCTTTGTACATTTTGACTTCGAAATTTGCTTCGCGCCACATCGCCGTGCAGTTTTTCGACATCTCAACTTCAAAAATTGCTCCGAACGTGAAGTGGTTTTAGCTTTTTCACTTGCACATGTGCTTCGCGCCACAACGGCGTGCACTTTTTCATCATCTCAACTTCCAAAAGTGGTCCGACGTTGGTGTGTTTTGTACCTTGTGACTTTGAAATGTGCTTCTCGCCACAACGGCGTGCAATTGTTCATCTCTCATCTGGCCAGCTGGCTCCGCACCCGCCGCTTTAGCGAGCCTACTTTTCGACCCTCGGGAGCGACAAATCATTGGAAAAACACAGTGTTTCGCGACTTTCCCACCTATTCGCGCACCTGGATCTTCTTTCTTCTGAGACTTTCTCTTTTGTTATCTTCTTTCTTCTTCTCTTCTCTTATCTGACTCTTCCCATCTCTGCTTTTCATCTGTCCATATTGTCGGAAGTTTGACTTCTAAACTTCCTTCGATGATATATGATATATGTGTTTAATGTTGCTTTATATAAACTTTATACATGTTGCTACATGTGGATCATTTGGAGAAATCACATGAAGCAACTTTAGGTATCTTTCACAGAGTGAGATTTTGGATGTATCTATAGTTCATGGATAATCCATGATAATCCTACATGTGTTTTGGTGGAAATGGATCCCAGCACTTTGAAGTCTTCAGGCCCTTCGTGTTGATCCTATCGTGGGGATGATCTCTGACATGTTCAGCAGCTTGGAACAAGAGGGTGCCAAACAAAAAGAGTCCCTGAAAAAAAAGTCCCTCATCACAATGCACCAACGCATCTTTGGGAAATTTCTAGGTGGGTTCCATTCTCCCCCCATTCAGCTCCAGAATGTTGATCTTGAAAGTCCAAAACTTCAACACCTCAAAGAATTCCCAAGAAAGACAAAAGATGCAAATCAACCCATATCAGCCCCATACTTCTGAGGATAAAGAACGCCCAACCTTAGGGGATTGGGATCCCACTGTTAAAAAAAAACACCTTCACATCCTGCAGCCAAGTTGCTATGATCATCCCAATAGCTGGCATCTGGCTGCAATGCTTCCCTGGCCTTCCTGGCGGATGAGACCCTGAAACCCATATGTAAGGAAATCACACGAAATCACCATTCACCTCCGAAAAATGCCTTGCGCACACGTTCTGCGGTTTGTGTGTCCCATGTTTTTTGTGTTTTAGCAACCTGCTGTGGTTGGTGCGATCATCTCAACCAGCTTGGCCTGACCAAATCCTCGGGCAGGCCATGGTCCAGGACCTTGGTTGGATCGATATATTGGATATGGATCCATATATCACAATCCCGTAGCATCTGCATGGATAAATAGATATGATAAAATATACTGTATATCTATATTGTTTCTACATATGCATATGTAATATATCATCTACTGTAAATTTTGTTCAAAAGTTGTGGTCCGAAATGTAAATGTATTGATTTGCCCAAGTTCAAGCAGTTTGGTAAGCATTACATATGAGATAAACATATGTATATATATATATATATATATATATCCATAATAAACCATCCCCCGGCCATCACCATGTTTAATCATTTTTATATGTGGTGTGTTTATCATTCCCAGTCATGGGTGGTTTATGACTCACATTGTTTTACCCACATTAGACACCCAAGTCATCCATTTATATATATATATATAGATGGATTTTCCATGAAATAAACTTTATCCATTGTTGGGTACCCCCATGACTTAGGAAATCCCCTAATATATATTATATATATATATATATGAATAATTATAAATAAACATATCGAATATATAAACATATAGGTATCTATAGATAAGTCTATAATTCCCCATATAGATAAATAAACAAATATAGATAAATATGCACCCCCATGACTTAGGAAAATCCCCATAGATAAATACATAATCTCGGATAAACATTGGGTACGGTACCCCCATTTTAGGACATCCCCATTCCATCCCATTCCCCATATCTTATAGATAAATAAACATATATCATATATATATATTATATATATATGGGTAAATTATAATATTTCACTAATCTGAATTTAAGGCCATTTGTGGATGATTTCCCTTACTAACCATGATTTCCAGGGTTCGGTCGCGACGTGAGGTCGTTATAATTTACCCGGATATATATATATATATATATATATATAAGCCATGACCTGATCGAATCGGCTTTGGCCATGTCACTTTGACTGAAAAGTCCGCTGGCTGATCGAATCCGCGGCAGCTGTCCGTCCAAAGGTCGTTGGAAAGACGAACCTCCGGCAGCGTGCCATGCGCAGGGTAATTTGGAATGTCTATAAACAATTATAAACATATATAGGCAAACATTAAACTGTGACTATCAGAATCTATATAAGTCTTATTGCAGTCACCTGATGTTGTTTGCATATGTTCGTGCACATTAGTGCTATCTGACACGTTTGGCTCTCTTGCAATACGGCTTTTGATGTGTACGATGGATGCAACCGATTCGCTCTCATGTCTTCACAACTGTTCCCATCTTCAGTGATGGGTTCTGGATGGATTTCAATGTATTATAAAGAGTATCTTAAAGATCTGACATAAAGCCAAAATTCTATGGCTATGTTGAGTGACCAAAGGGCAACTAATTACAGTAGGGTTCCGTTGTCCGTCCTACCAGAAAAGGCAGCTGAGTAGCGGGAAGTCCCAGTTCTACCAAATGTTCATCTGCCTCCTGCGCAATGTTCTGGCCATTCCAAAACATTTGGGTATATAAACCATGAGCGACTTCAAAATATTGAAACAAATAGATCAACAATGTCTATACAGTCTAGCTGGTTGGTACAAATCTGAATTTATGGCAACAAATATCTCGTACCAAAAAACAAAGAGTATACATGTCAATGTGTATACCCTTATAGAAGGAACGTGACGTGAAGAAACACAGCCCCCGAAAGACAACATTGCATTTTCATGCAATTGCAGTATGTAGAGGATACATTTAGTGCCAATCCTCGCAAACAAGGACGCACAGCAGAATGCCAATGAAATCCAATCCGGAACCCCCAGTGCATTCACATCGGGGATACCATAAGTATCACTCTTTAAAGAGAAGGAACCTCACCAGTTTGGACCCCTCCTAATGGTTGACCCGCGTGGCAGCTTGATAGCAATGTCATGGGTACATACAGTACCTGTATGCAAGAAATATTCCCGAAATCTGCAGTATGTGCGTGTTTTTTCGTTGTTTCATAGACTGGATACCAAATTCCAGATATCCTGCAAGAACAAACTAGTTCCAATCAAGGATTAGCTTCATGACCCATAGCCCCCCCAAAAAGGTTGGAATTTGGAAGATGTTTTTCAGGACATGTCACTTCTTAGTTGGAACATCTTTCTTTCTCTGCGACACTGAGAGGCTGAGAGCCTTCGCCAATGCCGGGCGCCTTGAAACGTCCAAGCTGACAGCCTTGCAGTGCCAAGTAGAAGCGAGCCAAGCGACCGGCCTCTGCTGAGCCTTGCGTCTTGTGCCTATCGCAGTGGAAAGGCGGCCTTTTTTGTGGTGGAAAATTTTTGAAACATCCATGGACAATAAGGGAAAATGCGCGTGAGCAGTGTTCAAAAATGTTGAACTCTACCAGTAGTACCGCACAAGGCGGTGGCGGAAGTTTCAAAAATAGGAAACCTATAGGAGAGGTTGGTTGTTGTGAATCAGGGATGGCAGAGCGAATCCACTGATGGACCGAAAGGTGCTTGATCTCTCTCACTCTCTCACTCTTTCTCTCTCTTTCTCTGCCTATCTACCTACCTACCTATCTATTTTCTATGTATCTATCTATCTATCTATCTATCTACCTACCTGTCTATCTCTCTCTCCCTTTCATCTGTCTATCTGTCTAGCTGTCTACCTGTCTATCTGTGTTGCAGTGTCATTCAGTGTAATGATATCGTCAAATACGAGCAGGGACCCTTGAGGGGGATTCTAGAACCCCTACAATCATTTTCCCAGGGGGGGGGGCCTGGGGATCAACTTGATGATGTTAGAACTTTGGCAGCTTGTGTTGGGGGGGTTCTGGAATCATATCTTCGGGAATCAGGAATATGATCCTAGAACCCTTTCATTTTGGAGCCTTTCTGTTGTCAAAAAACGGGGTCAACAATTGCGCCTAAGCAAAACCCGCAATCTCACAAGCTCAATTATCCGCCTGTTTCCTTTGCTCCCATGCTAATCCCCTTTTCCTATTTCCTAACCCCCCTAATGAATAAAAATAGATCCCGGTGGTCATTTCCGGGAAATTTCAGGTTGGTCAATTTGATCTTCAATTAATCGCATTTAGAAAACAGTTTTTGGGGTCAAGATCCCACTTGAGGGTTCATCTTAATACTAAAAACTGATTGGCTGGGACTGGTTATTGTTCGCGTCCATGACATCATTTCATTTTTTGATTAGTACTTAAGGTTTCGATGTAGTTATCAGGGGAAAGCGTCGTCAGACAATTTTTGGCAATATGTCAAAAAAATGACATATAGTAGTTTTAAAATATGTCTTAATCTGTTTTAAAAAGAACTTTCTGGCACCTAACACCTTTCGGTTGATGAATCAAATTGTTTTTTTTTCCAATTTTTGTTCAAGGATTTTGCAGGATTGGGAGGTCTAAAATCATATCTATGGGCCTTTGGGAAGACAAATCCACAGAATTTGTTGGGAGATATCATTTCAGAACCTTGTGTAAATCTCAACCGTTTCCGAATAGTAATTCATTTTAGTTAAATCAAATTGGGTTCTTCATTTTGGTTCAGAGGATTTTGCAGGATTGGGGGGTCTATCATATCTATTGGCCTTTGTGAAGACAAATCCACGGAATGAGCTGGGGGATATGATTTCAGAACCTTATGCAAAATTCAACCGTTTCGGAGTCATAAATCAAATTGGTTTCTTCATTTTTGTTCAGAAGGTTGTATAGGAATGGTGGGTCTAAGTTCATATCCAAGGCCCTAGTGGAGATAAATCCATAGAATGAGTTGAGAGATATCATTTCAGAACCGTGTGTAAAACTCAACCGTTTCCGAGTAGTAATTCATTTTAGTTAAATCAAATTGGGTTCTTCATTTTGGTTCAGAGGATTTTGCAGGATTGGGGGGTCTAAAATCATATCTATTGGCCTTTGTGAAGACAAATCCACGGAATGAGCTGGGGGATATGATTTCAGAACCTTATGCAAAATTCAACCGTTTCGGAATAGTAAATCAAATTGGTGTCTTCATTTTTGTTCAGAAGGTTGTATAGGAATGGTGGGTCTAAGTTCATATCCAAGGCCCTAGTGAAGATAAATCCATAGAATGAGTTGAGAGATATCATTTCAGAACCGTGTGTAAATCTCAACCGTTTCCGAGTAGTAATTCATTTTAGTTAAATCAAATTGGGTTCTTTATTTTGGTTCAGAGGATTTTGCAGGATTGGGGGGTCTAAAATCATATCTATTGGCCTTTGTGAAGACAAATCCACGGAATGAGCTGGGGGATATGATTTCAGAACCTTATGCAAAATTCAACCGTTTCGGAGTAGTAAATCAAATTGGTTTCTTCATTTTTGTTCAGAAGGTTGTATAGGAATGGTGGGTCTAAGTTCATATCCAAGGCCCTAGTGAAGATAAATCCACAGAATGAGTTGGGAGATATCATTTCAGAACCTTGTGTAAATCTCAACCGTTTCCAAGTAATAATTAAATATAATTAAATCAAATTGGATTCCTCATTTTGGTTCAGAGGATTTTGCAGGATTGGGGGGTCTAAAATCATATCTTTGGGCCTTTGTGAAGACAAATCCACGGAATGAGCTGGGAGATATGATTTCAGAACCTTATGCAAAATTCAACCGTTTCGGAGTAATAAATCAAATTGGTTTCTTCATTTTTGTTCAGAAGGTTGTATAGGAATGGTGGGTCTAAGTTCATATCCAAGGCCCTAGTGAAGATAAATCCACAGAATGAGTTGGGAGATATCATTTCAGAACCGTGTACAAATCTCAACCGTTTCCGAGTAGTAGTTAATTTTAGTTAAATCAAATTGGGTTCTTCATTTTGGTTCAGAGGATTTTGCAGGATTGGGGGGTCTAAAATCATATCTTTGGGCCTTTGTGAAGACAAATCCACGGAATGAGCTGGGAGATATGATTTCAGAACCTTATGCAAAATTCAACCGTTTCGGAGTAATAAATCAAATTGGTTTCTTCATTTTTGTTCAGAAGGTTGTATAGGAATGGTGGGTCTAAGTTCATATCCAAGGCCCTAGTGAAGATAAATCCACAGAATGAGTTGGGAGATATCATTTCAGAACCGTGTGTAAATCTCAACCGTTTCCGAGTAGTAATTAATTTTAGTTAAATCAAATTGGGTTCTTCATTTTGGTTCAGAGGATTTTGCAGGATTGGGGGGTCTAAAATCATATCTATTGGCCTTTGTGAAGACAAATCCACGGAATGAGCTGGGGGATATGATTTCAGAACCTTATGCAAAATTCAACCGTTTCGGAGTAATAAATCAAATTGGTGTCTTCATTTTTGTTCAGAAGGTTGTATAGGAATGGTGGGTCTAAGTTCATATCCAAGGCCCTAGTGAAGATAAATCCACAGAATGAGTTGGGAGATATCATTTCAGAACCGTGTGTAAATCTCAACCGTTTCCGAGTAGTAATTAATTTTAGTTAAATCAAATTGGGGGTTCTTCATTTTGGTTCAGAGGATTTTGCAGGATTGGGGGGTCTAAAATCATATCTATTGGCCTTTGTGAAGACAAATCACACGGAATGAGCTGGGAGATATGATTTCAGAACCTTATGCAAAATTCAACGTTTCGGAGTAATAAATCAAATTGGTTTGTCATTTTTGTTCAGAAGGTTGTATAGGAATGGTGGGTCTAAGTTCATATCCAAGGCCCTAGTGAAGATAAATCCACAGAATGAGTTGGGAGATATCATTTCAGGACCTCTTGTTGCATTGGTGATTGGTACCTGGCATCCTGTTTTTTTTGATCTGCGTTTATGCACTTTGCATGTTTTGGTTCAGGAGGTTGCGCAGCCAAAGCGATAATTTCATATCCATGGTCCATGGCCCATGTGAACATAAACCTTCTTACACATAAAAACGACACTTTATCTTTTGGCGAACCATGTTCGGAAAAAAATAAAAGTGCCACAAATACCCGTAGAGTGCTATAAACACACGTAGAAATCCTACTCCCAAAATGGCACATTTTCCAATGACAAGAGTTCCGGGCACTTTGGACAGTGCCCAAAACGATGGGCACCAGGCTTTCCAGGTAACTACTTCCACATGATCCATAGATATCTGAAGTGGTCGGAAACAGCAAATTACAACATCAAAAAAAACAACTCTAGGAACCAAAACCTCCAGGGTTCTACAATGGGGGGAGGTCAGGGTTCTACAATCATATCGGCAACCCATGTTAGAACCCCAGAATTTACCCCCAGGGGGGTACCCATCCTAGACACCTCGTACTTGAGGGTATGGGTGGTAATGTAGTGTGGTGTAGCGTAGTTAGTGTAGTGGATGTACTGGAGTGTAATGTAGTGTAATGTAGTGTGACTTCGAAGTGTGCTTCGCGCCACAACGGCGTACACTTTTTCAACATCTGAACCTCCAAAAATGGTCCGAACCCTCAGTGTTTTGGACATTTTGACTTGGAAAGGTACTTCGCGCCACAACGGCGGGATCATCAATCCAACGCGGGAAGTCCGCCATGTTTCCTGGCTGTTTTGGCTACCCACAACTGCTGGATGTAGTGTGATGTACTGCAACTGTAGTTGTAGTTGTAGCGTAGTGGAGTTTACTGTGTGTATGTAATTAGTATGTAGTTGCAGTGATATAGTTGTACCTGTATTGTTTGTAGTTGTAGTTGTTGTGTAGGGGGGTGTAGTTTGTAGTTGAAGTTGTTGTAGTTGTATTGTTGTTTGTTTTTGTTGTTGTTTGTTGTACTGTTGTTTGTTGTAAGCTGTAGTTGTTTGGGTAGTTGTAGTTTTTTTGTGTATTTGTAGTTGTAGTTGTTGTTTTTGTAGTTGTTGTTGTAGTTGTAGTGTTGTTGTGGTTGGCTGGTGTTTGTGTTGTTGTTGTAGCTGTAGTTGTATGTAGTTGTAGTTCTGAGTAGTATAGTAAGTTGTTGTTGTTGTTGTTGTTGTTGTTTGTTGTTGTTGTTGTGGTTGTTTGTTGTTGTTGTTTGTTGTTGTTGTTGTTGTTGTTGTTGTTTGTTGTTGTTGTTGTTGTTGTTGTTGTTGTTGTTGTTGTTGTAGTTGTAGTCCTAGTTGCAGTTGTAGTTGTAGTTGTCGTGTAGTAGTAGTAGTTGTTGTTGTAGTTGTTGTAGTTGTTGTAGTAGTAGTAGTAGTTGTTGTTGTTGTTGTTGTTGTGGCTGTTGTTGCTGTTGCTGTTGCTGTTGCTGTTGTCGTCGAAGTTAGGGTAGTTAAGTTAGTGAAGTTAGTTAAGTTAGTCAAGTTAGTTAAGTTAATCAGTGTCTACTTTTTCGACATCTTCACGTCAAAAAAGGCTCAGAACCCTCAGTTTTTTACACTTTTGACTTCGAAATGTGCTTCGCGCCACAACGGCGTGCACTTTTTTGACACTTTTTCGACATCTGAACCTCCAAAAGTGGTCCGAGACCGCCAGTTTTTAACACTTTTGACTTGGAAATGTGCTTCGCGCCACAACGGCGTGCACTTTTTCGACATCTCAACTTCCAAAAGTGGTCCGAGAATGGTGTGTTTTTGTACATTTTGACTTGGAAATGTGCTTCGCGCCACAACGGTGTGCACTTTTTCGACATCGCAACTTCCAAAAGTGGTCCGAACCTGGTGTGTTTTGTACATTTTGACTTGGAAATGTGCTTCGCGCCACAACGGCGTGCAATTTTTCATCTCTCATCTGGCCAGCTTGCTCCGCACCCGCCGCTTTAGCGAGCCTACTTTTCGACCCTCCGGAGCCCCAAATCATTGGAAAAACACAGTGTTTCGCGACTTTCCTACATTTTCGCGCATCTGCATCTTCTTTCTTCTTACTCTTTCTCTTCTGATCTTCTCTCTGCTAATCTTCCTCTTCTCTCTGCCTCTGCCCTGCTCTGCTTTTCATCTGTCCATATTGTCGGAAGTTTGACTTCTAAACTTCCTTCGATAAATGTCATGGTGGGGATAACTCGAAGTAAAGAAATTTCGCGGAAACATTGAGTGACAGTGTGCAATAGCCAAGCAAGCTCATGTGAGCACGGTCATGCGACGGCGGCTGATTTCCAAATCAACCTCTCCTTTCCTTTCCCTTCCTTTCCCTTCCTTTCCCTTCCTTTCCCTTTCTTTCCCTTCCTTTCCCTTCCTTTTCCGTCCTTTCCCTTCCTTTCCCTTTCTTTCCCTTTCTTTCCCTTCCTTTCCCTTTCTTTCCGTTCCTTTCCCGTCCTTTCCATTCCTTTCCCTTCCTTTCCCTTCCTGTCCCTTCCGTTCCCTTCCTTTCCCTTTCTTTCCCGAATGCGTAGCAAGGGTTCCCGTTGCCCAACCGTCCGCAACCACTCGCAACCGTCCGCACGATTGCTATATGGCCGTGCCTCTGGTAAGTACTCCAGAAGGGGTATTTTTTGCGTTTCGCGTGGCAGGCGTGGCACTTCGTGACATTCAGATGTGTTTTGTAACGTGTCGAAAGTCATTTTGTGTGGCAGGCGCAATACTTTTGCGACGTTTTCAGAAGATGCGTTGCAGTTTTCGTGGCAGGCGCAGCACTTTGGACGTGTCGATCGTCATTTTGCTTGGCAGGCGCAGCACTTTAGACGCGTCGTGCTGCGTGCTTTTTACGAATCGCATTGGCAGCGACAAGGTGCAGATTCCGTGGCTCAGACGTGGCATTTTGTGAGATGTGCTGAAAATTGACGGAAGCCTCCCACGAAACATCGATTTTGAGGTAGCAAATTTAAAAGCTCGTACGAAAACTCGTAGGAAAACGTCAGTTTTGAAGCTACAAAGTGTGAAAATTGATAAAAAGTGGAAGAAGTCTCGCACGAAAGGCTCGTTTTGATGCTCCCACATCTCTCGTCTCAAGTCTCTGGTTTTCCTGTGGCTTCGCCGTGTCCTTGGGGGGAAGCTGCAAAATCTCTCCTTTTCGAAAGTTTCCAAGCAGGTTGTCATGTCGTTTTGCGTGGCAGCGGTGGCACTTTACACTCTACACTCCGCACTCTACACTCCACACTGCACACTCTACACTCCACCACACTCTACACTTTGCACACTCCTCACTCCACACTCCACACTTTACACTCTACACGCCACACTCCACACTCGACACTTTCCACTCCACACTCTACACACCACACTTTACACTCCACACTCCTCAATTTACACTTTACACTCCTCACTCCACACTCTACACTTTACACTTTGCACTTTCCACTCCTCCTTCACACTCTACACTTTACACTCTACACTCCACAATTTACACTTTGGACTCCACACTTTAAACTTTGCACTCCACACTCTACACTCCTACACACTCCACACTCTACACCCCACACTCCACCACACTCCACACTCCACAAAATACACTTTCCACTCCACACTCCACACTCCACACGTTCCACTCCACACTCCTCACCCCACAATTTACACTTTACACTCCTCACTCCACACTCTACACTTTACACTTTGCACTTTGCACTCCTCACTCCACACTTTACACTCCACACTTTACTCTCCACACTCCGCACTCTACACTTTACGCTGTACACTTTACACTCTACACTCCACACTTTACATTTTTGACTCCTCACTCCACACTTTACATTTTACACTCCTCACTCCACACTTTACACTCCACACTCCACGCTCTACACTTTCCACTCCACACTTCACACTCTGCACTTTCCACTCCACACTCTACACTTTACACTCCATACTCTACACTTTACATTTTTCACTCCACACTTTACATTTTACACTCTTCACTCCACGCTTTACTCTCCACACTCCACACTTCCCACTTTACACTCCACACTCTACTCTTTACACTTTACACTCCACACTTCTCACTTTACACTCCACACTCCACACTCTACAGTTTCCACTCCACACTCTACACTTTACACTCCACACTCCTCACTCCACACTTTATACTTTACACTCCACACTTTACAGTTTGCACTTTACACTCCTCACTCCACACTTTACACTCCACACTCCACACTTTACACTCCACACTCCACACTCTACACTTTACACTCTACACTTTACACTCTACACTCCACACTCTACACTTTACACTCCACGCTTTCCTCTCCACGCTTTACACTCCACACTTTACACTCCACACTTTACACTCCACACTTTTACGCTCCACACTCCATAGTCTACACTTTACACTCCACACTCTACACTCCACACTTTACCCACTGCACCCTCCACACTTTACACTCCACACTCCTCACTCCACACTTTACACTCCACACTACCCACTTTACACTCCACACTCTAGACTTTACACTCCACACTCCACACTTTACACTCCACACTCCGCACTCTACACTTTACACTCTACACTCCACACTCTACACTGTCCACTCCACACTGCAGACTGGTAACAGGGGAAATATGTGTATACAAGACTGTTCAAATAAACTCTGGCAGAAAATTGTTCTCAGTGACTGCATATCCATTAACATACGTGTGAGCATTCGGGTTCGTGGGCTGCATCTTGTTCTTCTCCCCGCCCATTTCCAGCCACTCCCTTGCACCCACGCCGTCCGCAGCCGTCCGCGCAATTCTCCGCACCCATTTCCCGTCCACAGCCGTCCGCGCAGCCAACCGCAGCCGTCCGCGCAGCCAAGCTCACTCACATCACCAGCGGCTTCTTCTCCCCAACCATTTCCAGCCACCCTTGCACCGACGCCGTCCGCAGCCGTCCGCGCAGCCAAACTCGCTGATCTCCAGCGGCTTCTTTTCCCACTCATTGCTTTCCCTTCCTTTCCATTCCTTTCCCTTCCTTTTCCTTCCTTTTTCCTTCCTTTCCCATCCTTTTCTTCCTTTCCCTTCCTTTCCCTTCCTTTCCCTTCCTTTCCCTTCCTTTCCCTTCCTTTCCCTTCCTTTCCCTTCCTTTCCTTTCCTTTCCCTTCCTTTCCCTTCCTTTCCCTTGCACCCACGCCGTCCGCACACCACCGTTCAAACCAGCTCGCTCCCCCACGCGGTTAAACAACTAAACGAGAACCCAAGCATCGAAGATGCTTTTGGGAAAAAAAATGCCTCAGGCCGCCGAGGCGAAAAAAAACGCCGCATGAGTTTTGTTTTGCCTTTGGTGGGGTAAAAAAACGCCTCTGGAAAGCAAAAAACGCCTCAAACACAAGAGTTTACCAAAGCCCTAGGACTCCCGCCATGGCGACTTTTCAGTTGCAAAGCCCACAACTAAGGACCAAACCCCTGACAAACAGTCGCACGTACTGCTAAGGAATTCTTATGATTTCCCTATGTAATGAATGCTGCAAGAAAAAACAATGCAGAAAACAAGCCCTAGAGATCCTCTTACCAGTTTCCGCCAGAAAGTCTAGGGGGTCAACCCCCCTGTAAGCCTTCATTTCCTAGTCATCCCAGGTTTGTATTCTGGGGATCGGCTGCTTTCATAGGGGCCTTAATTTTCTAGCGTGGCTATTTTAAGCACCTCAAAGTTGACAGAGCCTAACTTTCTGGCGCGGAAGATGCGGATTTTACGGACCCAATTTTGGGGAGTCAGCC